TCGGTACTAAAAGCAAAATCTTATTTTTAGTTAATATTCCATGAAATAAGTTTGATAACAACATCAAAAACATCAAACTTCTTGTTTGACTTTATGACGCACGGTTCTGTCCATTACGGTAATGGACAGAACACAAAGTAAGATTTGAAAGTACATATAGGCCTATCCATTAATGATCTTTTGTGATAAAAATAGAAAACAAGAAGCCACTTTCATAATTTTACGACGTCAGGATGACAATATTTCAGGGAATGATGATCTTTTGTATTGACTAGGATTATGGAGATTACATTCAACCAGACAATTAATTCATGTGCAATTTGTATTTCTGGCTGACTGCACGCGCACTTAGCCCTAATCACGTTCCCATAAAGTTACGGGTGAAAATTTCTTTGTGTTTGATTTATTTATCAGTAAAGTGATTTTCTGGCATTTCATCGATTTAAATTTAAATTTATTATGTGTATGCATGGACGAAATCGATTTAGGACCGAAATGAAACTGTCGCAAATAAAAAGGCCAAGGAATAAAAGGAAAAGGAGTGTCTGTTTTCATCATGATATGTTATCTTGGGGTAATTTCTTTTTGAAAATGACAAATTTCCAATTATACGTCATGAAAATGGGGCATCCACTTAAAGATGTCACTTATGAAGACGCCACGGTGATATTACTCCAAAGACATAAAGACTGAGTTTTAAAAGTGACCGGGATTACCCCCCTGCAATTTGATCATTCCTTGACCGCATGGGCTCTAAACAACAGACAAACGAAACATAAATGCGTGGGGGAGAAGTGCTTTGTGGAAAATTCATTTGATTGAGCACTTATCAATTATTTCTAGCTTCATCGCTTTTAGGCTGGGCCCTGATAATGGCTATCCATTACATTAATTAGGCCTACTTGTTTTTCATAATATATTTCAGTCTTTCAATTGTCTGAATCAGTAAGGACGATGCAGTGCGACGATTAGCTTTAGCCTATATTTCAATGATTTTGGTGAAGTCACTGATCTGTTTATGATTGTGTAGGTGTATTAAATTTGTTCTTGTAACAAAACAAAAAAAAAGAAGATAAAAGTATGGTGATGGTGATGAAAAGGGCATACATGCGCATGCATAAAGAATAGGGGCGTCGTCCAGGCAGGGGGACAGGGCAGGGATAGGAATGGAGTATGACAGCCTCACATTTAAAATAGTTGTAGGGAAATCCCCCCCCCCCAAAAAAAAAAAAAAAAAAAAAAAAAAAAAATCCTTGGTGAATTCATTTTTCTCACTTTTTATTGTCGTTTAAAAAAAAATTAAAAAATAATAATCTCAAAACATGTTATCCCAGTTATCAAATGTTGTGAATTACAAAAAAACATCTTAGTTTGTTTTTCTTTTGCTGGCTATAACTTCTATGAAAAAATTGAAACAAACACCCCCGCTTAAAAATCCCAGATGGTATTATACCCACTACTTCGAACTCATATTTTTCACCTTCCTCTTCATCGCTTTTCAGGTACTACACCATCCATGTATTAAATAATCCAAAAAATAATTATAAAAATGGGGCAGATCTGATGAAAAACGCTATTTTCAACTACGATTGTTTTACTTGACCTAGTTTAAGATGGAAAATGCATTATAATCGTCAATGCCTGACTTCCAATAAAAAAAAAAAATTACACATTGCAGGATACGCATGATGGAGGCATAATTAAAAGTTAATCGTAGATCTCTGTCCTCTTTTCTTTCGACTTCATTTTTCAAGACGATATACGATGTGTATCTCTCCAGTGATTAGAATGATGATAATTACAATTGCAATCTTATTCTAGATGCTACTTATAAGTATCGGCTTGCATGATATACAGTAGTCTTACGGCCCGGTCTTACGGTTGCACCATGTGAGAGGGAGAGAGAGAGGGGGCGGGGGAGGAGGGGGGAGTCCTGAAAAGGACCTGAAAAAGACTGTCGGTAATCTTCCAAGCCCTATCCACAGCTAAGCCACCACAACCCAGCATTATCAATTATCAAACCAGAACGAGCCGCCATCAAAGATCTACGTTTCACAGCAGAATTCAGCAATTTGCGGGCACCATTCCGAGTAGCTCTGCCCATGTCATTCCAATTCACTCGAGATCATAAAACCTAACCCTCGGAATCTAAAAAGCTATATTCATTATCAGGAAACATTTCGTCAACGAGGACACCATTTGCATTCGCCTCACTTCTAATGGGGAGTATAGACGAAATAGCATTCGATAATAACATTAACAAAACTGGTTGCTAAACAACGGCTCAAAATGTTTCAGTCCCGTATCGTGGTGAGGTCATACCCGAGGTCATATCGTCGTAAATGATTTATACTTGGTAACAATCACATCTGAGCCCTCCTTAAATGTGTCATTTGCAAACGTGTGATTGGGGTAATGAGTATGGATTAATGCAATAATGCAGTATACGTGAAGGTGACCCAGTTTTGACTATTAGTCTATAAATCTGTAGGAGTGTATCTAGATCTTGTCGAAGTGATTGCCAATCTGCATGCTGTTTCCTATTTTAAGATTTCTGAAACTCATTGAGATGATATTTATATTCACTTTCAACCTCGTTGTTTCTCTTGAAACAAATATTATTTGGAGTTCAAAGAAAATGTATCCATCAATAATAATACATAGCATATTGCGATTAAATATATTTATAAAAACATTGATATGTACCGTTGCCTATATCCAGGCACGTAGCCACGGGGGGGGGGGGGGGGCACGTGCCCCTCAAACATTTCCAAGATCGGTTAAACTTATTTTGACCTCGATCGATTACATGTATGTGCCCCCCCCCCCCCCAAAAAAAAAAAAAAACAAACAAACAAAACAACAACAACAACAACAACATCAAACTCTGGCTACGTGCGTGCCTATATCCAAGGACAAGCCATGCATCTAAACAGTATTTTTGCCCAAAACATTCAAAGAGGCAGTAAATGTATGGGCGAAAATTGATTAAGGTTGGGAGTATGCATTATACACTCACATGTATTTTCCCTCTCTCTCTTTCTCATTTGACTCACCGACTCTATGTATCCAATTAGACACAGTATTATGTGGATGAATTAACGCATCCATCCATCCACCACCAATATGAAAATTCATGTAATTAATCTATTAGTAATTACTTTCATCCATACACATCAGTTCATGCAGTCAGGCTTTTCGTCCATGCGTGATTAAGGTTTTTCAATTCAATCAGCCCATCATTTTTCTGATCATGACCGAAGAAACCGATAGACCGAAACATTTGACAAAATTGAAGAGGAGTAGGCCTGTCATCTTTATAACTAAAATCAATAATTGCCAAACATCGGTTTTGAGGGGACGTAGGCGGAATCTAGTTATGCTTAAGTGTGTGTGTGTGTGTGGGACTGTGGGTTATCAATTTGAAAATAAAAACAAGTGTAAGCTACTGAAAATCTGATCAATTTATAAATTAATTGAAGTTATTAGATGAATTACCAACGAGCAAACCTGTAAAATGTTTGACTGATGTTTTAAGAACAGGACTTATTTATTTTAACAAAAGGAGCCCCCCTGTATTACATCTGATAAATAAAGTCTTTTCCATCCTAGATTTATGAATTTACAAGTTTAATCATTTATACTCGGATGCGCATTTTCATGAGATGTTTGGATTCCAGATTTTTACAGACGGCATCACGTGGGCGTTACTGTTGAGGCAACACAGGAACAAACAGCTCATTCGTGGAAAATAAATAAAACCCAGAATAACTTCCTGTCTATCGAACCGAAACAATGCGACAGAAAGTTATAAATCATGCGTCTACGATGGTAATATATGGGTAATATAAGAGGCTGTGATGGAAGATACCGGAATCGTTAGACTGGAAAGGTTTACGACTTTGATGATGAATTGGATTGGGACAACTGAAAATATAAACAAAGGAGATATAAAGGGACTGTGGGCGAGAGATGTAGAGAAAGAGAGAGAGAGAGAGGGGGAGAGAGAGGGAGAGAGAGGGAGAGAGAGAGAGAGAGAGAGAGGAGAGAGGGAGAGAGGGAGAGAGGGAGAGAGAGAGATAGAGAGAGAGAGAGGGGGTGGGGAAAGAAGATACAGAGCGCAAGAGAAAAAAGAATTGGAAGAAATTAAGCGTATCTGCCATAGTTTACAGGAGGGATTAGACTGCCCTGCAAGGTCACTGGACAGGTGGTTATCTCATCAACACAGCTCTCAGTTAACATAAGAAAAAGAGGATCATGGGGGACCAATGGTCACCGATTAGGCATGGTTTGTTATATAGAGGGCGCAAGTAGCTACAAGTAGTGCAGTGGGCCTTTAAAAGAAGATGAAGAAGCAGAAGAAGAGAGAAAAGGAAGAGGAGGGGGTATAATAGGGACGGAAATAGGGAGATCATGACAGATAAAAACAATTCATTCTATGTGCTTTTATCATTTGACGTTTCGAAGCAAAGGCACCAAAATCTCCGGAATTGCACGGCGTTGGAAAGCAAGAGGGGAAACCCCCAACTAAAATGCCAACATAATGCCAATAGCAGCTAGTTTTCCGTCAGTTGGCCACTAGTGGGAGCTCTTCGTTTTAAATTACAACTTCACCACAGTCTCCATTATCACTATTCATCTACTACTACTATTAGTTCTAGTGCAGAGTGTACCACTACCACCACCATCACCACCACCTCTACAATCACAATACCAACCCTCTATGACGTCATTACCACTAATATCACCACTTCTACCACCAAATAAATCATCAGTATCAACACTAAAATGATCAGCACTACCATAACAACATCACCATCAACATTTCTTCTGGAACATCAAACTCTTTAACTCATCAACAATACCACTGTCATACCAGCTATAATCATCCTTGCTTCATTCATTATCAACATTAGCAGTATCAGAGTTTTGTATTCCCAAGGCATCACATTGACATGTAATACTTAATAGGCATACATATACTGGAACAAAATACACCATTAAATTTCATTTAACATTTAATTAAAGTTGAGTCTACAAAGCTTTACATCAGAGCATGAAAAACTGTAGACAGAAACATTTCAAACTCAATTGCTCATATTCATATACAATCAAATTGAACAAGGTAGAAAATTCAGTTTAGGGAGCATGCTTTCCCTAATGAAGGGTAAAAAACAAAATCAGTCAAAGTATCATAACCACAGCAAACTTTGTTGTACTGTAAAAACAAGAAATAAACAATCCATTTGTTTGATAGAGGCATTAAAAATGATAATACATGTATCATATAAATTGCTCCTATCCTGTAGCTAGGTGCCTAGTAAGTAAGGTCATCTATTTGTACAGTACTCATACAGTGCACATAAACCACGGATCTAGTATGAATAGTAACTGCCAGCTGCCAAGACTATGACCTTTATGTGAGAACAATACACAAAATGTGTATCAATACATTTGCTACATTCTCTTTGTGACTCTGGGTTACATTTCATTTGGTGGTACTATTCATATAAATCTAATTGTCCAATAGAACAAAGTCATATATTAACAATCATGCTATATACAAGCGACAAGACGATCAAAACATTTATACTTTGTATAAGATTTGGGTAGAAACATAAACAAAATCCAATATAAATGTGAAAGCATGCTACCATGCAAACTGAGACTGCTCATCCCAAGTTATTCCCATTGCAAATAAAACTCACTCACCAAAGTGAAAAATTAAATAACAGGTGACATTATAGCAAAATAGTATGTCATCATTCTCAACAAATCTACTGGCCTTGACTATTCATTAACATATCATTTTCCCTAAATCAGTACATGGAGATATATTTTGCTCTCTGATTAACAAATATTTTTATGGCTTAAAGCACCTTTCATAGTAATATGACTTCAACAAACTTGTGAGGTATTGTATGTATGTATTAATGATGTATTATCTTAAGACAAGGAAACAAATAAACAGTAAAAACAGATACAACTCATTCCACAATCATTAACAAATGCCACATTAAATCATTGTATCATCAGTTATTTGGGATCATACAACCCTGCTTGATATCTTTGAATGCCATTGATGTTAACAGCTTGCCTCCCACCCCACAACCATCTTCAATTGTTAAATACTTGCTATATGTCTACCCATTAGCAGATCATAAACCCTTCTGAATCCCATCACATTAAAATAGATTTCCCAATCTTCAAAAAGGTTCCACCAAAAATATATGATGTGACCCCGCTTTGGTTTGAATGTGTCACGGATAAAAATATATATCAATGGACGTTCAAATTTATCACATTAAAATAGAACATCTAACTCTTGGTATTACACATAAAGGGGATTCCCCCAGCGTTGTTTTGCTGGATCCATGATGGTACACTCTTCAGTCTGGTCCTCCTCTCTGTGTTTGGAGAGAAAGAGAGAAAGATATGAATTAAATAGTATATTATAATGATTACATGTATAATTAAGATGGTAATATTAAGAAGCTAATGACTAACGACCTAAAAACATGAGATGCTTATCAAGAATCATCATTACATGAACATATTGAGCTTGAACTTGAAATTGATTATTCGATAATAAACACATTGCAATGGTTATAAACAGTTTTATACAATAACATAAAAGGATAAAAGGAACCAGAAAATAGAATGAATGCTAATCAAGCCTGGTACCTTTCAATATATGAAATACACAGCTTGGGTACATAGAATAAACAAACAAATTTGAAATGTTATATGAAGTAAAGCTTATTACAAACAACACTAAATCTATAATACAATTGTATAGATGGCAAAAAAGCTATATTGATACAAACAACACTAAATGTATAATACATTTGTATAGATGGCATTCCATAAAAAGCTATATTGATATTGATTTCTTTAAAAACGAAAATTCCTCCTGTGACCATGTTATATGATAAATTGCATGTGAAATTAGAAATGAAATCTAAAAACTAAATATTTCAGATTGATGTTTTAAAATGTCATTTAATGATTTAATTTCAATAGTTTGGTGTTGTAAACCTTTTAATTAAGGTCAATCACGAGACTGGTCAGTAATAGCTACAGATTGTGTGTTTGCTCTGACTGGAAAGCTTGCTTTTATTTTTATTCTTAAAAATGAGAATTGTTAATCAGCTAAGTAAAATAAATCAAAAAATTTGATTGATATAATAATTATTTTGTAAAAAAAAAAGGAGGATTCATATAAGTGATATAAATCAATTTTTGTATTTTTGCCAAGCCCTGTGATATTAATTTTACAAATAAGCATTTAGCGCCCCTGTCATAAAGGTTTCAAAATCTTAAACAGTCGATTAAACCATCAAGTCAAGTTTCAAGATAAGGAGAGGCCTGATAATATTCTTTATGAGTGCAAACACTAAAAAACTTAGATCTTTTCAAAAGTTGATCCGATATTTGCTCCAGAGAATCTGAGATATTTTCTCAGAGCTTTAGTTTGCCAAGGATATAGCATTAGAGTTAGGGTTGCAATTGGATCTTAGGTTATGTTTAGGGTTAGGCTACGTAATGTTTGGTCCAATGTTGGAATTGTATGAGATTAGGAAATCGACCCGACATTAACTGTTGCCAGAGCATGTGTCTTAGATTCTTTCTAAAAACAAACTGTACTCACATTGATGTATTCCATCTCCTCCTGAGTTAGTATAGTTCTATGGTACTTGGGATGGAGTTGAAAGAATTCTGGTGCATCACTTCTCCTGGTACTGGGTGGTTTCAGGCTAGAGGTAGAGTTAGGATGAGGGGTGGCCGTTACAGCTCCAGCTGGTATCACTGTGGAAAAAGGCAAAAATCAAAAGATTTCATCTAATTTCTTATAGATCATTGTTTGATAGGCTTAGACAATATGCTCCCCTGGGATTGGAGAATGTGCATATCTTGTGTGCGAGTGTAAGCCTGAATCCGATGACCGGGTAATAATAGTTCTGTAAAGCTCTTAAGACACATCGTTGATGTATTGGGCGCTATAAATGTAAAAGCGGAATATTACAATTATTAAAAGAATCTTGACAAAATACATTGTGTGGTTGTTAAGGACCATTGATTTCGGCTCTTACAAATTAAGGTATTCTGAAATTAGGTACATGTATATTGTAGGGAAGTAACATAAGGAAATTATTTGTCAGAATATGCTGAATAGATTAGACATAATCAAGGTACACTGCAGGCATTGATAATAACTAGAATGTACAATGTAAACATTTCTTGATTCATAGAAGATTACTCTGTTACCCCTAGAATAGGACAGATACTCAGTTATTTATTTACAAGGATTATCACTTCCAACAAGGATAAGAACTCTACCACTATCTGGTAAACAGCTGTGAGAAGGAAGTGTAAATAACTTCCTGACAGAGTTTAAGGTGCCACTTCCCCTTGCTACATGTACAATGTACAGAACACTGATTGTCAATGCACTTTTAACATTGGTTATTTTGTTGTCTTTTGTTGAATTTCAGTGACAGGAGGCTCTCATAGCAAAGAAACACAATTCCCTTACAATTATATTTTTGCATTATAGATACCTACGTCACACAGCTAAAGCAAAACCAGAAACCAAAAATCTGATCAAATGAAAATGCATTAATGAAAAGAAATAAACCATGGAGATAACAAATAAAAACCTAACAATTTATATATATAGAGAGAGAGAAAAGACTACAAAATATTCTAGAATAAAATTATTCGCTTTGCATGCTGTTATTATGGATGAATTATTAAATCATTAAAATACTATATTTCAAGAACATGAACTTGATTCTAAGATCCCTGTTACACATACGTCTGCAAGTGAACGGAGGCCGGCCCCGGAGGCGGCTCGACGTATGTGTAACACCAACTTTTTTTGAAAAGCCGGACTGAGGCCAGGTGGACTCGGTCCACCTCTGGATGTGGCTTGAGGCCGGCCTCAGTCCCGCAATCAGTAGGTATAACACCAAAGTGGACTCGGGGCCGGCTTATAAGCGGTAGTGACGTGACCTGTCATCATAATCAACATATACATCAGCGCCCTTTGCCACCTTCTCTTATGTTATTCTTTATTTTTGTCATTCAATCACTTTCTCTTTCTGTCTTTCCTCATGTTATTCTTTGTTTTTATCATTCTATCACTTTCTCTTTCTGTCTTTCCTTATGTTATTCTTTGTTTTTGTCATTTTATCACTTTCTCTTTCTGTCTTTCCTTATGTTATTCTTTGTTTTTGTCATTCAATCACTTTCTCTTTCCGTCTTTCCTTATGTTATTCTTTGTTTCTTCCTTCTATCACCTTCTCTTATGTTATTCTTAGTTTTTATAATTCTATCACTTTCTCTTTCTGTCTTTCTGGAGTCCGCCCCAACATCAGCTCGTGAAAAGGCAACGTGAGGCCGGCCTATGTGTAGACGCAAAATTGCGGGCCCGAGATCATGCGTAACAGGGGTTTGATGATCTCGAGGCGCCTTCAAATTGCAGGCATGAGGCCGCCTCCGGGGCCCGCTTTAAAAGCCGACGCATGTGTAACAGGGGTCTAAGCCATAAATTAGTTTCAGTTACATTGTATCTCATCTCCGGGTACAAACAAAACCACAATGATGATTTATTAATCTTTCAAGCTCTGTTCTGACTCTCATTAATTAGGATACCAAATATACGGTAAGTGCTTTCTGTCTGTACATCTACTGTAGTATGCTACAGCTACACTACTACCTTTGGACAACAACTATGTAGCCAAATAATCCCCTAGAACAACTACTCCACCAACATAGACAACTGCATCATTAAAACTACCTCCAAAGGCAGAGAAAAAAAACCCTAAAACAAACAAAGAAAACAAAGAAACAATGTACTCAACAAAACAGCAACAAAGAATGTATAAAAAGACCAAAAAAGGGAATATAAGAGCTTTAACAAAATATTTAAAAAAAGAAAGAAAGAAAACGAACAAACAACACTTTCCCTTATTTGGTAATACATGCATGTAGGATTTTAATTGTTGGTGAGGAGAATACTTTTCCAGAGTTTGTTTACCAGTTGGTAAATCAGTTCTAGGTGTGTGCTAGGTGTGTCATTTACTCTAGAAACATATTCTGGGGCAGAAGTCCCATGGCACCTTTCTCATTTTTAGTGTAAATGTATCATCCAGTTTCAATCTTCAAATACTTCCAGGATGTTTCTTGTTTCTGAGCCCTCAAACAATGGAAGTGAGTCATTCGGAATCTGCTCACTATCACACAATGATCCAAATCACATATTCAAAAATATTTGGAAGGAAATCAAATTAAAAAAACATGTAATAGCTAAAAACAAAAAAATTATATTGTCCAGCTACATTTAGAAATTTCAGCTTTAAGGATCCCTTGGGCAGCTGTTTTTGTGTCCACTTAAAAAAAAAAAAAAATCTTTCTTCTTTTTCTTTTCCATCCACATCTAACCCAACACTTCAATTAATTGTTTAAATATTTATTTGATGAGCAATGATAACACAACAGCCCATCATTAAATCAACAAAAAGTAGACACAGCATACATGAGAAGCTGAGGAAATACATGCCTGACTAGAAAGAGCCAAGTGAAAAATAACAAAGAAATCTGAATAAAAGAGTACAATGAATGACTCCAAAAGAAAAGGATGAAATAGAAAGCAAGTATAGTCTTTTACGCAAGATTTTGGGAGATATTTTTAGATGAGAGAAACAAGAGGAACAGAGAAACACCCATGTATTCCCATTTATAGCTGTTCCTACATATTACCTCCAAAAAACAACCCTAGATTTTATACTTTGATTGACTGATTGTGAATTCAAGAGCCAAAAATATTGTGCCCTCCCCTGTAATATCGTATGTACATAATGATCCATGAAAGGGTTGCTATAAAAAAACAACTATACTTTGCTTCTTTGTATGGGTGAAATCTGTATGAAATCTATACCACCAGTATTATCTTTAGCACTAGAAATAGGACAAGGCGGACGTGGGGGCGTGATGGATGCAACGGTCACTGGTGATATCACTGATGAGAAAAACAAGATCAACATTTACATGTAGACCTTTCATGTTTAACATTGTATAGAATTCTACATCACTACCACACCAGCGCTGTGTCAATGCTAATGTTCATGTGGCTTGTGTCACTTACAGAGTATATATATATTTTACATGTCCACTTTGCAGATCATGAACATTCATAAACAAGACATGTATTACAAAGCTGCAGTTTTCTTTTTTACCACAAGAGATCTACATTCATGCTGCTTGTAAATTCATTTCAATATCCGACTGCCATAGATCTACAAGCTGACGCTAATCAAGAAAAAGGAATGAGACATCATTGTTCAGGTTTGCAAAAGAATTTTAGATAAGCTTGCAAAGATATAATCAAACACAATGCAGTTTGAGAATGTGATTACATGTACTTTTATTAAACTCTTTGATTTATATTGAGCCGCCAATAGCTCCCAACCTGAAATACTAGCCACAAGTTTGCCCTCTCTGTACCATAGCTACAATGTAGAAATAGGCCAAGCTCACATGTACATGTACACTATTTAGAATCATTGTCATTTCCGGATTTTGAATACCTATCAAGAGGGTTACAGTTGTACAAGATGAAGGCATTACCGCAAATGCGCACATGTAAACATGTATTGGGGTATACACCTGTACTTTAACAAAACAAATATAATAATAATACTTAGAAGGTACAAATGCTTACCTCTTCTGATACCACCACCTGCCCGAAATTTGATGAGTGGGATGTGTGGCCGTATAGCCTGCAAAGGGGTTTAATGAATAAAATATTATCAGTAAAAGTTTAAATTCAAATGACAGATTTTGCATAAGGATTTAGCTCAACTTCAATAATATCAATGATTATCAACATAAACTTTTGAGTGAAGGTAAAACATTTTAGTGCTGAATTTACAATAAACTTTATAAAATTATTCATTAATATCCTACAGACACATGTCTAACAAAAGCATCAGCATACGTTTTCTTTGGGGGGGGGGGGAGGGGGGTAGGGTAGGGAGCCAGCAGTGATGGCATTCATTCTCCAAAATGTCCTTTTTGCTTGGTCTCCTTAATATGTATTTTAAAACACTGAATAACTGATTAAAAAATTTGGATAGATGCAAATACCACTCCAGCAAAGCATAGAGTCAATGCTAATGTGTATACTTGCTGGGGGCAGGTATAACACACAATACACACTCTGCACACAATTGCACACTAATGCACACAATGAATATGAAGTGGCTGATCGGCAAGTTTGACAGTAGACTCACATTGAATTTTTAAAATATTCTTTCTAACATCGGTAAGTTGAAAAATTGTATTTTACTGCTATTTAGGTATCATCTATTGTCACTTAAGTACTGATTTTGAGTGAACTCAGGTGAGTTTTGTACAGTGGTGTTTGAAATGTTGAGAATCGATAGAACGGTTTTTAATAAACAGCCACTGAGCCAGGATAGTAAATTAGTAATGCAGCTATGTGTGACAAATAGATCTACACTGCATAAAAAAAGTTATGATCAGCTTAGACTGCGTTTATGGCTTTATGCTCAATTTTGAAGGCAGAATGAGCGATATGAAATCGTAAACGCTCATCGTAATCGCAGTTCCACGGTGTACTGTTTATGCTCACTTCTCTGGCTCCTCCAGGCAATTCCTGCTGGGTGGCCCTAATTGGTCTTGCAGCTGGATTCGCAAACCTGCACTATGCATGCTACGTAGACCCACTAGAGGTCAGTGCATTGACCCCATTTAAACACGTTTACAAATTGTAAACGCACCTTTTTGTGAGTTTACGATCGGCGATCGTGATCGCCTTTTTTCAGTGATTCTACAAAAGTGAGAAAGGACACAACCGTGTTTGAAACTAAACGCGTAACAGATGCCTGATTCTGGCCAGAAAAAGATGAGCATAAACACGCCCTTATACACACATCATGTCAACTACGTAAGCCAGCTTTTAAAAACAAGAGTTTCTCTCTTTATGGCTTGGAATTTAAAGATGCAACGTGAGCCAGGAATTGAGTCCTTGGAAGTCAGCGTCCATCCAATGAGCCAAATTCTGTTTTGTTGAGCTTCTGACATTGTTTTAATTAATTTGTAATTGCAACAATCATGACAATTAAGAATATGATGCAACAATTAAAGGAAACCGAACCCCAAGTAATAAATTTACCTATTCTGAGAGATATATTATATTATTGCCCATAAATCTACAAGATTCCCCACCAAAGTGTATGAGAGAGGTATAAAGCAAAAATAAATTACAGTTACTCAGCACGACATGGGCATCGCCATTTTCTTGATAATGTGACGTACTATGCGAAGTCGGTTATCAAGTAAATGTATTCAAATTTATGGATGCTTCTTTCTCAGACGTGTGTGGTGATGAAGCATTTCATTCACCTGCTATTATCCTTTGTACTATAATTGCCAGAAGGCAAATTGCATAAGTAAGTCAGTGCTCTCCTGGGGTGAAGGTTTCTCATAAATGAAATGGATTTGTCAACTGCTATAGTGTAGTATTTATAAATTAATTTTGTTACAATTGTGCCCCTGTTATTTATTATTCACCTTATATAATTTATATCATCTCAATTATTATTTTTTTTCATTGAAAAGTAAAGGTTTCGTTATTGATTTAAAAATTCTTTCCAACTAAAGCTTGGTGCATGATACATGTACAACTTCAACAGGTACGTCACATTTTCAAGAAAATGGCTGCGCCCATGTTATGCTGAAAGGCATCACATAATGCGAAGAATATCTTCATTTATATATATCTTGTATATTTTCGTAAGGAATATTGTACATCAAAGGGCAGGAATACATCTCATTTTTCAGAATACCTACAGTATGAAGGGGTGACCAAAGTTCGCGGATATTTTTCTTTTCTTGCATATTTCAAAAAATCCAGATCAACATATATCATGTTCCATACGTCATAAGATTCGTAATTTATCATATAATCAGATTATATAACATTCCAAGGCTTTATTTACTTCAAATCAATGATAAGACGAGAATATCGGAAGCCTTACCACTACCGACGTCCGTCAAAAAGTGTGACCTAAGTTCGCGCATGATATTTACTGCCCTCTTGTGATGGGCTTTATATATGTAAACATTCCAAAAAGTTACGTAGTTTCAATCAGAAGCCGAACTTTATATTGAAACTTTGAAAAATATAATAATTTCTCTCTATCATTGAAATATTGCCCGATAAAAATACCCTTGTTAAATTTTGCAAATAAAAGACAATATTTTTCAATGTTTATGTGTTAATGTCAATGTAGTCCCTATCTGCATGTCATTTGTTTGTTTGAAAAAATTATCATGTGTCTCCATTTTATATGTCAGCCATACACGAGTTCTCGCTCTTTTCTCTCTTTGTCTCTCCTCTTTCCCCCTTTAAATTTGTATTCTTACGAACCATAGATTCATTGAAATTCACAAACACAGATACGGTGGAAGCAGGCGCGCAGGTTCCGTTTTTCGCGTAAGAAATTGGAATTTTATCATTATTTTTCGGAGTCGATCCCTCTAATAAACTGATTTTCATGTAAAAAAAACACAATTTGTTATGATAAAAAGCGTGAAAAAGCTAGCTTATTCACATTTTTATGCCGCATTTTGACCTTTGGAGTTGTCGACGGTGCTCAAAGATTTCGTTGTCTCAGTCCCACACAGGCATCGCGTATCGTTCTCCTGTTATAAGCGCTTTTAGTGTTAGTAGATCTACGCGAACTTTGGTCACGCGCGAACTTTGGTCACACCACCATACTTATTCTTTGGGTTTAGGTTTCCTTTAAGATCATGATGAAACATTGTGTGTAAATGGTTATAGAAAAAAAAACTTATATTAACCCGTTTAATACACAAATTATTACAGTGAGCCCGCAGGCTCACATCTAACTTGTTCCCCCATCTGTCCTGGCTCGATTTCACACACAAGATTGCCCCTCCCCCATCAAAATGTAGATCCAACATAAATTTACACGTGTGGGAATTACACAAATTTAACCTCATAAATCCTCGTAAATTCAACATGAAAATGCAGTTTTTACGATAATTCAACTACTTCAGTACGAATTTATATGATTCTACCGTGTAAAATTAAATCAAAATGTGGTCTTAGTTATTTCTTAAAGGAGAAATGTGATGTTTTCTTACCTGAACCACTCTGTTCGCCGACATTTTTAAATCCCCCAAAGCGAAGCGGAAGAGCGCCACCTGCGTTTATGTCTATTTAGTATAATCCGCTTTGTTTGCGACACAGAACTGGAAAATACGCATTTTACAGTTTTGTGGTTTGTGACAGCGGTTCGCGAAAAAAAACAATACACAAATACTAGGGGGCGGTGGGCGTTGCTACCTGCAAAAAAAAAAGGGGGGGGGGAGTAGGGATGAAGAGGTTGAAAGTGTGAGAATGTATCATTCGCTTTATTGGCTTAAATGTTCCATCAATTTTGGAATCTTTTTGTCAACAATATTTTTCTTCCTTTTATACAATGTATCTCTTTTTATCCATTTTTATGAATGAAAATTACTATTGTTGTATTTTATGTTTTATTATCTAAGTGGAAATAGATTTGTATTGAATTTGAAAGAATATTTGGCAAATGCAAAAATGACCATTTTTTCACTTTGATCGGATGTACGTAAAAACATTTTTCTCAAGTTTTCTCAATTTTCTGTTGGAATTACCCCTTTATCTTAATAATAATCACTTGTCCTGTTGTGAGCCAGAGAGGTGTTAATAATATAAAAACCTCTCTGACTAACAGCAGCAATATGCACTTGACATAATTACGATTTTTTTTTCCCCCCCATTTTTTTCTTCATAGGTTTTTATTCTCTTCTCTCATATAGAAAATTGTAGATAATTTATAACATTGTATACAAAATAACAAAATAATCTTCACACAGGTCTAAATAAATTTCCAAGTGAGCTTTTACATTTCCATACAAGGTTACAAATTAACAGATGAAAAATGTTCACATAAACAAAATCACAAATAAAGTTTGTAATATTTCCTCGACCAGTTTGCGTATAATTTTCAAATTATTTCTTTTCTTTTCCACAATATTTTTGTTCCTTCAGAGAAGAAAGAGGGGTTATGATTTAAAAAAAAAAGATAAATGATACAAATAAAAAGAGAAAGAGCTAGAGAACACCTACTACCCCCACTCCACACAACACTTAATAAACACATAGTACAACAGTATACACAACACACACCAACATAGAACGAACAAAAAAACAAAAAATAAAAATAAAAATAAAAGAAGAAGAGGAGAAAAAAAAGAAGAAAAAAAGTAAAGCCAGTGTGAATTGACTTCTTACAGGTTGAAAATTTTGTTTCCATTCATAAGGGGCTACTTTATAAATTGTGTTTACTTTATCAATTTCCACTCTGCTCAAACCTAACATTATAAAATGAGCTTCAGGTTTCAATTCTCCATTTTCATCACAAATGTAATGAAGTCGATATATATCTTTTTTCAACAAAGTTTCTTCAAATAAGGTTTGACCTTCTAGTTGAATAAAACTATTACAAAATAATTCATTCCCTCTGTATCCCTCTTCTGCTTTAACATATTCTTTGATATCTATCCATGCTTTCAGAAGATTCTGATAAAAAGAAGGTAATATGGGTTTCACTGTATCTCTCCAATAATTGCAATAAATTATTGAATTCCCTCCTATCGGTCTCATTAAATATTCAAATTATTGTTTCCATTTGATATCATGAGTTCCTGTTACAGGCCTTTTTATGCACATTATTCTTTGTGCTTTTACAAACAACCTAAAATTCATCATTTTGAGCCCACCCTGCTTATAGTCTAAAATCTAAAAGGAAAAAGAAAAAAAAGAATAAGAAGAATAAGAAGAAGAGGGAAAGACAGAACAGGAAAGAAGAAGGAGAAAGAGGAGGAGGAGGAGGAGTTGAAGAAGAAAAGGAGACGAAGAAGAATGACATCAACAAGAAAAAGGAGATCAAGAAAAGAACGTACCCGGTTTATATCAGTCATAACAACCATACTTGTTGTTATCTGCGAAGAAGAAAGCCTCATATGTTCGTTACCACAGATAATGAGCATCCAAACCTTAACCGATATTGCAGCTAAGAAGATACACTTTCATGGAAACTTGTTAATTACCGGTTATTAGGTTTAGAAATCTTATGTTTATGAAGAAGAAAAAAAATGGGTTCTAAATTTCGAGAAACAGTGTTTTGTGTCACTACCTCGCCATTACAAGTTGCCTTCATATAGATGTAGGTGAATGAAGATCATTGAAGATGAAATCAACGTACATTATGAAAGAAACATGGATCATATTTTCTGTAAATCAAATATCATACAAGATCATTAATAAGAGAGTATGAGAAATCTAATTTGATACCCTGCTGTTAAAACTGTATACACCGTAGATGGATCTGTTTTTTTTAAATATATTTTACATCGCTCATGGACTTTGAAAATGAAATTCATTTAAATGTATTCGTTCCATCATTTATTGACACTATTTCAACATGCGGAAGCTTGAGTTTGAAGTATGTTCTTCGTCCTCGGGCGAACATTCAATGCATGGTAAACAACAACCGAATAAGTCAGATGTCGATATGCGCAAGCACGAACTGTGGTTCCCATAGCAACACACTGACGTGCTTTCTCCCTGATTTGCTATGCAAGGGATTTTCTCTTCTGTCCTCTCCTCCCACTCCCGTTCTTCATCAATTCCGTACAATCTCATTCTCCTTACTATCCTATGTAATATTAACCCACACACTACCACTTGATGCTATTATTAATGCGGTGAGCTGTGCGCTGAAAGTGTACACAAACACAATGGCAATGATGGAAATCCGTGGCGCCTCCTGCTCGCACACACACATACACACACGCTCATACCATACCCGTGCTCACACACACAAACATCCACGCACACACTTCCATGGGCACCGAAAAGTGCACGCACACCAAAGTGGTTGACATTTTTATCTCCATCTAAAAAAGGTGCGCAACATACGGAGCTTTACGGGTATCATCAAACAAAAACCATGGCATCTTTTCGACATATTTTCCTCGTTCTTGCGCTTTCTTTACTGACTTTATGTCAGGTTTTGGGCGCCAACACGAGGGAAGAATGGATCGCAGCTTTGTCGAGATTACCATGGCTTGAAGATAGATACGAAACTGATTTACAGAACACTTTGGAGGAAGAAGAAGAGCTGGAGAATGGAGGAGAAGGAGATGAAGATGAAGGTGATGGAGCGTCTGTGTATTTCAGCTACGAGCCTTCATTCATGGTTCCAATGGATGGACCGTCATACCAATCATCATCAGTAGATGAAGACAAACCAGAGAATGGAACATCCGATTTACGGATGCCAAATGTTCATCCGGAAAAGGTAACTGTTTAACGAAATTATCATTAGATGTTCAGTGTGTGCTGATAATATTATTCTATGAAATATAGTCGTTGTGTGACCTATTTGTCCTTCCGGAACAGTGTATTGAATGTAACTTTAAATCACAATCTCAACTTAAAATCTTCGATGTGAGTTCGAAGAATGCTAACTGAGACCCGCGAGTGAAATATTGTAGTTAAATGATCTAAAGGAGTTTTTGTATTGAAGAGTGTAAAACTGATATTCGAATTGATTTCTTTTTAAATTGAACTTTTTTATTAATAAAAAACGACGAACAATCACAATGAACTAAATATAAACAAGATATTCAAGGCAGGTGGCAATTGAGAAATAAAACATGTAAAAAAACAAAATGAAAATGAAAATTAAAGAACATGACTTCCAATTGTTATGCATCATCTGAACATCATTTAAAGTCTATCCCCCACTTTCGAAAGTGAAGAGCAAGTCTATCCTTACTTTTCGGTATTCTATATACTATTCGAATCAAATGTATAGTGTTCAGTCGCATTACATCTCAATCTGCCCCTTCTTTTGTTACGACTAGGTTGGTGGAGTATTAATGGTTAGATAAAACTGTGCTACATATCCCTCAGAAAGACAATGATAAACACATATTACAAAAACAGTTATTCATATATAGGCGGGCCCCAGTCATATACTGCCAAGTTGCAGTGATTACAAGTAAACAGTATATTTTTCAGTAGATAAATGATAAATGCAACAACCACTGTGTGCTCAATCTAAACCCGCTCTTCTTCAAATTATAATAAACCAGTCCTAATATTTTTCTGCATGCAGGGCCATACATATTTATACGACTCTTTTATACCCTAATTATACAAAACTATTAACTGGAAACTACATATAAAAAGCTTTGCTTTTCAGCTGATTCCCACTCTATCTAGCTTTTTTTAGGTTCTTGTTTTGTTTTGTGCAATGTATTTATCATACTTATGATTGTATCTTTTGTTATTACTATTTCCATGTACATTATGTTCCTATATTGTATGTTTAGCTTTAATTATTACCATGCGCATTATGTTCAAGTATGTTATCATTGATAAAGTGGAAATAAATAAACTTGGAACTTAAACTTGAAACTCTTATGGCATATACTCTGTCTGAAAAAAAATATATATACGTACAAATTACAAAGAAGAATACACATTTATGCCAATTCATTTATTTCTCATCTCCTTAACATGCAATGTATGCAGAAGTAAACAATTTTAAAAAGAACATTGAACGTAAAATAGACGAATGATACAAATGAAAAAAGATGAGTACACTGCGATGAAGTGGATGGGAGCATGGACCTACTACCATGATGTGAGGGAGTAACAAATGTCTTTGGTTTCTCAAGGCTACTCCCAGTATTAACACCACTGTCACAAGTCAAAAGTTACAAAATAAGAAATGAAAAAAAAATTATTGCCCTTAGAAATTATTCATGCATTGGCATGTGTGTAATTGCATGAAACCTGCAATATTGTCTTTCTGACAAAACGAAGATCTACCATCAAGATGGCTTACTTCGATATAATGCTTAATTTTCAACTTTTCAAAATCCCTTTTTTCACATTCATCTATTATTTTCTTTTATCATACCTAATACATATTGTTGTGGGGGAACCAAATACAGAGAGGTGATTATAAAGGGGAAGAGTATAAAGAAAAGTTTTTACATTATTAACCTAATTGTTTTTTTCATTTTAGTTGGGGAAGTGAGGAATAATCTGAGCTTATGGCGATTATAATAATGTATACATAACATTCTCTTATTAAATGCTGATTAACTTTTTGTTTCATGACTGTTATGTCAGAATGATCATGATCATGTTTATAATGAAATCTTTGATTTATTTATTATCATGATTAAATCTTGTGATTTCCCGGATTTACATAAATCATAACAAACAAGACAACAAGAGCAAACCAAACAATATCCTGGATAGAATATATATACTTTTACTATTTCAAGATTTTACTTTCATTATCTTCCTAGGCCAATGACTATTTTTGCTACGCAGCGCAGATGCCAAGGAATAGAGGTGCTTACATAGGTAAGTTTATATATTTTTATTTTTGTAACCTAAACAGGGTGAAGGGAAAGTTAGGAGAAAAAAAGGTGGTAGAAACAAAAATGTGACAAGTGACAGAAAAGACAGAAGAGAGAGAGAGAGAGAGAGAGGGGGAGAGAGAACGAAAAAGAATATTTTACGACAGCTTAATTTCTATCATTTTCACACTTTTGTTATGCCAAAATGTAATTTTCAATCGATTGAAATTAAATCACGTTCATAGATGCATATGATTATGTTTTTATAATAACTGTTAAATTGCAGTTTTGCGGTATGTTCTAAATTTGTATTTTTATATTACAGAATTATAACGTTTCTTCTTTCAAATAGATAATGCTTCGGATTATGATGTTTTCATCTTAATGGGCTATCGCAATATTCGTGTTATCCTCCAAAATTAATTTCTCCAAAAACCCTCTCCGAACTCTGAATTTCGTACAAGCTGAATGATTTAGTGCTTTACTCACTCAGAGTTTTGATATGACCGTCACTTTCTCTTGCCTTAGCCTTGGGCTCATTTATTAAAGCAATTTCGTTTAAATAGCATATCAATTAATCTTCTAATCCGGCGAAAGCTAATGAACAAATTAGAAAGAAACATTTGGTTATCACTAGGTAGTGCTCTCATTATGGATATTTTGGAAGCATGATTACGCTAATTTTCTGGAACACAATCACGGTTGGCGGGTTATTCAAAAGAAGAACAATGGACAACTTCATCCCCAACATGATCAATAATTAATGAGTTTTGCATTAGAGAGAGGAGACAATAGGAGAGAGGGAGGGAGAGAGAGGGGAGAGAGAGCTAAGGAGAGATAAAGAGATGGATGGAATAGAGAAAGAGAGGGAGAGAAAGAGAGGGAAAGAGAGAGTGAGAGAGAGATAGAAGGGGTGAATACAATTGTTTCCTTTTAAATTAAAGGGGAAGTCCACCCTGAAATTAAGTTAGTTTTAATAGGAGTAGAAAAATGAGAGAAACAAGTCAGTGAAAGTTTGAGCAAATTCCGATTAAAAATAAGGAAGTTAGAATTTTTGAAGTTGTGATCAATCAAACACAAATTGGCAACTCTATGACGTATCATGCGAGCTCAACTTCCATTTGCTCAGTACTAAAAAATTCTAAAATTTTCATTTTCCCTCAAGAAAAATTTCAACCATACATGCACCCTAAATATAATAATTGCAAATATGTTTCTATACTCCCCCTGCAAGGAACAAATATATATTCCGTCATCAATAACGAAGAAAACATGATTTTATGGAATATTATGCACAAAGCAAATGAAGGAGAGCTCGTTTAATAAGTCACAGAGTTGCCAATTTGTATTTGATTGATCACAACTTCAATAATTCATAACTTTCTTATTTTCATTCAGAATTTGCTCAAACTTTCACTTACCTGATTTTCTTATTATTCTGCCTCTATCGAAACAAACTTATTTTGGGGGTGGACTTTCCCTTTAATATACTACTTAAGAAAGTTAAATTTAATGAACAGAAAAGGAACGAATATAACTCAGTTTCAAAAGTAACTACAATCATATCATTAATTTAGCCTGTTGTTTGATATAAGTGATGTTATTTTTCATGGTAAAGGAGAGCTTTTGTATTACTGTATTCATCAAACTGTGCATATAATATATATTACTAATATTATTGTGAACCATTCAGCATTGTTCACACTTTGGATAACGATTAAAAGGGTTTCCATTCTTTATTTTTTCTTCTTCTACTCTCACATCATGATTTTATTTCTCCTTTCTTTAATAAGGAATATCTATTTTTTCTCCTTTATTATTTTATAGTTGGATTCTCTCCTGTTACGACGCCGGGAACAGCCCATCATATTCTCCTCTATGGATGCAAAGACCCAGGAATGGAGCAACAAAAACCATGGTGAGCTAATCTTAATCATAAAGTTAGAGGAATATCAGAATGGTAATTTTGATTTCTAAAGATTCCCTGAATTTTATGTAATTTGATAATTATAACGAATTCAAAATCATGAACATGTAACTAATTTGGACGTAGACCTAGATCTATATGCCAACTAAGTAGGCCTACTGAATATTTTTATAAATTAAATTGTTATTCTTATATTCATACTCCTCTCTTCCACTTTGTCCTCGCCTTCATTTTCTCCACCTTCTCCCATTATCCTCTTTTTTCTCCTCCTCCCAATCCTCAACACTTTTGCTCCCTTTGTCTCATAAGAATAACCTTTGTTTTTATTTACACGTCTCTATAAATTGTCTAAAGTAACATGCAGAGAACCTTTACTAATCAATCAATGACTGTAAATGCATATTTTTTAAATTACAATAATTGGTATTTATCTTTGAAATTGTAGATGCTATAATGGCCTTTGTACTTAAAATTTAATTCATCTAACAATATTGTTACACCAAATTGCGTCTTCTATTTGCGAGCATTAGCTCTGTTGATATACAGGCATAAATCGTCGTTTGAAATTACATGAATAAAATATACCTCAACAGAAATAGCATTTCACGCATTAATAAACCTCGTTAGATCCAATCCCCGCAGGACTTTCTCTCGGTAAAGGTCAATCGCACGCTGCTCAAATGCCACTCCGAGTAGCAATATACCAAGGTTGTTCCGAACCCGTAGCCAATTAGCCAGCTATAATGAGTCAATTTGTGCGCTGTGATATCGATTAATATATATAGGCCTACCTGTTGTGTCACGTGACACTTTGCGTTACATGCACTCGCTTTTATCATAATTATGATTCATGAATATCTAGTTCAAACAAAAGCCTACTTCTTCGTATACTCTGAGTATCATCAAGTATACGTTCTGGATCTAATGTATACACTAATTTCATTTTAATCAAATTGGCCGTTCTCAAAACGGTTGTTAATACAAGTATTGATAATATTCCACATAATCATTATGATAATGATAATGATGATTTTATTGTTATTAATGATAATAATAATAATAATGATAATAATAATAATAACAATAATAGTAATAATTAATAATGCTAATAATAATAATAATGTAATTAAAAAAGAAGAAGAAGAAGAAGAAGAAGAAGAAGAAGAAGAAGAAGAAGAAGAAGAAGAAGAAGAAGAAGAAGAAGAAGAAGTAGAAGAAGAAAAAGGAGAAGAAGAAGGAGAAGAAGAAGAAGAAGAAGAAGAAGAAGAATATGAATAATAAGGCGCCATATACATTTGAAATGCTCAAGTCGCTCTAATGCAAAAGAACGTAAAAATTATGAAAGAGAATAAGACAGATACCTTTTAGTTTGATGTTGAACACTTCAACGAACACTTCAACCGATCTAATATTTCAAGTGTTTACACAGTGGAATTAGTATAAAGTATGAAAAAATATTAGTGCCTTAATTGAAGAAGTTTCGACATATTAAATTTGGTTCATTAATTAGCTTTAAAACTTAGTTTTCATTTAAGAAAATCTAAACCGAAACAGACGGTATCAAAGCCATTTTCCCACAGAGCGACACCTGAAATTGGACACGCTTTAATTGCGGATTTACTATGACTATTGCTAGTTACTCATATGAAAATGAATAATAAGTTACTCTTGATTTCGTTACAAAGATAATGGTTATGCATTACATTGCGGTGAATACTATAACACAATATGGCACTATTATTACATGGTGAACCACAAACAAATTCTTTACATATGAATTTCGGTTTAAGATCGAAATGATTTCTTTTTATATGGTGAATCAATGTCAATCGTAGTTACCAGCATAAGTTTATGCCTATTTCCATGCTGTTGCGGAAACGCTAAGCAAATTTATTTAAATGATATTGAATATATTTTGCAAGATTGTGAATGGATGGGAAGCAGGGGATGTGAAGAAAATCACTTTATAGAATATTATGTTGATTCTCTACTTTCATAAAGCTGTGAGAAGATGAAACCTGCCGCTCATGAAACCTAACGAAAATGAATAAATACCTAGGATTTTGGCTCACAGCTTGTTCACTAAGGGCCGCAATGGTTTACTTTCTTTATTATTTTTTTGGAATTTCTTGGAACCGTATTCCTTACCCGTCGTTTAATTTGTTGCATGAGTAAATACATTTATGCACAAATAATTCAAGGATTGTCAGAAAGAAAAGGGCATTTTCGATTTTTCCTGACACTTGCCCCCCTCCCTCGAAAACTAATAGTTCTAATGACAGATAAGAAATCTCAGACATTATGTCCCTCTAATTGTCACTTTCCAGGAATATGATTTCGGGAATCTAACAAGTTTTCTCCATGCTCTTTAATGGTGGATTGGGGCAAACTACCCCCCCCCCCCCGACAACTTTTTCCATGGTATAGTTTTTGGAATACTCATTCCTCCCAATACCACTGGTTCTTCCCCATATTATGACAATTCCTGGCCCTAAAATGGATTTCCGTGTTTTTGTTGTCTTCTTTTATGTAGAGGGAAGTGATGGGTCACGGCTATTCGCCCCCACTAGATTTATTTTGCCTATAATTTAATACATCTCGCGCTTACCCATCTCAATCTGATTATAACCCTTTCGTCCTCCTTTCTTCTCCCGGTTAACTTGCTATGTGAGGAATTGGATTGCCGTGTACCGTTGATACATCGCGCATGCATGGCTGTGGATTAATTATATACCATGCATGGCGCAATTTTAATCTTCAATGGCTTCTTGATGTTGCTCTGCACTATACACTCCGCGTTGCTCATTAAATGTCAATTCTCACTGACGACCTATGGAGACCATGGAGGCCTCACGAATGACATCAGCACAAGGAGATTGTTGGAAATCTAATTGTTTAGATATTGATCAAATTAAGTTATCACATAGACATAGTGAATTAAAATAATATTATCCAATTTACTAAAATCATCCAAATGATAACAATTGACACAACACCTGACCTGAAAATCACAGACAGTGAAAATCACTGCACATACATTACATTTAAAATGAAGAGACTACATACACAGATGGCATCTAAATTTGTTCCAAAGATGTAATTCGTTTTCAATTATGTGGGTGAAATGTGCATGAGGGAATTTCAAGAGGAAACTCCTTATTGCGACATTGCTGTTGTGATATTATTCAACATAAAATAATAATAATAATAAATAATGATAATAACGTTTTATTTACCAATGGTAGCAACTTCAGTTATGAAACTGCTCTTCCAGCGGGCCATGTGTTATTACTGCCCTTCTCCAATCTAATATGCTGAGCGCCTAGCTATATAGAAGGCAGAAGGTCCCACTGTTATAAGTCTTTGGTATGGACTCGGCCGGGGTTCGAACCCCACGACCTCCCATTCATGAGGCGAGCGCTCTAACCACTGAGCCACCATGCTTAAAGCTATAAGAAAGTTTTTACATACTCTCCAAGCTAAAGCTTTACCTTCTATTTAAACAAATAATCTTTTTGTCGTCTATTTAGGGATTGCGGTGAGATGGACATGATCAGAGATGAGAAGAAGATGACTGCTCCACCGTGTGCTTCGGGCTCTAAGATCCTCTACGCATGGGCAATGGATGCTCCTCCTCTCGAGCTACCAAAAGGTATAATCACCATAGTGATATCAGAACTTTACCAAGACCAAATTTCTTATCATTTTGATGATTCCAGAACCTTGCAGTACACACCAATACGTATATGCTATAGATGATCAACCTTTTCTGATCGATTCCACAACGTTTCTTTCACAATGCAATCGCATGGCCAGAACTGGTCTTTATCTTTAACATAAGTATTTTGTTTGAATGTATAATTATGTATGCACCTCTTAAAAAGTACACGATCGCAAGGGTTTTCAAGAAATCAGTTTGAGGTCAGTTAAATATGTTACAGTATGGCCTACATTAAAATCATGTTCGCACCACATGATGATAATAATGTGACTGTCATGTTCGCATTCGTCTTCAATAGGTGGCGCACAAAATAATTAAGGCTGAGTGAAACTGTTTGAAAGACGTAGCGATCTATTATTATCAAAGATTGACAGTTAAGATGAATAGATATTCTGTCAGCTTCACGATTTTCAATCTTTAGATATAATGTTTGAAGTTTTTAAAAAGAAGGAAAGTAGCGAATGAATCCAAATTCCGGGACGGGAGAGGCGTATGAAAACAGCATTATCTGGTGATTATTACATAACGGCATATACGTCATTTAAATTAACGTTGGTTACCTCGAATCTCTATATTATTTTCATCAAACTATTTCTATAGCATATTGTCGGTGTTTGATTTACTTTATATGCCTACTATCACTAACCAGATATGGAAATCTACACGCTAAGTTGAATGTCCGGATCGTTTGTAAATGTAACGTATATATTTAACGGCAGTGACTGAAAGTTTTTAAATTATAATAAAGTGCATGCCTTTAAGTGTAAAATGTATCACAAGATATGATAATAATAATAATGATAATATTGGCATTTATATAGCGCTCTTACAGACATACATGTGTATCACAGCGCTTTACAACATTACATTACTTAATTGACATTGATAGCAAACAATAAAATTACGTACACAAAAATATATAAATTCAACTATTAAAGAGAAAGGTTTTCAAGGAACGTTGAAAGATAGCGAGAGAAGGAGAAGATCGTACAGAGATGAAAGTTACTACGAAATCAAGAAATAGCTTTAAATACTGACAACCTGAAGTTTTGCCATCTCGCAATCATTAGAGTAGAATGCCAGAATGAACAAAAAGCCGGAACAAATAGAAGAAAATCGATTAAAGAAATACTGTTGATTTCAGCTTTCTATAGCTTGCGTTGAACTCTGATTAATGTAAGACAAACATATTATTGTGTTTGTTTGTTTTTTAATGTCCTTTCATTTGTTTTATTCACTGTTGATTATGCATCTGATTATCTCCGAATCGCCTTTTTTCAGGCATCGGCTTCGAGGTCGGAGGCGATACAGGCATCGACTATCTCGTTCTCCAGGTCCACTATGCTAACGTTGACAAGTTCGAAGGTAAGCATTCAAGAGAGCGAGAAAGAGAAAGAGTGATTGAAAGGGAGAGAGCGAGAAAGAGAAAGAGAGAGAGAGAGAGAGAGAGAGAGAGAGAGAGAGAGAGAGAGAGAGAGAGAGAGAATAATTTGACTAATCTTTTTCCTGCAACATTTTGTTCTATACTCTGGTATTTTTCGGTATGTAATATTTTTGTCAGGGGTGGGGGAGTAATGAGTTTTGTTTGTTTGTGTGTAAACAACAACCAATAGGGAGAGCCCTTAAACAGAAATTGACATTTCTTTTGGACAATCCCTAGGCATTGGTTGTTATTTTTCTTTTTTTAAATATTATTATCATGATCAAGTAGATGAAAATGAGTATACATGAGTCATTTTGATTTCAGGATTATACCAAACAATGGTTCAGATCAAACCTGCAGTTAATAAATTTGTTATCGTGTAAATTGAGTCTAAAAAGGGAATAAACACGGGATGATATTATACGATATAAAAATTATGATAATATCGTGTTTTTATATGTGTAAATTAGATGGATCAACAGACGATTCTGGCATCGCCCTAGAATGGACATTGACACCGTAAGTCTGACTTTTTACAACTAATGTAAGACCATTGGAAGTATTAAAGGAAAAAAAAACAACATATGAGGAACCATCTAACATTTTAAAATGAAAGCGGTTGAACAAGGTCTTAAATCAATAAGTATGCTGAAAAGCCTCACGCAATATCATACATTGAATATTCTCTTTCAGTGTACACACAGTATCCCCGTTTTCTCAGTGCCTTTGAAAAAATTCCCTTGTTGACAATATTATTGGTTATATTTATGTTTTCGTTTACGATCGGTATTACATCACGGCCCTATTTGACTCCATTTTGTAGAATGCTAATGACTGAAGGAGTATTAGTACTTTTACAGTTAACCACATCATCGCCATTTGTATTTCTTTACAGGCAGCCATTGAAAGCTGGTGTGTACTTCATGGGTAGTGATGGGGAGATCCCCGGCAAGTCAAAAGGTATGTAGTAACCCGGCATACAACTTCATCTTTCAATTAGGTTTCCACTTTTTTCCCATGTTACCTAATATTTACTGAACAGTCCATTTATTCTATATGCATGATATATTGATATATCTGATCGAAATAAATAATCTGAAGGTGATATTAATATGTATATCTTAATATTTTTGTGTATACCTGTATAGCCCTAATGTCCTTTGGCAAGACATTGATCTACATTTGCCACTTTCCACCCAGGTGTAAAATGGGTACCTGGTAGGATGCGAAAGCTAATGTGCTTAGATTAGCAAGTGTGCGTATGTAAAATGGCGACTGGCTGGAATGCTCCCCAGGGAGTGGAGAATGTGCATACCTTGTGTGCGGGTAAGCCTGGATCCGATGACCGGGGTAATAATTATGTTCCGCGCCTAGAAACGTAGTATTAGGCGCATTATAAATGTGAGCTATTATTATTATTATAGCCTTATTAAATATATAACCATTCAACTTCAGATTATATTTTTTGGTACGTAGAATGATTGGATGAATTTTTTCCTCCGTTATATTTTTGATCCACTAACCCAATACTGTACATGATTCTAACAAGAACGTGGAAAATATTCATTTTGGTGCTTCTTATAAGCCTTTTTATTTTTACTCAAATATAGTTTGCTCTGAGTCATGAGATTGATAAAGATCATTATTCATTTTGCAAGCAAAACAATTGAAAGTTCATGCCTAATGATATTTATATAAGGTAGTTACACGCATGGAAGTGTCGTGGTATAATGGATCATCCACTTGACTCTTAATTATATGGTTGAGGGTTCGACTATCAGCCCGGTACTAACGTCCACTTGCTAGACATGATTCCACATTTGCCGCTCTCCACCCAGGTGTAAATGGGTACCTGGCAAATTGCTGGGGTAATAATAATTGCAAGGCCCTCTGGAAGAACAGCACTGCATGAAGATGATAAGTCTTCCCTGGGTAAACAAAGTTATTATTATTACACATGTATATATTATCATTATACAAGAAGAGAACTAGATGCCAGGCAGTGACGAAATTATTTTCTGTTAAGAATTATGTCTTCTATCTTTTCTTCTTATATCTTTAGACGTGCATCTTGAGACAGCATGCGAGTATGAGGGACCGACACTTCATGCATTTGCATACAGAGTTCACACACACAAACTAGGTAAGATGTAAAAGAGATAGGGGGAAGGGGAGAGAGAGAGAGAGAGAGAGAATTTTCCTGTAGATTACTTCTTAACCTGTTTCTAATACTATCTTCATTCATTTTTAGTCAGAATTTACAATGCTTAACATGTCATCAGCATTATATTCATGACCACCAAAACTATCTCCATTAATATCATTTTCCACTTCACCATCATATTCTTATAACTCTAAATACAAAAGAAGATCATCATTATCATCATCATCACCAGCATAATCTTTTCAACGGGTTTAACACATCCATCTAATATTAACATCATGATGGCCATTGCCATCTCTGAATCTAATCAAACGTCTAACCCTGTTCGGTTCAATCTTAAAATAGGTCAAGTGGTATCTGGCTACCGTATCCGAGATGAATTCTGGACAGAAATCGGCAAACGAAGCCCACAATTACCCCAGGTGAGTGATTTATTGCAATTTTGTTATTATACCTATCAATGGTTCCATAAAATCACAGACATTTAAATCATAAGACTGAGCTATACGAAGAGAAATATTAATTTTTAGTTTAAAATATTTTAAATATAAAGTGCCTGAGCTCCCGAGTTGGTGGATACTGACGGAATATAGGATATCATAACTACATCGTCTCTACCCTACATAAGACATGTTAAGGTATAATCTGAACAATCATTTTCTGCGTAATTTATATAATCGTTTTTACACTTGGCATTGATTCTATTTACAAAAAATTGAAATACATAAAAAGTCAAACAACTCCGAAAACAATTAAAAAGAAGGAGAAAAACAAAAAAGAATTTCAGTCTGAGTTTAGACTCGAAAACCCTAATTAGTAAACCACAACATATTTAACATCTTTTTGTCTTTTGATAAAACCTGAATTTGATCACATAGGAATTCTGTTTTTGTGAAACAACACCTACGGAAGAGAAAGAAGAATAAAAGATACAAAGAGAAAGGGAGAGAGAGAGAGAGAGAGTCAGTTTCAAGTATGACATTCATGCTTCCCAAAAAATTGATGTGCTTAATAACCATATTTTATATATACAATTGCGTTAATATCATAATTATTCCCCACAGATGTTCAACCCCATCACGAAGGATATTGAGTTTCAGTCGGGTGACACGCTGGTAAGATTCTCATTTAATATTGTCTTGATTATGTCTAAAAGGATATTTCACTATCCCAAGATCTAATACGTCCAATATATGAACTGCACTTGCATGTACAGTACATGTATATAGTGTAGCAGAAAGAACATTTACCTTGAAGAAATACTCTTAAAAATATGGTTCCACAAAAAAAAACGCCTCACTAGGTACATCAAACATGTCTTCTTGTGAATAATCTAGAATAATGCAATAGGATTTACTACTTTCTTTACACAATGTCAATTTAGAGCTTTGTTGTTTAAAATGTACACATGTGCATGTCAAGTCACTTACAAGTCATTTCATAGTAATATATTTCATGAAACTTCCATCACTTATGCAGTGTTACAGCTTTTTCATGGTGTATATCAGAAACAATGCTCAGGCTTGAACTGATAAGAGACCAGTCTTCATCCACATCTAACTTTTATCCTCTGATATGCTCTCTCCCAAAAAACAGTTTAGATTCAGTGTGAGGATTGTTCGCTAATTGATCTAATTAGCCATATAAACAAATATTTAAAAAATGATGTATTTTATGACTATTACACAAATTGTAAAAAAATGGGGGAAAATACTCATCACACTTCCATTTTTCACTCCAATTCATAATACAAAATTGATTATACAAAGAAGATCAGATATGTAATTTTACAACCTTTTATTGCAAATTGTATGAATTCAAACAATTAACACATCACTTGACAGAATACACATAAATAAATACACACACATATCAAACAAGTGAACTTTTATAGAGCCCTATATACTGTAATGCACTATCAAGTCAAACATATGTTATGTATGTACATAAGATTTGAAAAAAAGTATTGAGTTCTGCTCACTTTTCCCCTCGAAACTGAATACTGGCATAAAAAAGGACATGGAATTATTGCATAAAAATGCATAGCACAATATCACCTCAAACATGTAGGTTTAGTTATTTGTCATAATTCAAGCTTTTTACTACTGATTTAACAAATCCAATATTCATCTTTTCTCAAATAATAGGCAGCACGATGCACATTTGCAAGTGACAGAGATGAAACAACATACATAGGGTAAGTAAACTGGAATATTTGTGGGTACGTAGTAAACTACTACTGCTCCTACTACTACTACAGTCAAACCTGCTTTAGTGACCACATTTTTTGTTTCCCTTGAAAATGGTTTATCATTGAAATATACACTAAGGTAAAGGAATCCGTCTACAAAGATCACCTACCTATAAAGACCACTTTTCTTGTCTCCCTTGGGAGATGTTTACAGACAGGTTTCACTATACTACTACTAATGATAATAATAGTAATAGTAATAGTAGTAGTAATAATTATAATAATAATATTCTGAAAGACTTCTCCTATTCACATTCAAATTTTGCCTTTTAAACACTTGAAGTTGAAAGTTTTACAATCAGAACAGCCCTGCTCACATTCAAATTTTTCCCTTGCACCCAAAATGGCTGATGACAAAGTGACGCACAAATTCTACATTGTTCTTTAGAACTTTAAGGACTTGCCCTATTCACATTTGAATCTTAATGCTCCCCCCCCCCCCCCCACAGAATGACGGGCGACGATGAAATGTGTAACTTCTACATCATGTACTACACCAGTGAGGAGCAGTTGCCAACGATGAAGAGTTGCTATGGCGATGGGCAGTACAAATGGGCGAATGATCTACCTAACATACCAGACAAGGAGGCAAGCAGTCTCACCAGCGACGCACCATCAAACAGCATGTAGACTTATGTGCTATATACTCAGTCCCAACCCATTCACTATTATGTTGTTAACTTTATGTTTGCCCATTATGTTCATTACAAGAAGTAAAAGCAACCGTTGTAATTCATGCTTGCCTGACTTTAAAACATAATGATTGTTTTATAAATGTTTAATTCCAAATGTTGAATCCTTCATAATTTGAATTTCTGAATTCATCTAGTATGATCTAAATTTATGTTCATACTTAACCTCACAGGAGAGAGTTATAATGGGAGTTTTGGTGAAAACTAGATTAATGAATTTCTATCTGATTGATGTAAATGGTACACTATGGTGCAATATTTGACTTGAGTTCATCATCTTGACAGGAATGAAAGTATTTGGGTGGAACTGTCACGAAAAATTAGACTGTTACTTTTACTTGCACCTACTGCTATCTCAATGGAGAAACAAAAATGACCAGATTTTGCCGCTGCTTTCTGAAACCCCCAAAATACCTGTAATGAGCAAACAATATTGGAGATTGACTCATTTTTCATTCATTTAACGATCATCTTGATGATTGTTCCATCTCTGTTTGGAGTGCTAAGATTGTAAATAATATAAATTATTTAACATAGTGTTTGTTGTAAATAATAATGATACAATAATTTGTGCAATCTTGTGTGGTTGTCATAGGTTTTAAACAGTACTTGGCTTTGCTAATGGCAGCTTGCGTAGCTTATTGGACAAAAGCTGCTTATCACTACTAGTATGCTCTAGAATAGACTGGTCTAATACACAATAGAGCCTGAATGTAAGCTTGGGTTGTTTTTGGCATCAATAAATCCTCAAATTTCATAACTGGTGTGAAAGTTGTGTTTTAAGTACTAGCAGCCATTCAACAAAAATTACATGAACTGATGTTGCTAAGCAACCATTGAACTTCAAATATTATCCTTTACATTAATGTGATTTGAAAACACAACAAATCTATTCTAAGATTAATGCTCTAAACAATTAAATATTGGGTCCCCTCAGTTGTTTGCATATCTAGAAAATTCACACATCTATAACAATTTCATGTCAAGAAGCTTATATACTACTTGTGGTATATATTTTTGGTGCAGTTCTCAGGCATTACATATGAGAGCCTGAAGAAAAACTAAGACATGACTTTCATGGGACGACCATCTATCACAGATTTCATTAAGAATCTGAACTTGCACCAGTGCATTAGCAAGCTTTAACACCTTATGCACTTTCTTGTCAACATAAACAGATGCAATTTAATTGTCTTTGAAAAAGTAGTTTGCAGAGATGTAATATGCTGCTTATTAAAATTGAGGATTCGTAAAGCGCTCAGTTGCAGAGGTAGGTCTTCCAGCTTAGGAAAGTAAGTCAATGCTAGTCAATGTTTGAAGAAAAAAAAGAGCTTGAGCATTGCAGTTGAATGTTTAAAATAGATTATACAAGAGATTAATCCAATTAAGATTAAAATATTAGGTATCATTCTTTATGGGGTATTTTACGTGAAAATTTGTGCGCACAGCTTAATAAGCTGCTTTTTAAATATTTTTAAGATGCATTGGAATACACTTATTAATTGGAACACATTAACACACCACCATATACAGATGATAATCTGTGATAAATAGACAAAAAAGTTATTATTGTTGTTGTTTTTAGGATATAACACATCTCACATTATGTCCGTTGAGTTGATAGATATTATCCCTTTAAACTCTAATGATCAATTGCCGTCTTGTCTTATACCTAGGATAGGAAGACTGAATTATTGCATCACTTTTTCTTGCACAAGGCAGAACACCATGCACTGTTACATTCCAACCCTGCCCTCTATTAAAGCTGGACATTCCCGGTTTCTCTCATTTTTTCTCTGCCCCAGTCTAAACTCTTGCTCCATGTCTATAGAGTACTGAAGCTGTGTCATCATAAAAATCTGTTTGTGTAATTTCTTCATTTTTTCTTCATTTTCTGAAAGAGCATCAAAAATAATGTCTAAATGTCAAAAACCAATTAAATATGTTAAGTATTAACTGAGATATGACCATCTGAATAAATAGATTTCTTATAGGAACTCAGTGTTATATTGCTCTGGCTCAAATGTTATGAACCAGAGCACTATAACACTGAGTTCCTGATGGTCGTATCTCAGCCAATACATTTGGACAATATTTTTTATGCTCTTTCGTAAAATGAAGAAAAAATTGAGACATTCCAAAAATAGATTTTTGATGACGTCACACTTCACCACTCTATTCTGACAATACGCATCTTGCCCTGGCTAAAAAATAAATAAAAAAATAATGCACTACTTTGGACACTTACTGCCTTAGCACCGTAGAGCGTAATATTATCAGGGGCTTAATTATTGGTAACTTTATGTATATGTTAGCAGATTGATCTTGCCTAGCCCGCTTTGTTTGTTATGTACAGTATGCTTAGTAATTAATTGGTGTAAACACTTACATATGTGGATATGATGTGAAAATAAAGTCTATTTAGTTCATAAACTTCTTGTTGCATTAGAAATATCAGAATTCCTCTTGTGTAATTAAAAATCTGAGGGATCATTACTGCATGCAGGAAAATGAGAGAGAAAATGGGATGAGAGACAGAGAGGGACAGAAAGAGAAGTGAGAGAGAGAGAGAGAGAGAGAGAGGGGGAGGAGAGAGAGAGAGAGAGAGATAGATAGATAGAGAGATAGAATAATAAAAAGAAGAAGAAGAAGAAGGAGAAGAATAAATGAGGATAAGAAAAATAGCAAAAGCATTTTATGAAGTGAAGAGATAAATGGAAATTAGAATGAGAAATACAAAAGTAAGAGGTGAGGATAAAAACACGAATATTTCAGAGGATTTGAGAACACTGTTCAAAGGATATATCTTCACTATTAAACTCATTCTTTCTTTCCTCCAATATTTTACTTTAAGGCACGTTCAGACATGATGAAGCAAAACAGAAGCCGTTTTTTAAATAATGGATTGAATAATATGCTTCACATTCATTTATCTCTTATAACACAGAGCTCAGTGAATACATGCAAGTCCTTTGTTGCACGCAGTTGCCATTCAGGTACACATTAACAAAAACGTGGTGGCTTTTTTGTGGCTGTTTACTTTGTCATATCTGAACAAGCCTAAAGGAATTAATCCCAATCTGACAAAGTAGTTGGACACAGTTACATCTTAATACATAACATTAATCGTAGACCTGCCTAGTACAATCGTATTTTAAACAAAACAAAATTGTAGGGTTCAACTTCAAGTCAATGAGGTATCAATTTTATACATTGTATTAACTCAGTTCTCCATGTCACTCCTATCATATTCTGTTCTTCATTTCAAATATACAAACATTGATTCTAAAAAATAAATAATTTGAACAATATACACATATATAATACTTTAAAAAGAAATCATCACAAATAAAGTTGTGTGCTTAGTGCATAAGGAAAACACACTGAGCACAAAGAAATATATTCAAATAAAGTATATTATCAATCCACAATGCAATTCCATCTTTGACATGTCACCTGTCCATTTTTTTTTTCTTCATTTTTTTCTTCTCCCTACAATAAATTCACACCCGTTTTTTAAATATACTGTAAAGATGACAATGACTATGAGTTAAGTACTAATTTATTCACGCTAGAAAGATTTCCAGTGTGGGTAATTTTGCAGACACAAAACAAGAAACATGTACATGTAGCAAACAGTATTATTTTCAATTTCTTTTGGAGGAAGACTTTCAATTTTTTTTCTTTTTCAGATAACTGCCTGTAACACAATCATAAATTTTATTTCGCCAATATTAAAATATTAAAAAAGTCAAGTGCGTGACCTATCAAAATTTGCAGAATGTACAATACATTATCAGCTGTAATATCAATAGATATTAGAGCTGATAGTAGTTGAAAATGAGATATTGTGCAGCCCTAGTTAAAACTAGATGGAACTTCGACTGCGCGCAGTCGAAAATGTGCCTCCGTCATAGAGCAATTTTACAAACCAAAACAGAAGAAACTTTTCGAATTCAAGTTCAATTGTAATCCATTAACAGGTTCTCAGAATATTGTGATTACGAGCTATTTTTGCATACATGAGCCAATGACCTTTGACCTTATGAACCAAGAATCTACTCAGTTCATTGGCTCTGCAAGAAACATACATGACCTAAGTTGGCAGGAATCCATCAATCGGTTCTTGAGATAACGCGATCACGAGCTGTTTTTGCATACATAATGTGCCCTGTGGCCTTTGACCTTTGATCTTGTGACCCCTACATCTAATCAGTTCATCGGCTCTGCAAGTAACATACATGACCTAAGTTTGGCAGCAATCTATCAATCGGTTCTTCAGATAACGCGATCACAAGCTCGTTTTGCATACATAATGAGCCCTGTGGCCTTTGACCTTTGACCTCGTGACCTCAAAATCTAATCAGTTTTTCGGCTTTGCAAGTAACATACATGACCAAAGTTTGGCAGCAATCCATCAATCGGTTCTTCAGATAACGCGATCACGAGCTCGTTTTGCATACATAATGAGCCCTGTGACCTTTGACCTTTGACCTCGTGACCCCAAAATCTAATCAGTTCATCGGCTCTACAAGATACATACATGACCAAAGTTTGGCAGGAATCCATCAATCGGTTCTTCAGATAACGCGATCATGAGCTCGTTTTGCATACATAATGAGCCCTGTGACCTTTGACCTTTGACCTCGTGACCCCAAAATCTAATCAGTTCATCGGCTCTACAAGATACATACATGATCAAAGTTTGGCAGGAATCCATCAACCAGTTCTTCAGATAACGCGATCACGAGCTCGTTTTGCATACATAATGAGCCCTGTGACCTTTGACCTTTGACCTCGTAACCCCAAAATCTAATCAGTTCATCGGCTCTACAAGATACATACATGACCAAAGTTTGGCAGGAATCCATCAACCAGTTCTTCAGATAACGCGATCACGAGAACGGGACGTACGTACGTACAGACGTACGTACGTACGTACGTACGGACGTACGGACGGACGGACAACCCGAAAACATAATGCCTCCGGCTACTTCGTAACGGAGGCATAAAAACACATTTAATGAATCATTAGATGAAACTAGACATTTGAAATAAACATAATTTACCCAAGCCAGAGTAAAATAAAAATATAAATTAAAACACTTTAAAACAAGAAAGATAAACTGTTGATACCGCCAGCAGTACTTAAAAAGAAAAGAAAACATAGTAAAGAAAAGAAAAAACATATTAAAGTGTAAAAAGGCAGCCTCATTCTATCAACTATGGCCCATATTCCCCTACCGTACTTCCCTTAAACCTGATGCAAGGACAAGTCATGTAAAAAAAAAGGCAAAACTTACACAAGACTACACCTCTGACCAACCTGCTTTGTTAAACTCAAGTTTAAATTGATCTTAAAGCTAGCGCTGGCATTGAGTTTAAAGTAGACACCACATCACACAAAGAAAAGAAGACGTAAAATATGCTATGATTAAATAGAAGACCGGCTTATTAAAGCCGCTTCATAGCCTGTGTACACTTGGGCAGATAATGGTCATTTGTACAACAAGAAATACTTGATACATGCTCATGACAGACACGCAATCATTATTCATTTATGCATTAACATTCCATGATACAGATGGAAGAATTGCTTTCATAGGGAGGAAACAAAAACTTATTAATGTTTGACAAAGGAAAATACAGTCAAACCTGCTTTAATGACTACCTGTCTTCAAAGACCACCCACCTGTCTACAGAGACCACATTTTTTGTTTCCCTTCAAAATGGTTTCTCATTGAAACATGTACTTAAGGAACCTGTCTACAAAGGCCATTTTTTGTGTTTTCCTTGGGTGATCGCTATAGACAGGTTTGACTGTATTATGTTTTGGTGTAACATTCTTTGTCAAGCTCAGCTCTAGACCCAACTTGCATTAAATCCTGGGTTTGAAATACTGAGTCGTCAGGTATACATGGCTCTCCCAATGGAACAAAGTCGACTCGTCATTAAACAAAGTAGCACTTGTGTCAACATGCACACTTCAGCCAATGACTGCAAATCCAACATTGTTTATATAAAACCAATATTGAATTAAAATCAATAGCATGACCCCTTGTCAGGGGGTCAAAGGTTACCCTAGGTCGTGCCTTGGATGACATGTCTGATCCTCTCTGCATCCTGTCTGAGCTGTTCATTCTTGGGTTCTATCTTCAGGGCAGCTACGTAATCTTGAAGACCTGCAAAGCACAAATTTTGAAGTTTTTTGAATGGAGGGGTATTGTTTGACCTTATCATTTGACATTTTTATCCCAAAGTTTGCATTTTTCAATAATTTTTGAAAACAGACAAACAAAACATACTGGTACTAAAACCATGCAGATATTTGCAGCAACATGAGTATCTTTATGTGAACTAGAGGTTGATATATATATTTTTGTTCACCTTAAAAATTGAATAAGGGTTTGTCGTATCACTATAGAAAACATAACATAAACATCATAATAATCATATGCCAATGTCATACTTTGGTGTTCTTTTTTCTTTGTCTTTGTCACCCCCCCCCCCCCCAAGATTTGCAGCATGCAATTTTATATGTACAATAGTATCTAACTGTACACAAACCATCAATTCTCTAGTTTCTACTTGAAGGATAATAGATATGTTTAATCCCATTGACTCATAAATTCTCTTACTCTCAAAGACTTAATAGAGGGACCAACCAGGGTCATACATATACAGGTAATGGGTTACAAAAGAGTACAGGTACATAAGAGTAGAAGAGTACCTTCTGCATAGAGTTCTAGTTCACAGAATGCAGTGCCCCTGCGTGTATGGGCTCTGAGACGTGACGAGGCATTGGCTGGTACAGGTGGGGTAAGTAACTCAATAGCCTGCAGGAGAGAGAGAGAGAGAGAGAGAGAGAGAAAAAATAATATGTTTCATTCTTTTGTTCCACAATCGCACCATGGCTTATCAACTTAGAACTTACCAGAGGAGGTGCGATAGCTCAGTCGGTAGAGCAGTAATCTCGTAATCCGGTGACCCGGGTTCGAAACCAAAGTCAATGCGCTGCCCTTCGGTAAGGCATTAATCCTCATTACCAGGTCCCTCGGAGAGGACCTAAAGTCGTCTGTCCTCTGGTTGCTTACTAACAAGCATCTATGCTTACTTAGCAGTCAGGTAAAATAGCCACCACTTAACTATTATCCATGGACAGATTGCATGCTAATAACAAATGTTTCTTGTAATCTTCATCTTTCATCTTCATATTATTGAGTAAGAACAAATAAAGTTGCTATGCTTACACCTTGTTACACATTAAGCAGCACAATGCCCTCACCCAAAGAAAATACATTGGAACAATAAAACCTTTTTTAAGTGTAAATGTAAGAGTGTATGGCATACTCACTCTAACCCTAACCCTAGCCTAAAACACAATGGCACATCTGACCCTAACACTATATTTTTGACGAAACTGCTAAAGCCTATTTCAGAGCACAAACCAGTCTGCAACTTTGCACCCATAAAGATGACGTGGATCCTAATCAAATGATTGGTTGAAAGCATACACGTGACCAGGCATTTATATTGCCAAACATATAAGTTGGATAATGACTGGTCATCATCCAATTCTAATGACCGGTCATTAGTAAAAGTCGTATTATAAAACATCATTTTATATAACAAATAACATAATAAAACAAATAATACACAGCATTTTGTTCGGGCATTAGTAAAATTACCCACACTCGGTACCTTCCAAACAGTCCAAATACCCTTGGCTACCTCGACTGTTCCAAAGGTACCTTGTGTGGGTAATTCTTACTAATGCCCTCACTGCTGTGTATTATTTGTATATTACTAAACTAAGGGCAGACTGGCCATGTGGAGTTTTTCTCTCCAGGCCACTCAATAATTTGTCTTGAGGGCCAGTCGTTTTGTGGTCTGAGGGCCGGTTGATGTGTGAGATGGGACAGTCGCATCACAATTCCCAAAACAAATTTGAGCTCAAGTCCAGCCCTGATCCAACTCACCTTTGAACAGTCTTCAATGCATTTGATGAAGTTGCGTAATTTCAGGTGGCAGGCCCCTCTGTTTGAGTAGAAACTGAACAAGGAGTTTGGTCAAGGAAGCTAAACTTATTGAAATGATGAAACAAATGTGGGATCTATTCTAACTCTTGAGTCTCTGAAAATCTATTAATGAAAGCTTTCTCAAAGAGGTAATCATCTCTTTGTCAGATTAAAAACAACAACACAAAAATTCCTAAAGAAGCTACTGGAGAAAGACCTCCTTCACCCCTCCCCCCCCCCCTTTTTGTGTTTTTGTTTACTCATAGTATTAATTGGCAATTTCATGAAGAAAAAAACATAAAGCAAAATCACATTCTTTTTTTTTAATAAACATTAAAGTGGGCCAACCAAATCATTTGAAAGTGCATTATAATTCTTTAGAAAGAAAAGAGTAAATGAATTGGATGAGCCATACATATATTGAGGGGGGGGGGGGGGGTAATAAACTAGGCGTTGTGGCGTGCGCCTGTAATCCAGTTAACATTGGAATTTACAAACTGATTCAGCCTGGGACGCATGCTCGAAACTGAGTCACATCTTTCGGAAAGTGACATTTAAAGGTCGGTCCCTAGACATACTTAAACATATATGATTGATACAAGTCTGTAAAACCCCAATAAAAAGGATACGCAGGTACTTTTCCATTCAGTCTGATGGCTGTGTTATATGCATTGACGGCTGCCTGGAAGTTTCCACCCTTGAAGAAAGAGCTGAGGGTTGGAAGGCAGACAAGAAATATCAGATTATTAAAATGATAAATACAAATTAAATCACAATCCATGTGACCATTGACTTCTTCAACATAAAAAGCTAATCAGTTCATCATTTCATGCTCATACATACATGATCCAAATGAGGCTCAGTGGCAGAGCCATATAAATAGTGATGCTGCCTGATATGGCAAGTTCCAGCACTGTTATCCTCTCAATATTTTTGCATTAAATACAAGGACTCATATCACCGGAGCTGATGGAAGTCATACAGATAGATTATAAACAGTCATTTTACGCAAAGATTAATCAACAGAAATACACTTTTAAACCTGCAATTAAGTCTATAAAGCAAAAAGTAAAATTAACATTTTTGAGAGAAGGTTACAGCGAGCCCCTAACAAATTTTAGAGAGGGAAATTGTTATTTTTGATCAGTAAGGATTCCCCTTTGCAATTATATGAATTTTGCATCAATTCAAAACACTTTTGATTCTTTGGTTGACTATTTTAAGAATTACTGGTATTATAAGGAGAAGATTATTATGCATGCCCAGGGAATAATTTTCCTGGTATCGCATCGCAATTTGCTATGCATTTTTGCATGACTGCTATACAAAATATTGTTTGTGTAGCAGTTTTCTTCCATAGAAATATACAGAATTTCATTTGAAATATTTATCCATCAGCTGAAATTGCTAATCAAAATATTTGAGGAAAATTATTCCCTGATGCCAGTTTTATTTGATATCATATCAACCTCCCCCTCCCCCCTCCCGCCTCATCCCTATGCCACTTCCTTTTACAATTATCCTTAATAAACTTTAAATGTGGAGTATCATCCTGTAATCTTTTGTGACAATGTTAATATTTATTTCTGATTGATGAAGAGAAAGAAAAAAAGGAGGTATTTCTTTATCCAAATTTGATATATAACAAAGCTGAAATCTAAGGTCAAATTTGGACTAACTTCATGAAAGGAAGATCACTTACTCTCCTTTATCTTTGAGCCAGAACGGGTCCCTCTCTTCTGGGGCTAGATCTTCATCTTCAATCTCTGGTATTCTTCTTGCTTCAGCTTGTTTCCTTAACCACTGTATATCAAAAAGAAGGAATAAATACATGTAAATACAGAATTAATTACATAACATTGTCTCTTGCATATCATAAAGTCTGATTTGTATCTGGATTAAATTCTCTATGAGACAACAATCAAATAATCTACTAAGTTTTTCAGAAACTGTCCTCCCCCCCCCCCCCTCTTTTTCAGAAGAAAGATTAAATAAAGCCTGGAACAAATGTCACCAGAGCATATATGGGTCAGCCCATTTGTTTTAAATGAGTGTGTGTGTGGAGGGGGGGGGGGGGCACAATAATCTGAAAACATAATTTGACAAGCAAAGATAAAAAGGAAAGAAAAATCATTTTTTTATACAGAAATGTTCTGGTTATCACTTGAAAAGGGAAAGGTATGTCACTTGGGTTGCAAAAAGAAGCGTGGACCAGTTTTGCCCCCGCCCCCCCCCCCCACATCTAAATTGACCTAAGGGGTCAACCCTAGCCCTGGCAATACAGAAAATGAATTTAAACCCTTTACTAAAACCCCACTGCACTACTTATAGCTAATTGCGCCCTCTATATGGCTAACAACGCCTAAGCCGTGACCATAGTTCTCCCATGGTCCCCATTTTCTGATGTTAATTGAGAGCTGATTTGATGAGATAACCACCTGTCAGTGACCATGCAGGGAGGTTTAACCCCTCCTGGCCAAACTAGTGCAGATAGGCTTTAAACCACACAATATGAATAAGACATACCTCATCTTCCTCATGAACTCTTGACTCTCTCATCGGGGTAGGGAAGACACGGGGTGTGAAGGTAACAGAGATGTTTTGACGGGTGCGTGGGGGTGGAAGCTTATCGATCAGAGCTTTCTTATCTTCAGGTGTATGATGTACCTCATCATCATCCTCCTCATCATGCTCATCATCACCGTCATCATGTCCTGTCACTGTGGAATGCAATGAGACAAGTATCAACTACATATAAATGAGAAAGTTTTTTTTTTTAATGTTTAAAAAAATTTAAACAAAACAAAACAAACAAAAACTATCTATAGAATAATCCATAATAAAACAAAAATGAATGTTAGAGGTTCCTAAAGATGTTATCTCACACCACATTTAAAAAAAAGGAATTAAAGGCAATATTTTCTTTACTATATTCTAAATTTGTCTAGGAACTTGGCATTCTAGAGGCATGGTCTACACTTTTAAAGTTGCAGATAAAAAAAGAGATAGAAAGCGTGGAAAAGCAAGAAAGACAGAGAGAGAGAGAGAGAGAGAGAGAGAGGGAGAGAGAGGGAAAGAACAGACAAGAGTAAGAGAGTCAGAGAGAGGGACCGAAGGAGGAGATAATGATGAGAAAGATTAACATAAGGCCTAGGGACAAACAACCAAACTTCTCTTAAAACAAGGATTGAAAAAAAGGATGAGTTGACCAGAAAATTCTTTAATTTCAATTTCAATTTAGTATTTATTGTCCATTTCTGGATATTTGGTTTTCACTGGTGTAACATATACAGGTTAACATTTACTAATGAATTTACAAAAATGTAGACATTAACAGTAAAACGGTGAACATATTAAGTAATGCTGCCCTTTCTCTCAAAATAAAAATACATTAGAAAGGCTGATTGATCAATATCTCAAGAGAGACTACAATAAACTCACTGTAAGCTGGATGTGGCTCATCACCAGGTAATACTTGATGTTTCTTCTTCCAATCTTCTATTTCCTCTGTCGCTTGTCTGATCTCAGTCTGTTTTATCTCATGAATCTTCTCTCTCTCCTCATTCTCAAGCTGTCAAATTGCACACAAATTTCATTAATGTTATACAGTACATGATCCTATTAATTATAAATTCAGAACCTGGCAAATTTTAAATGATAGCCACTTTCACTACACAGGGTGCTTATATTTCATGTTGTCATTCAATTAAATTTCCAATATTTGTGGCAAGAAACTCGCAAACCAAACCCCTCAAAACAAAACAAAAAACAACAACAAGTATGATGCTTGTTGCATGTCTGTGGTTTTCAATCTCAATCAAGCTGACCAATCTTTGAGTGAAATCTTCTGTAGGCCTATTGTAGCATGTGAGTCAGTGCAGTCCTACATCACATGTATGAAATTTTGATGAGTCACACACTTGGCTTAATGTAAATTGAGCAGAGATCTGTAAAAGAAGACAGATCTTGATGAGACAAAAATCCCCTGGACTACTAGCCAATTACCGTCCTCTGGACTCCTTTCATCCTAGTACAATTATCAAGCGACCAACAACCCCACCCCAACATATATATACACCCCTCATTAATAACCTAATAATACTAAAACAATATCAAACTAATGGTGCTGGACAAAACAAAACAAAATTCCACAATGAATGAAACAACTAATTGTGTCTAGCAGCAGTTCATCAAAAACTGTGATTCAATTCAGTATCCAAATTTTGATTCTTACACCAAAAATGTAAACAAGCTCTTGACTTACTCTCATTTGTTCATTCAATGCCAGTTTCTCTTTCTCTCGTTTCTTCCTTCTCTTTTCTTCTGTTTCTTCTTCTATTCTTCTATGCTTTTCTGTCACTGCATCATCTCTCCTGGCTTTCATCTTGTCTTTGTCGCCTGCAGAAAGAAAAAGAAAAAAAAAAACTCAATAAAATGAATGATTGAAGTTCATGTATCTGGGACTGTCATGGTTAGAAGAGCCATTATAAAGACAGAAACCAAATTATAATGACCGAAACATATAAACAAATCATTCTGTAAAACTAAATAGAAGATAAAGTAAGGATAGGAACAAGGAACAGACATACTGAAGAATGGCAAGGTTGGGGTTACGAGCCTTCTTCATTCATACATCAATTCTGAAATCAATTCTGAAAACAAAACAAGATTTCAGAATCGATGCATGAATGAGGAAGGCTGATAACCCTATCCTTCATGCATCCATTCTTAAATCTTGTTTATATTAATCGTGTTTATAATGCATTTAGAAAGTTTACTCAAAGATTTATCATTAGCTAGTATATAGTATAGCTACTGATGTTGATAGACCAGTTCACGGTTAGCAAATGTCCCAAATGATTCTGAATATCCATAGATCTTCAAAAAATGAAGAGGTCCCACTATGTAAATTTTGAAACAATCACTCCTACAGCGATGGAAGTGCTACAAAACGGTTTTCCCTTTTCAAAGAATACTTCCACCTGTGTTTGTGCATAAATGAATAATATTTACATTACTTTCATGAGCATGTAACCAGTATTTTGTCTCTGTGTATTTCACAATTTGGTATGCAATGACCTTTTATTGCTCATGTTCAGATTGCAACTATGAACTGGCTTATTAAGTTTATAAATATTGTATGAATATACTTTACCTAATGTAGAGGATGAAAGTTGACCCCAAATTCCGAGTTCTTTCTTGATGAGTTTGAAGACAATGACTCCATCTCCTAGCTGAGCTACACTCTTACTGTCATCAACTCCAGCATAGAGAAACATCTCAAAGAAATATGGTGGACTATTCACCTGTAAAATAATAGCAAGAATTAAGTGTGAGGTCAATTCATTTAATTTTAAGCAAGAACTGTTGAACTATTGAGAATTCTAAAGGTATCTAATGCTCTTGTCTGTTGTCTCAATAAAGTGCACTGATCATCATCTCTATTAGACTGTGACAGGACAGCCCTTCGAGAAGAGGAAGGAGAATAATAATGAGGAATTAAGAGAAAAATCATTTTTAAAATACCAAACTTGGAGAATAAGAAAAGGAGAAGACAAGAAGAATAAAAAGTAATGAACTTGAAAATGGGAACTTTGATTTAATTATCAGTTGATCACTTGACTTTTTACAATGTTAAATCAGTTCAAAGAAGAAGTGAGAGGGGAGGAGGAAGGGAAAACGATCATGAGAATACGGAGGAAGAAGAGGGGGAGGAGAAGAGGAGAAGAAGGGGGAAGAGGGGTAAGAGGAGGAGGAGAAGAAGAGAGTGAGAGAGAGAGAGAGCAGGAGGATAGGAAAAGAAGGAGGAGGTCGAGGGGGAAGAAAGGAGGGGGGAGGAGGAGAAGGGAGGAGGAGGAGTGAGGAGGGGGAAGCTAAGTAAGACTAGAGGAGGAATCGAGGATGAGAAGAAAGAGGGGGGAGGGGGAAGAAGAGGTAGGACTAGGAGAGGGAGAAGAGGTAGGAGAGGGAGAAAAAACAAAACAACCACTAACCCTTTAGTTACTAATCTCTGTCACCTAGTTTCATTTGCAAATTCAAATATAGAACTTAGAAGTCTTGTCCAAACTAGGCCTACACATAAACAAACGCCATTCTATACAGATGGGACCAGCATTAAAAAAAAATGACAGCTGGAACTTCACAACGCATTTTACCTTGATGTATTCATCACTTGAAAACAGATCTGCCTTCGAAGAATTGTTTCCTTTGATGGGCACCGTGATGTGAACATCAGTATCCGACTCCTCCCACGTGTAATCTTTGATGGCGATGGGCATTTTTGTGAGTTATTGACTAATATTGACAAGAATTCTTTGACTTTTACGGGCATGTTCGAGATCTGAGAACTGTTTCGTGGCAACGGTAAACTGGGGACAATTCGGCGGGGACGCGCCGGGCCGGGCTAAATGACCGTAGCGGAGCTGTATATTTTCGGCAACGTACTGAGCTGAGCTATATCATATCATACGTACTGTATCATTCATATCCTGTTTCGAATTCGTCTTAAATTATATGTCGTTGAATTATTGTATATATGCGTGCATTCAGTATTCAAAACTACAAGTTTATTTACAAGTTTGATATAGTCTAGACCCCTAGTCTAATATTGTGCAAGTTGAATCATAAAGTAAATTCATATCACTAAAAAATAAAGCTCGACGCAAAATAAACAATAAGAAACAAGTCCAATAAGAGTCATAACACTAATTTAAAATTAATATGTTGTTGTTAGTCAAGTTTTCATAAATCATGATGTTGCTTTTTGCGTGATGTTAGAGGCAGGAGGTGAGTTGGCTCAGCTCTATAAAGAGTCTGCCTGTCGAACCAAAGATCTCAGGTTCGAAGGGTTCGGATCCCACCCAGGCGGATGACTGCAAGCCTGCGTTGTGTGTTAACATGCTCCTCCCTTTGTTTCATAGATGCAGGCTATGTTAAGTGGAAAACACTCCGTCCCTCGGATAGGACGTTGAACGGAGGCCCCGTGTAGAGAAGAGTCACTACCTTTGCGCGTTAAGAACCCACTGCACTATTCGTTTAAGAGTAGGGGAAAACCCTGGTGTAGTGGTCCACCTGCACACCCCAGTATAGTACGACAATACTCTGTAAAGAGGGATGTACACAAATGGAAGAAGAAGAAGATCTCTATCATCTGTTTTTCACTAATTTTAAGTTTCAAGAAGAAAGTAAGCTTTTTGAGTCATTAAGCCAGCTAGTCTAATTGAGTGGTTCATTAAGTGATCGTAAAACTTGATTTGACCCAATTTCACCTGCCAATTAAAACAAATATTTACATTGGTATTAAACTTCAAGATCTAGAGAATCTGGTGAGGATTTGAAGGATGAATGACACATTTTATCATCACTAAATTTTACTACTCAAATTTTGCTTGCAGTGAGGTTCCAACTTTCAAATTCAATGGGGTCAATGAGTCAAGAGGCCGAGGATGCAAGCCTTACTGAGCAGTCTGATATCCTATTCATCCCACCATTGTACGAGCAGCGTTATCAAGAGGTCACAAGGATTTCCAGGGAATGCCAACCAAAGAAGGTATAATATGGTTTCAAAAATGAAAATTGATTTGCTTCATAAATTCACTGAAGTGAAGATAATAAAAAGGGGAAAGTTTGAATACTTTAAAGAGGATGGAAAAGGTGGTGGGTGTGGGTGCGGGTGGGGGGGGGGAGGGGGGGGGGGGGAGGGGGGGGGGGGGTAAGGGAGATTATTGCATTTGAAGCCCACATCACAGTACATCAAGGTAATTAAAGGCTAATGAAATGCATCACTTGTGAGTCAGATTCTTATTATCATATAACATAATTGAGGACATTAAATTTGCAAGTTTAACAACATAAGAAGGAATCCTTGAAGAGACAGATCCAAGATGATCAAGGAGGATAAGGATTCAAAGGGAGTTAGAATATAGAATTGGAACCAAATACCAATTTAGGGAAGAAAGAAATCCAAAAATCATCCGAGAATCATCAGCATAGTCTACTTAAGTTTAAGAAAAACAATAGCAAACTAGGATATGCAGATAAAGGATAGAAGTACATTGAGCAACTTGTAGGGAATAATGACCCTTCTTTGTAATTTTGAACCCCTTGCCCATGCAGGTGGTGGATATCGGCTGTGGAGAACTCAAGGTGGTGCGTTTGCTCAAGTTCCATCGGTACATTCATGAGCTGATAGGTCTTGACGTTGATGGAGATCTTCTGAAGCAGCACTCATACCTGATCAACCCTTTAGCGTCATCATACCTCCACCCCCTACCCCACCCTCTGGTCATCGCACTACTACATGGGTCTATAACAGAGAGGGATAGTCGTCTTCTCAACTCGGACTTGGTGGTCTGCGTTGAAGTGTAGGTTATAACCATCTCTTGTTTATTTGAATTAGCACAGTGTTTGAAAATTAAATACATAATTTTTTTTTTTTTTTTTTTTTTGGGGGGGGGGGGGGTTGGCACAACTGACCTGTGCAACCCCTACCTGAAACCCAATGGGCAAACCAAAGGTACACAACTAAAAATTGCTATCCAAATTGTGTTATTTTAGGGAATTGTGAGCCCCCCACCCCCCTCCCTGGATCCTCCTCACATGAAATTGTTTATTTTTTAAATTTTGCATCACATTGACTGCAATTGCTTTACCTTAAAAATTCTGAACTCAGAACTCTATTACATTATATTGATAATTTCATTAATATTACAGAATTGAGCATCTTTACCCAGAAGATCTCTCTGAAGCCACAAAGGTCATCTTCGGTTACATGAAACCAACGAGGGCGGTCTTCACCACACCCAACGCAGAGTTCAACGTTCTTTTTCCAGGATTTCAAGGTTTCCGACATGATGATCATAAATTTGAATGGACAAGGCGGGAATTCCAAGAATGGTAAATATTTCCAAGATCTCCTGTTGTCCATGAATGCTAATATTTGATATATCTTTTACATATGCCTTGACCTTTTTTATGCTATCAAATGTTGTGGCTGACGCATTGTTTAATATCTATTTTTGTGTAGACTAGATAGACTAGATAGAACATTGCACAAATGTATGACAGTCAACTTGCTGTAGTGACCTTCTGTATAGAAAGGAATGCTGTCTTTAAAAAAAAAAAACTTATGTTGTTTTCTTGAAAAAAAGTGATTCTCCTTGAAAGTGTATGTTTCAACTTTTACTTGAGTCTTTATCTACAAGGTTCCATTTTAATTTCCTGCCATTTTTTTACTTTCTATAGGGGCAATGCAATATGTGCCGAGTATGGTTACAGAGTGGAGTATTCGGGCCTTGGAACTGGGCCAGAAGGGAGTGAGCATCTTGGGTTCTGCACTCAGGTGGCCATCTTTGACAGGATATCACCAAGCAAGGACTGTCCCGTAGAACCAATAGATGAGGATCTACAGCCGATCCCATATGTAGAGGTAAATTCAATTATCTGTTCTTCTGTGATGAAGATCGTGCTTGTTCAACCATTATAGTCATTTTCCATTTCGCTCATCAATTAGCACATCCACAAATCCATCCATCTCTCAGTTGATCAGTTCTGTCATCAATTTTCTATCGTGCATCAATCAAATCAACAGTTGACCATCCATCGCACAATCCAGTCATCCATCTATCAGTCGATCATCTATCCATCCATCCACCCATCAATCCATCTTTTCAGTCCATCAGTCCATCTATCTTTTATCTTGGTTATTCCCTTGATCAGATATTTTCTGTGTCCCCTCATTTCTTTGTTCATCTGTCAATCATTTTTATTAGTTGTTCAGTCAGTGCACTTCATCCATTCATCTCTAGAATTAAATTGCACTCAGGTGGCAATTTTTGACAGGATATCACCAAGCAAGGACTGTCCTGTAGAATCAAGAGATGAGGATCTACAACCAATGCCATATGCAGAGGTAAATTATCTGGTCTTCCATGATGCAGATTGTGCTTGTTCAACCCACCATCATTAAAGTCATTTTCCATTTCGTTCGTCAATTAGCACATCCACAAATCCATCCATCCATCTATCAGTTGAGCAGTTCTGTCATCAATTTTCGATCGTGCATCAATCAAATCAACAGTTGGCCATCCATCACACAAACCAGTCATCCATCTCTATCAGTCGATCATCCATCCATCCGTATTTTCAGTCCATCAGTGCATCTATCATTTATCCTAGTTATTTCCTCGATCAGATATTTTCTGTGTCCCCTCATTTACTTGTTAGTCTGTCAATCATTTTTATTAGTTGTTTAGTCAGTGCAGTTCATTTATTCATCTTTAAGCTCTCAAGGAGACAATTCATATAGTCTTTAAAAGCAGGTGTTCTATTTTAAAAGGTTCCTTTAAGACAGGGGTGAGTGAGAAACTTTGATCAAGGGAATTAAAGCTGCATTGACTTTAAAGGTAAAGGCACGTATTGGAAACGCCCCAATTTCAAAAAATCAAATGGAAGCTCTTATTAATTACCAATCATGTGAAAGAATATGTTTTGACTAATTTACATGATGATACAGAATTTTGCTGGGAAACCGCCTACTAATTGATATATTTGGTAAATTAGTTCATCTATTGGTATGTGAGAGATAAACACACGTGTCGCGCACGTGTGTGTATAGTCTCATATACATCTTTCTGTGTACAGTGCTTGTAACTTTACGAAGACTGGGCCAAAATTCTTATCATTTTGATTATTCCAGAACCTTGCAGTACACACCACTACTTATATGCTAGATGATCAACCTTTTCTGATCGATTTCACAATGTTTCTTTCACAATGCAATTGCATGACCATAACTGGTCTTTATCTTTAAAGACAGGTGATCTGTAGAGCAGTCATGTAAAATGGTTTATGATATGTAAATAAGTAATCTATAACGCATTGGATATTCATGGGAAATGTTTCTTGTCGTTGTTCAAACCAGGTTGCAAGAGTAGAGTATTTCAGTAAACAGCTAAGCAATGAGGACATAGTGGCTGAAGCAGAACTAAGGGTCAGGCAGGTCCTCAAGAATGCACAGAGAATGATGGATGATGAGGAAGGAGTATTTGATAATGCTAGTGAAGAAGAGGATGATGATACCATAAGAAAATGGATGGAAAACAGTCTGGCTGCAAGAGCTAGAGAAAGACAAGAATGGGAAAGAGGGGGACAAAGTGGTGTAAGGGAAGACGCAGGAGGAGGTGGAGGCAGCTCAGAGTTATGTGCTGAAAGACAATGTTTCCTTTCAAGAACTGCTGCAGAAAGTGGCTGTTCGGACAGCTTTACAAGTGCAATGGAAGAGACCAAAGATACCTTGCAATCAACTAGTGTGTGCCATTTCAGAAACAAAGTCATCAAGATAGATCCTATTGAGAAGAATTTATGTGACACTCTACCCTTTTCTTGCCAAAAATCTCAGGAAGCTTGTACCAAAGTTGTGTCAGACTTGCCAAATGTTCTTGATGCAGTCAGCAGCTTAAACCTTGGGGATAATGAACCTACAGTGCAGCATCAAGATGATGCTTGTCCAGAAAGCTCGTCAACCATTCATCACTTCACTGACAGTATTGCAAAAGTGCAATACATGGGAAGAACCGATTCTGGAAACATTTCTGTTGGGAATGTCCTTGACTCTGAAGAATGTGCTTATGTGTTAGGACGGCAATCAAAGTCCTTTTCAGCCAGGGATGTTGAGGGTGGCAACTCATTTTTTGAGCAGTGGGAGAAAGGGTTTCCTCAGAGAGAGTTAAGCTATGACCTGGAGGAGTTGAAGATTAGTATATCCCTTGAGAGGCTGATGAGGTTCCAAACATTGCGGGAGATGTGCCCAGATATCACCAAGCTCAGGTAATTAGGTTTGACTTTATTGAGTTGTCTCATGCTGAAGCACAATTTTTGTAAAGCCTCAAACACAGTAGGTTCCTTGTTTCCAGCAGGATATTTTCAATACCTTTTAGTCAGCTGTTAGACACAGCCGATTTTCATGTTCACCAACTTTTACATCCACCATGTATTGCTGGTTTGGATAACCCTTAGCTAGCAGGACAAGTTGTTTTGCACATTCCTTGTACGATCGACCCCAGTTTGGGTGATCGCAAAAGAAAATAACATATCCATTGCCCATTGGTTTATTCCTTGAATCTAGTTTTTTAATTATTTATTATCATATGAACTGAGTCACTAGCAACTGTTCTGGAAGTGAGAATACTGTGATGTGTTTAGAGTTGTTCATTGTAAAATTGAAGTACATTGTGAATCACTGCATCATATATGATACACTACTTATCTGTACATTAATCTGTACATAATACATCATCTTTTGACTGTTACAGAGAGGTCCTTCTTGCTAGAGGAAAGTTCCAATTCAGCAGTGATGGTGGTGCAGTCATAGCTGATCTTTACGCGGACAACGACAGCAGTGATTCTGAGCTATGGAAAGCTGGGTCTGACGGAGACTGTGGGGACTCTGATGCTCACAGCGTAGACTCTCAAGGCGAAGACGGAAAGCTCCCGGGCGTTGGAGATATCATCGAGGAAGAAGAATGCTGGGACTAGAGGCTACAATATATTCTGGGTCTGATGGAGACGGGGACTCCGATGCTTGCAGTCTAGACTCTCAAGGTGACACGGAAAATGGAAACCTTCTGGGCGTTGGGGTTATCATTGAGTAGGAAGAATGCTGGGACTAGAGGCTACAATATATTCACCACAAGTTGAGCTCAATTTTTCAAGGCTTTGGCCCATATTATTGTAAGTGGCTCAAGTTCAACCTAGCCTGTTCCACTGCTTTATGGAAGAGCAAGTGTCAACCCCAAAGTTCTGTATACATTACGTAAAACAAAATAAATCTGGTCATGAAAAAAGAAGAGGAAATAACCTAAATAGTGACAAGTTTTTGTAATTTCATTTAATATACAAATTTATGGCATTTTTTGCCATTATCTGTACAGATGGAGAGATTAGCATCTGGCAATACATGTATGTGAAATTGTGGATGAAATCTATCACTTACGCAGTATTTACACTTGCCCTAAAGTTAGTGGGCTTTCAAGAAGAAGGCCTACGACTCTACATTCCAATTATGGTGCCTTATATGTTTGACCTCATGTTTTAGAGCAATAATCTTCTCTCTCATCTTTCTAGCATATATGTGAAGTTATTTCAGATGAAACTACACATACTTCATTTGTGGATTATAATTATTATACCATACATGGATATCTACATTTTAAGATAAATAACTTTTATTTTACATACTACACATGAAAGAACAGTCTCTCATGGTATGATTTTCACTTTGTCAACAAAATTTATGTTGCAACTTTGTCTTTATATCAACCTTGAGTAATATATTTTCTTATGATTCATGCATTTGAAGAACTGTGCCTTATGTTTTTTGAACCCCAAACTATGTACATAGTTTTTGGATGGATTGTTTATCTTACGAGTTGAAGGTTTTACATTGCTAAAATAACATGTTGTAATTTAATCTGTGCAAAACAAGGAATTTTAGTTTTTCAAGTGCCTAAGGTTGAGATCTATATGTGTTGGTGTATGCTGAATATTGATAAATGGAGATGAGGCGATTAGCCTATATATATTTGAAGAGAATAATGAGTTTGCAGCTGTCAGAATGGGGCATTAATTTTCCTTTTGTATAGTCTTCCAAGTTCTTCCAGAATTGAAAGTATTTATGTACTTACATTGTGTTCATGCAAACTGAATATTACAAGATAGGTACATTGTTGTATTTCAAATTTGTGTTATTTTGTACTTATTGTTTAGTTTTGTTTTTTAAAGACTGGTTTTATCCTGGTGCTATGTAAATTGAAGGTAAAACAAGTTAGAATTTTTCCTTTCCAGATACCAATCAGCTTGTTTATTACTTACTGATGTTTCGTTACAAAAGGATGTATGATAAGTTATTTTTAACTGTTTTTTTTATAACAATTATCATGATATATTACTGTCATTTATTTCATGCATTTCAAAGCATTTTATTTTGAATAACTCGAGTCAGTTGCATTTTACGGAAAAATAATCGTATTTCTAAAAGGTCTTACAGGCTTATAGCCTGTTCCAATAAATTTGTCATACTTATGGCTTAAAGATTGAGGCTAATAACAAAAACAAAAGCAATTTAAAAGAGACTGCCGATAAATTAGAACAATAATACCTTCTCAAACCGATTCCTGCACCTTGGGGCGTTTCATAAAGCTGTGCGTAAAGTTACGTGTGACTATACAAATGATTTGAATATGAAGAGCCAAATTGGATTGCCAAATCCTTTTAATTGCATATGCTAAAGTTGATATGCAGATGCAGATTAATTTTATCATCATTTATTAACAAACATTTTAATGCAAAGTGTATTTTTGGCTACAATTTAATTGAGATTACCCGTATGTAAAATACAGTCACACTCTGTTAAAATGCCTGGAAAAACTTTGGGCATCGCATTTTGCTCTTCATATTCAAATTATTTGTAAAGTTATTCGTAAATTTACGCACAGCTATATGAAACAACCCCCAGCTGTGACAAGACGTGTCCATCCCACATCGGGCTCGTCAGTCACTAGCTGGCTTGCACAGACCAGGTAATACCTTAATAAATCTGCATTTGTGAAGAAAAGCCACTCAATCAATCAATCACTCAATTATACTTATGACCCAACACTACCCATGAAATATCACTTGTACTGGACATAGGAGCACACAGGAAATGTTGTAATTTGTGGTAAACATTCATCATTTATTGCACAAATAATTTAAGTGCTACTTTAACATTGTATTATGTACACAAATTGGGTTAATATAACAAAAATTACACAGTAAAGTAGAGAAAGAAAATAGGAAAGTGGTACTTATTTAAGAATTCCTCTAGATGTTTTATTAAATAATGACAAGATCAAGATGTGTCATTTAGTTTTTAAATTGTTTAATTGAAAGTTTTCATATCTATAAAAAAAGGATGGTGGAAAGAATGAGAATCTGATGCATTCAATTTCATAGTTTTTGGTTTAACCAGATTTTCTGTTTACGCACACATGTCTAACATTTCAACAACCGTTGAAGCACTGTGGCATAGTTGTCCTTTCCTTGATTTTAATGAGCCCGAGGGGTTAAATCCCTGTGTATCTCTCGTTTTTCACATGCAAAAACTATATATTTGGGGGATATTTTCTCAATATTTTTAGGGTATTTCCTAGAAAATTAGACAAATTTTTTCTTCTATTTTCTTATGGAAAAATAAAATAGACATAAACATACATTAACTCAGGAGCAAAAATAGACGAAAAATATTTTCAGAGTTGAAAAATGTATTAAAAATAAACAATATCTCTGCTGTTTTTTCACTAGTTTTTTAATTTTTCACTAGTTTTAGACTATTTTAGTTTGATTGATGTAGACTGTAGACACAGCAATATATCTGCAGAATCCCTCTTAACCAGGTTGGGATAAATGGTAGGACATGCATGTATTCCTTGAAATGTTTGTGAGCCAGTAATAACTACCGGTACCAATTAATGTGTGCTATTAAAAACAACTGATGTCGTTATTATATTTTACAAATGTGATTGATTTGCTGTCATCTCTTTCCTATTGTTGATTTGCAGTTGACCATTTTTTCAAGAGCTGAGAAGTAGTTGTATTTGATGTCATATTCCATGTCATACCAGTAGTTGACTGCAACAAAAGAAGGAAATATAATACATGTATATTACAATTGTTATTATTGCAAGAAAACAAAATTTAATTCATATAGTGGTCTGATTCAGGAATGCGTTTCTTCTGTCTGAACATGGAGGAGAGCTTGCTGAAGGAGGAAAGAGACATGGAGTTAGTCTTACAAAGGGAAAACAATGGTGAAACTGGAAGGGGAGAGAGAGAGAGAGAAAAAGAGAGAGAGAGAGAGAGAAAAAGAGAGAGAGAGAGAGAGAGAGAAGAGAGAGAGAGAAAGAGAGAGAGAGAGAGAGAGAGAGAGATAGGAAGAGAGGGGAGGGGGGGGGGAGATGAGTTGGAAGAGCCAAGAAATTAGAAATATAAAACTGGTGGAAAGTGAAAGATAGAAACAAAACTTCTTTACAGTGTAAAGGAACCACAGCACATGTGATAAAAATATTAATTTGGGTAGTTAGAGAGAGAGAGAGAGAAAGAGGGGGGGGGGGGGGGGGAGGGGGGAGAGGGGGGGAGGGGAGGGGAGTTTGAAGATCCCCAGAAATTAGAAATATAAAACTGGTGGAAAGTGAAAGGTAGAAACACAACGTCTATACAGTGTAAAGGAACCACAGCACAAGTGATAAAAACATTCATTAACAATGATAGGTCCTATTTGACCCATCTCAATAACTACAGTATAAACCCAAATTAGTTTCCTGAAGTTTACGTTGAAAGGTATTGGATTTCAGTTTTGCACATCCAATCTCACTGATGTAATGTTTGTATATGAGCCTTCGGCATTTATTCTCTCAAGTCGGTGTCATCGCATCATTCATATCCAATATATTTTACACATGAATGGCAGGAAATTGATTAATACAGTCAAACCTGCTTTAGGGACCACTTGTCTACAAAGACCACCTGTCTACAAAGGCCACATTTGTTGTTGCCCTTCAAAATGGTTTCTCATTGAATCATGTACTAAAGGAACCTGTCTACAAAGACCACCTGTCTACAAAGGCCACTTTTTGTGTTTCCCTTGGGTGGTGGCAATAGACAGGTTTGACTGTAATAAAATATTTTGGATATCATTAATATACATCAATGATTATTAGTACCTGTACGCACATTCTCCTCTCCCTGAGCAAACTAAAATGACATTCACATCTTACCTCATACCCATTTAACACCTGGGTGGAGAGTGGCAAATGTGGATAAATGTCTTGCCAAAGGATGTTAGTGCTGGCTGGGCTGGGATTTGAACCCTCAACCTTTAGATTGAGAGTCAAGTGAATAAACCACTATACCATGACACCTATGCATCAGAAACTCATAGCTATAGTTGTCATACTAGTTATCAATATGCCTGGCTTCATCAGCTCAAGTTTGCCAAATAACCTGCTATTTAACTATCCTGATCTAATTTGCATCTTCATCAGCCCGCAGTTGAAGTCCCAAGAAATCTTGGTCTTGTTTCCAAAATATCCTGCTATTTGGGAAATAGCGGGCTAATTTTTGCCCATCCGAGCTTGTTTGTGATGAGCTTATCAGGAGCGTATCGGTCTGGTGGAGACGCAATTTCATTTTATATGTAGTGTCAGGATAATATCCTTAGTCTGAAAATAGCAGGTTATTTGGCAAACTCGAGCTGATGAGGACAGGCCTAGTCGAACGGAATCGGCCCAGCCTGACAAGGCGGGGGTACCACTGACCTGCTACGGTTTGATCCTCCTGACTAACATGATGGAACCATAGTGATGGAAGGTACAGCATCTCGCCAGGATGAACAGTGCACCTGATCTGATCTACCTCACCATACTTGGGATATCTATTAAGGTCAGGGTTCAAAGGGTCAATGGCGATCCATGGAACGGTGTGACCTTCGGGGTCAGGGACTATCTGGAATTCACCGTCGACCTCCTTATAAGCTGCTTGGGAATAGCTTCCTGCAATTAAAGTTTAAAGAAAAAGGAATCGTAAGGGTAAATATACATCATCAAAATAAGTCTATATCATGATTTTAAAGTATTTGAAAAGATATTACAATTTGTATTATGAAGCAATAGGCAAACCATATGAGATATGTGGTTATTTTTTATCATGCCCACCAGTACATTAGAGACATTTGTATTAAGCGCTATATAAAAATTAAATATTATTATTATTATTTAAAAATTCCAGGGTTAAAGTTAGGAATTTGCTAAGTGAAGGAAATTGAGTAGGGAGCAATTTCCACTGGAGCATGTGTTGTATAACCGTCTTATGTCTAATGTGTCTCACCATATGGTATGAATGGTCTATCGGTAGGCGGATGCAAGATGAACTTCTTTGCACCCTGGATCACGCAGTACAGGTTTTCATAATGGTCCTTGTGCACTATAAGCAAAACAGGAGGATGATAAAAGATTTATTAATAGACTTGTGCCATCAAACACTGGTTAAAGATAAAGACCAGTTATGGTCATGCGATTGCATTGTGAAAGAAAGGTTGTGAAATCGATCAGAAAAGGTAGATCATCTAAGCATAGATGATCTGCAAGGTTCTGGAATCATCAAAATGTACACAGAAAGATGTATATGGGACTACGTACATGTGCGTGACACAAGCGTTTTTATCTCTCACATCCCAATAGATAAACTAATTTACCAAATATATCAATTAGTAGGCGGTTTCCCGGCAAAATTGTTATCATCATGTATTATTCAAAACATATTCTTTCACATGATTGGTGATAAGAGCTTCCATTTCATTTTTTGAAATTTGGGTGTTTCCAATACTGGTCTTTATACCTTTAATGAAAACCACTCAGTGAACAATCATATTCACTTGGGCAGAATTTCATTGGGATTGCACATCACATCAACAAAGGTACTTGCTAGACAGAATTTAATGCATTATATCACCAATTCATTGGTGTTGAAAAAAAATAATCTTCTTATAGTCTAATTCCGGAAGAAAACCAAATGGTAACTTTCTAAACCATTAAATAATAAAATTTATACACACATTTAATAAGGATCCTTTCAAAATTAGACTTTCATATCATTGTCACATATAAATTCATGATATAGTATGATACGGTGACTTCCTTAAATTTAAAACGAGTGTTGTGTTTGATCAGTTGGAGAGAACTCAAATGAACGAAATAACATCAGAAAGTACCACATGTATTGTTACTTTATTCCAGGTGTATGAGTGACGATGTTGTACACAGGTTGAATCATGATAATGCCCTCAATAGTAAAATACCATATAGTTGAATATACAACACCGAGAAGCAAAAAATAACAAAATTTACTCACTTGAAGTTACTGCCTCACGTCCACCCATCCAAAAGTTCACAGCATCTGGCTTGTGTCCTGTATATGGTAAAGTTATGTTAAAACAAGGATTGAAGGTAACATTCACGATTTCAAACAAGGCTAATACAGAGCTTACACCACAAAGCAAAATAGCTTTCCAATGACTCAGCCAATCAGCAAACAATACAAAAGATATGATGGCAAGCATGAAAAAACAAGTTCAGTAACTGAGATGTGAAATGTTTCCGATAAGTTTCTTTTTATTTTCAGGCTTAATTTACCACATGTACATGTAATATCTTATTTTCTACCACTTCAACTTTCTTAAGAAAAAAACTTTGTTAACTTGATGGGGAAATTCAGTCATGAGCATTATGTGATAATTCTGACAAATGTGGCACAAAATCTATAAAGCTCTCTAATTTTGAACATATGGTAATCATGACCATGATTGCAGTCCAGAGCTCATGCATGGCCTTTAATTACTGCTTGCCACAGGTTTTGACGCAAAAATCTCAATCTCACTTGGCATTTAACCATCCCAATTTCAAAAGGTCAACCAGTCTACTGAGTACATAGCAAGCCAGAATCCAACATTACTAACCAAATGCTTCCGATGCCCACGGTATATCCTCTCTGATATCTTCCACAAGTTCTTTGAGGTCAAGGGTCAAATTGGAGTTCTGCTTCTGAACATAATAGACACCTTTCTGCTCTGAGTTGCCCTCCATGATGTCTAGAAACGATGAGAACGTCATTTCTCTCTCCTCCGGTAGGACAAAGTGATCTCCACAAACAGCATCAGCATAGCCATTGGGCGTGACAGCAACCGTGAGGATCTTGTGCTGAAGGCGCTCTCTGTAATTATATGTGTATAGTATTAAGAGAAGTGAAAGCAGGCAAGGTGATGGAGAAACACAAGAGAGAGAGAGAGAGAGAGAGATAGTGAGAGAGAGAGAGAGAGAGATAGAGGGAGAAAGAGAAAGAGAGCGAGAGAGAGAGAGAGAGAGAGAGAGAGAGAAACAGAGACAGATGTATATATATAAATGTTATATACCACTATCCCTGAGGAAAAAGAAAGGAGGATTGTGAAATTTGCCCATAGGAAGGATTATTCCCTGATAATCTTAGCTAGGAGTAAAAGGGTACTGATATTAGGTGAGGCTTTAAGAGAGATAGTGACTTGTTAATTTTCTATTTTTCTATTCTATTATTAGAAAACTATTAACAGTTTTCAGTAATACACCACTTTAGGAATGTTTTAATGCATGACAGAACATAAACATATATCCTACAAAATAATCCCTTGATCTCCCTCATCCCGAAAAACATTCAACAAAAATAAACTACTGGTATGATAAACAGGTTGCCTGCTCTTTGTGGTAATTTAGTCTTGTAACCATGACAACAAGAACGAATAGTAATATAATACCTGAAATATGGTATTGACCACTTAGCCAGGGCAGGGAAATCATTAAATGCATTCTCTATGATGACAGGTCTGTTGGGCGTCACATAATCACGGTAGAATTCTAAGGGTGTCGGCGGATGTGACAAACGCGGTACCTCCGGCGACAGGTATAATTCTGATAGATAAAACAAAATCAAAATGCCCTAATTAACCACTAACTACATCACGCAGTTGTTCAGTAATTATAATATAATTATCATATAATGATTTTTAATGATACAGATCTTTCTATACGGAAATGAGTTTGATGCGATGCTATGTTTCCATTCCTAGTCAGTGCCTTCCAAAACCAACTTGCAGATAAGTTTTCTTGATCAAAACTAGATTGAAACAAAAAATTATCACCAATTGCTAACGAGCACTATTTCCTTGGCGTGAACCTCAACCAAATTTAGTGGTGTATAAGGAATTCAATTTGCGTTATGAACTTGTTGCAAATCTGGATAGTGAAACACTTAAAAGGGAAAGAATGAGAAAGTTTCGGATTTTAGAGTTAAGAAAATGAATGGTAAAATTGAGTTTACCCCTGGCTTCTTGAGCTAGATGTCTGAAGCAATCTTCCAGCGATGACATCGCCGCCTCCTCCTCCTCCTCCACCACCTCCTGCTCAGAATGAGGTTGAGAGAAGCTGCCATTTAGACATCTTGAAGCATCTGTGTCAGCATTTTCTTTCCCTCCAGTGTCCATCATATTGGCTAGGGGACATTGGGGTGTTGTTATAAATATAACGTAGCCTGATGTACCTTCAGTCTTAGTTTCAGATCACATATGGATGCACATGCCTGCAGAAGAAAAAGTGAGTCATATAATGCAGGAAAATTAATTTCTATAAATGTAGCAACATAATGGGAAAGTAAAGTATGGGGTCTGTAAATTTTCTTGAGCTCATAAGTTTTGTTAATTACAATAAAAATAAAATGAAAGCCTTGTCTAGTGTCTAGGACTAACTGGTATCATTCAATTAAAAAAACTCCTATATATATATATATATATATGCCTTATCAGGTGACACTTTCTTCAATGATAAAGTTTCATATCAATTTAAAGAAAAATGCTTTTTCGACTGCACGTTTGTCGAGATTTTGAGAAAAGAGCATAGATCTAATCATAAATGATGTGCATTGACAATAGACTATAGTGTTTATTAAAACTTTCAAAATGAATTAATGAAGAGCTGAATAACTTAGTATTAAATCATCACCACATTGTCACGCTGGAAAACGCAATCAGCGGTTTTATCAAAATATCCTTTTTTCTTTCATTAAACTAGGAACTAAATAAAGCGAATTATAGCGTGTACTTGTGACAGAGAGGGAGGAAGAGAGAGAGAGAGGGAGAGCGAGCGAGAGTGAATGTGCCATCGGTGGATGTAATTAGTATAGAAATTATACAGTGTTCCGCGAAGCATTGAATGTGTTGTCACGGGTTACTGTCTGAAAAGGTTGAGACTACCATTGAAAGGAAAGTGGAATGGCATTACACCTGTTATAGACAGGAAGTTTTTTTGTAGTTGACTGTATATAATGTACTAGAGTAACAGTGGCTAGGGCCACACCCAAAGAAGTTGGCTTGGTGTACGGAGGTCTTGGTGTACGTAGCAGCTTGCTTCAAAGCATTATAGTTAGCTGCTTGTACACACATTGTAGAAGACAAGTTGAGAAAGATGTGACTTCTTGCTTTATAAGTTTGCTACATGAGAATTTGCAGCTTTAAGTAGAACCAATACTTTCCATCGGTAAGTGAAATCATGATACTGTATTATTTTACTACATTGATGATTGTATAATCTTCTATTTTAACGAAGGGTGATTTTATTCAAATGACAAATTGAAGTACGAGAAAGGTATAACATGTTGTTTCATCTTTTGTTATCAATTATATTTTGGGCAAAGATATTAATGATTAAGAAGAGGAAAATATTTACAATTTGTATTGATGCATGTTTCACCTATAAGAAGAATATATAGTAGAGAAATGTTCAATTGTGCCTGAACTCTTTACATTTTAGATGGCACAGGGGCTTGGGAGACAAGATGAGATCTCTACAACTATGAGAGTTGATGCGAGACGGGACATTCGGACACGGACCGACAGATCACCAAGAACATGGCGTCTCCAGAAGAGAACGCAATATGAACATTATGGTGAGACTATTATGGAACTTGAGATAAATAGTTCGATGAACTTGAAAGTCACATCTGAAAAGATGTTAAAGGCTTAGCAGAGCCATATGGACTATTTCGTGTTTGAGTGTGTATTGTTGATGCATGCATTGTATAAAGACGACTTTGAAAGATGTAATCAAGGGTGAAGTTAGCGGACAATACAGGTCTGGAGTTAACCGTTCACGTGACAAGAAGTCAGTTGTTGATTGTCTTGAGAAGAGAACATGATATTTTTGAAGGTATAATTTGTAAAGTTGATAACTAAATAAACAACGATATACACTGGTCTGTTTATTGATGTTAAGGTAAAGGTTCTCAAGAACGAGAAGTGCATGAGGTAATTGGTTAAGCTACAGATGTGCTATACATTTAGACAATTCAGGTCTGTTTATATAAAACATACATGTAGACTTCATGTATAACAAATTATAGAAAGATTTGATACATGTTACAAAGGTGTTGATCATATATTTGATTGACAAGGTTGATTTTATTTTGCTGGGATCGAGTGTTTTGGAAAGATATTGTAAGAGGATATTTATTTCGTTCATACCATTCTCTTTTTGTCGGAGAATGGTACTATTCTTTGCTTTATAATAAAGCTTGATTATAATTACGAGTATCGTAAATGGCATGTGTTTAGATTTCTTTATTTTGAGTGTACCATGTGACACACATCAATTTGTCTGAACACTACATTCATAACAGAAAATCGTACTTCATAGAATACAGGCTGATATCATATTGATAGGTGTGAGTAGGTCTAGTACGGACAGTAGGCCTACGGTAGATAGAAACTCAATTGACACAACATGTGTAGGCTACGTCCACCACCACCGTAATTCAAGCTCTACCTAGCCCGACACATCTGCGTGTGGTTCCGTCGGATTACCGTAAAGCTTCCCCCATCATTTACGACCTCTCAGTCTCACCTAAATAGCTAAATTGTGACCACCCTGATTTACCCAGCTAGCTTTCATGATATTTAACAAAACTAATAATTCTAAGCAAATGGTATTATAAACGAAGTTAAACACACAAAATAGCGGTTTTACGTACCAGAGTTTCTCTCAGACAGATGTTTGTCGCGTTAATTTTCGGGATTTCCCCCTTCTCCGATTTCCATCATCTACGAAACGCTGAGCGTATATAACATTGGAAAAAACAAAGTTCGTCCCTTTATGGCACCTCATAGAACAATATTGTGATGAGGGAGGGATTTTACTGATTGTTTAGGGAAAGGGGGGGGGGGGGGTTAAGTCATATCCTTCCTTTGCTGATAATCAATATTTTTCTTCTTATTCCAAGCCCTCCTTCCTTTGTCATTTTTGTTTAATATTTTTCCTTTCCAAAAATTCTCAATCTTGATTTGATAGTAAATTGTCTTTTTTTAAAATCTTAAAATTCAAGTCAAAAGTTATCTGAACAAAAAAAATGCAATGTGGGTCATAATAATAGTCCTTCAGCTATTTAATAGCACATCCCTTCCCTACTTCTATTCTTAAAATTAGGTGACTGCTTGAAACCTAATTGTCAATAAGAGATTATAAAAACCAAGGTGAAAATGGTTATATAATGACACAATGTTTAAGATGTTGATCATATAATGAGTGTAATGATATTGTTACATTAAAGAAATTAATGTTTCATATTTGCATAAGTTTGATGAAAATTGTATTTCACAAATCAACCCCTGAATGAGAATTATTGCATATAGGTCTACGTAACACCATAAGGCTAGCTTTCTAGCATCTACCGGTATATGATCACAAAACATAGGAATATAACAAAATAGATAAGAAAGAAAATATATTTATATAATTTGAATTTAATTCATGCAATAAAGTCCCATATAAATCAAAAGAACATATGACACATAAAATATTAGTGAGATGAAAGTCAAAATAACTTTCTGGAAGAAATAAATTATCAGTCTAGGTTTTGATATCTTATGATTATATTTTTCTTTACTGAATAGGAATTAGCCAAGTATCAAAATCTTTAAAAATATCATACCTGTAAATAAGATAGACGTAAAAAGTAAATGTAAAAGGGAGAGGAATTAGACAAAAACAATGAATAAACAAATCATATCAAAAGACAACACACACAAAAACAAAACAAACCAACCCTCTAAAAAGGAAAATGTCTACATCATATAAGTTTTGATAAACTGATTTTAAACAAGTTTAGGTATTTTCATAACAAAGTTGAATAATTTGAGATGAATTAGAAGGTTCAAGTATAACAATATCTATTGTACATTTATACTATACATTTTTACTTTACTGGAAATATTAAACTTATTAAAGCATAAGAATTAGAATTAAATTTAAGTTTGAACCTCGTCAATCATGGGGCCCTCATATTCTGAAATTATAATCAATATGGTGTATACATGGTCCTGTCTACAGTGGATAACCTAAGGAACCAAACAGATAAATTGCTTCCATTAAAGGTAATACAAATTTTTGGGAAATTTGAAAATTGGGTGGAAAGTGATTTTTTACAATTTTGATATATTTGGATGCCCCTGTGGATGTATTATAAGCACAAGAAAAATTAGCCCCTAAAACAGTTCTCCTTTCGAGAAAAATTGAATATAAAATTTTACCGGTGCTCCCGGTAAATGTTGATAAATTTCAATTAGCGCCTACGGCCCTACAATGGTAGCTGTGACCATTGAAAATCTCAGAATATGTAGTTGTGATATATAATTTCCAAACGGGAATAGCTAATTGGTCGATTTTAGTCAAGAAACATTGTTTTATAGCTTAATTAATATCTTGACCTTGAGAGGGACCTATATAACATAAAGAGTTTATTATTTACAATTTCATAACTTTAGACTTGATTTCAACCGCAACAATGATCCCTGAATATTGTAGGATCGCATATGCTTCTAACATGTTCATTTGAACCAAATTCATGACCCCATCCCAAAACTTTGTATTTCCTTTAATGCTAAAGGAATTGAATGCCAACTCTTTAATTGTGTCTCCTGAAAAAACATAAAATTATAGTGAGATGCCATTTTTCACTCCATGTTAGTATTGGAGTACGTTAATTTATATCTTCACCACAGAATACAATATAAGTACATTGTATCTCTCTTTTATTTTATTCATTTAATCGTTCTGGTATCCGACTTCGCCCCACCCCAACCCGCCTTTCACGATTCAGATATTCATTTGTACCCGACTCTGTTCATAAATTCAACTCACAGGTTAAACGTTAAACTTGTGCGTCAGAAATTAACTGTATGATTTGAAGTACATGTACCAATGACCATTTTTGTCGCTTCATCATCTTTTGCATGTACCGGTATTTGTTCCTTATTTCATCTATTTCATTCTATAAACGTGATGTATTTATTTCTTTTAATTATATATTTTGTTGAATATGACTGTAACGCCAGTGGAAAACAATTTTCTATGTAACTTGTTTGCAAAGACCAAATAAAATATCTTGTATCTTGAATCTTGTATCTTCTGAAAATAAATGCCAACACATATTAAGCAGATTTTGTGTTCTTCCTGTTAAAAGAATGTACAAGTGCTTTTATCTCACGTAATACAAACAAACAATGAGCTAACTGTTATTATCTCTATCTTAATCAAATACATGCTTCAGTTACAGATGCAAAATATGTGGTTAAATAGGTCAGGTTTAAATTTCAGTTTTATCTTATTTTAGCACCCCACCCCTGGAAGAAAATATATAAAGAGAGAAATATTTCCATACACGAAAGGATTATGAGAAGTTGAGAAACAGCATCAAACAGTTACCCAACATACAGGAACATTTAACTTAAAGATAAACTTGAGTTCTGGTAAAAAAAAAAAATGAATTCTCACAGAATCTAACAAAACTTACACTGAATGTTCAAGATTACAAATAAATGTCATGTGCTGAACAATTTTGGGAGAAAATGTATACTGGCTGAGTAATGGGCATAGAAAGATAAGGAAATCAGGGTAGTACTAGCCCCGACACCATCTGTGTTGTCCCATATACATCTTTCTGTGTAAGTGATTGTTACTTTACCAAGACTCTGCCAAATTTATGATGATTTTGATGACTCCAGAACCTTGCATTACACACCATTACTTACATGCTATATGATCAACTTTTCTGATCCATTCCACACCTTTTCTTTCACAATGCAATCGCATTACCAGAACTCAAGTTTATCTTTAAATGCCAAACATTACATTACCATGCAGAGAACCAAAAGGTGATTAAGTATAGTTTTACAGAGTTAATGCCCTTCTGGTTCTCAACAACCCATCAAATTCAATATACTTTAAAGCCCCACTGCACTACTTCTAGCTACTTGCGCCCTCTATATATATATATATATAGCAAACAATGCCTAATCGGTGACCATTGGTCCCCAATGATCCCTTTTTTCTTATGTTAATTTAGAGCTGATTTGATGAGATATTAACCACCTGTCAGTGACCATGCAGGGAGGTCTAATCACTCTTTGACAAACTAGTGCAGTGGGGCTTTAAGCAGTGGTACCAGTTGGTTTCATACTAAAACATGAAAATTGGAGCAATGAATTTGGATTTTAAGAAAAAATGGACAAGTTCAATCACATAAATCTAACAAATTAATAAATCTTTATCACATCAACAGAAGCAAGTAAACAATCTTTATGAATGTTCCTAAACACATACGAATCAAGGAATTAATTGCACATATTTCTTTTGATAATTCAATGCTATATAAACCTTTGGTAAAATAAGAAAAAGCAGTATGAATCATATTATCAGCTGACATTTGTCAATTCAAGGTCATTAAGGAGAACTTGAAAAGCACAAAAACATATGGGGAAAAAAGAAGAAGAAAAAGAAGAAGAAGAAGAAAAAAAAAAAAAAAAAAAAAACAAGATAGTAGCAACTTCTGTGGATTAAACAAATACTTTTTTAAAGATTTTTTTGTTGCATCTTTTTTAGTTGTTGTGAACACTAATGTTAGTATTTTCTTCATCTTAATTACACAATTACATAAATAAGGCTCACATTGTCTGTGAATGCACATACTAGGCTTCACCCAGGCTCTGCGATCCCATTTTGGAAGAAATGCTGTAGCCTCTACACTTTACATAAAATGCAGCCAGATCTACAGTATCAACATACAACGTCAGCTACAAGTTTACTGGACACAATAGCACAGAACGGCATGTTCTATTTCTACATACATTGTATTTCTAATGAAGAGCCTCCTACTGCTAGAACTTGCGCAATTTGTGCGTTGAAATAACAAGAAATAAATCTTACACATTAAAAAGACAGGGACATCCAGATAACTTCACATTGAGGGGTGGGGGGGGGGGGGGGAGGAAGATATTCCTTTATCAGAAGTTGCTCCATAGGCAGGATACATAGTTACCAAATGACTGCCCCTGCCCCCCCCCCCCCCCCCCCATCCCATAAAATTCTGATATCCATGCCCTTTTTACCAGCTACCCATACTGGGTCCATGTCTGAATATGCATGTATTAACAATAAGCCCATCAATACAACAATTATTTTACTAAAATTAGAGCACATAATTATCTTAATATAAACACAAGAGATGTGAATTTGTGCAAGTACTATTCAATGAGGAATATAACTTACAAAAGAGAATATTGAAACCAAATATGCATTTTATACAAATTGTGGGTTGACATTTGCACATTTTTTAAAAATGATTCAGTGCAGAGAAGTTGAGATATTAGACAGGACTCAAACTGCCCACTTACCACTAGGCATCGCGATCATTGACCGCAATGTCCTTATCAAAATCTTAATGAGGCCATTTTAGCAATGCAAACATGATTATAATCAGGCCACATTATAATATCAATAGATACACTTTTGTGCCCTCTGGACTGGTCAAAGTGGCTTGCCTAATAATTAGCCGGTGATATTCAAGTAATCATAGACTATAATATTCTTAAGTGTAAACATTCTGTAAGGATGACAAGCTGTACATCAATCATAAAACCTATTAAAGCAAGCTCAGAATGTATGTAAATACATGTATGTCCCTCCCACATATTATCAAGATTTTTTTTTTTCAATTAGAGGGTTTACAAAAGACCAAGTAATTTTTTGTTTTCAAACGCGGGTTTACAATACAACACCACTTCATTACACAGTAAAATATTGCAGAAACATTTATTTAGCACAAAATTGTAGTTTCATTAGAAAAGGGACAGATCATTTCTCTATAAAAAAAAACATGTGTGTCTAATTTGTATTTAAGTTAAAAAAATAAATCAAAAATCAAAAATTCTTAATAGTATCATCAATATAAAAGCAATTAATGTTCTAGTGTTTGTAATACCAAATTGCCCCGTGTCTAATGTTTCATTTTGATAACCATATTCAATGTACCAGACATGTATGTATGTATGACATACATACATGATATGATACTGCTAACAAGTGGTGAAACCTAAGCACTTTTTTGTTTATACAGGAACATCCTGTAATGAAACTCTCCAGGGACCTAGTTGTAAAACACTTCCCCACTAGAAACAATTGAACATTTTTATGTCTAAGTTATTAATTTTGAAACTGGGGAATGATATGCTTTTGGCTTCCTTAAACTATAATATACTGTTAAGTGGTGATGTTAGTGGATGGACTGAGCACAAATACACCTAATCGAAACATGATTAATATCAAATGTTAAAAAATATTTTTGATGACAGAAAAACAATGGTTGTTATTCTCTCAAATTTTCATGAGGAAATAATTCACTAGAGTCTTCTTGTTATCTTTTAGTCCATGTTACTTGAGATTGATTTTCCATAATTAACCCCAATTATTTATTACCTTTTAACTGTTTAATAATCTCCACTTCTGAAACGTATTGAGAAGAATATGTAATATTTACAAAACTTAATGATATATGATCAACTGCATGTTATTCACAATCATTAGTAATCACTTTCGTAATAATTATTACACTTAGACAAAGAAACACTTCCTTTAAGGAGTTAGATACAGTGTACTATTTAGTTTGACTTTGGTACATAGCATAATTTGTTTCAGCTGTTGAAAATTTGGCAATTGAAAAACTGCTAGAAAAGAATACTAGTTTGCTATACATAGGCATAGCAGGACTTATATATTAGCCAACAAGAGTCAATAAGAGGAAGGGGGGGGGGGGAGCCACATAAAAAAGAGGCCAATATTAGATTGTGAACAAGTTCTTCCTTCCTGTTTACACAACTTTTACATAATAAAATGAATTTCTACTTGCCAAACTCGCATAAAAAATATTTGAGTAGCCTTTAGCTATCTTGAAGGAGCCTATCGATGGTCTCTTGGCCGCTCTGGAAATTGTTGTCAGCTTGTTGGCTCTTTTTAATAAGCTCTTTTGGGGGGCTCTTTTTTTTTTCTCTCTCTCTCTCTCTCTTTTACTATGACAGGCACCTTGAGATGCTACTGGAGATTGGAGTAGTTTCTATTTGATGGAGAAGCAGCCTTGTCGGTGGTAAGGATGTATGCTACAGTGACGACGAAAGCAACAATGGCCATTCCCGCTGCATTTGCAATAATCGCTGGTGCAGGCAATGCTGAATATTTAATCCTTCATAAAAGTAAAGAAAGGAGAGATTTATTTGAACTGTAAACCTTGTTAACATTTAGATATCATCTAAGAATGGGATGTAAACTTCCTGCCCTGAGATCAATTTCTATCACTAATCAAATTTCTATTTACAACCCTGGACCAAACATAATCTATAACTCTAAACATTACCCTAAACCTCACCTGACCCCAATGACAACCCAAACCTCTAGCCCAAGCCCCTAGCCCAAGCCCCTAGCCCAAGCCCTAACCCTCGATGTACATGTATATCTTGGATGAAATAAAACCTAGAGTGAATATAAAAAAAGCAAATGTCACTGGGTTACCTGATGAATCAATGAACACAATTTATATCATTAAAACCTGCCTCTTGCCCTTCCGATCGAAATAAAAAAAATACCCCGGTAAGCTCTTTTCACAAGACTTCTATCATCACAAAAGAGAAACGCTTTTAAGTGATTGCCTTCAGCCTTCAACAAATACCCTCACCGGTAAGACTCAGACCTGCCAACCTCTGAAGTTCGAAAAAAATGTATTCTTTAATCCCAAAAATTGTATTGTACTGACAAAAGTTGAATTTAAAAAAAAACGGAGTGATCCTTGTGATAGAGAAAAATCGCAGTGGTTGGCAGGTCTTAGATTGCAAGCTTCTTGGTGAACATGAAAAAGCTACTTACTCTGAAAAAAATATTTTCTCCATGATGCCGACTAGACATGTGGCTGCTGACATGGACAGGATAGCAATACCAAAGAAGACGTGGGATGATAAGTAGGATGCACGCAGCTGGCTGGATGCAAAGGGAAGTAGAAAGATCCCTAAACCTAGTACAAGCTGAAGGAAGAAAGGAAGAGAGAGAGAGAGAGAGAGAGAATAGGACAAAAAAAAAATCAAATATGTTACAGGTATTTTTTAAAGACCCTATGAATATATCTTATTTTCAGGATACATATACTTATTCTTTGGGGTGAGGTTTCCTTTAACTACTAGAATAACTTTGACTCTCTTGTGAACCTAGCTACTATGTGTACATTGAATACAACCACATAAAAAGTATTTCAAAAATAGCACAGAAGATCATTAAAAAAAGTATCAAAGAAGATCTTGTGATCATCGCTTACACATAATGCCAAGTTTATGACTTGCAAGTCCTATTAAGGATGTCTTTTAATGGGGTAGAATAGTTCACCGTATCAAAGTCCTTGTTAATACTAAGATAGCAAGGTAGCTACACTTATTCTTTGGGGTGAGGTTTCCTTTAACTACTAGAATAACTTTGACTCTCTTGTAAACCTAGCTACTGTGTACATTGAATACAACCACATAAAAAGTATTTCAAAAATAGCACAGAAGATCATTAAAAAAAGTATCAAAGAAGATCTTGTGATCATCGCTTACACATAATGCCAAGTATATGACTTGCAAGTCCTATTAATGATGTCTTTTAATGGGGTAGAATAGTTCACCGTATCAAAGTCCTTGTTAATACTAAGATAGCAAGGTAATTTCATCTCTACAGTGATCTATATATTTTGATCAATTTGTTGTTTTTGTTAGGGGGGGGGGGGGGATTGGAGTGGGTTTGACCTGATTTCATCATCAAAAGCATCTAATACCTGCAACAGGAACATGGAGACTGTGGCTATTCCCAACCAGCTGTGAAGGCTGTACATATTAGGGATTCCATTTGCATTATGATTTTGAAAGACAGCTGCCAATCCCACGGACATCATAATAGTTGCCAGTATTAGAGCTCCAGCGTGTGTTGCTTTGACAGCGATGCGAGGTACATTGACTCCAGTGAAAATGCGGTAAATCATGGTGGCTGCAAAGAAATAAATGTTTTTCCATGAAACAGATATTTGGAAATATTGATTGCTTTACTGGAGCACAACAAATGGGATATAAAGGGCAGATGTGTTTTTCCTACACATCTAATGGCTCATAAAAAGAACAACAATATTTTTAATACACACCCTGATATTAAGTTGGTTTTAATATAACCAAACAAATTAGAGAGACAAACTAGTGCAAGTTTGGCCAAATCCAATTAGAAATAGGAAAGTAATGAATTTTTGAAGTTGCCATCAGAGAAACACATATTGGAAACACTGTGACATATCATGTGAGCTCCTCTCCAATTTGCTCTGTACAGAAAATTTGATTTATTTTAATTTTCCTAGTTACCGTTATTATGACAACATAGATTTGTTTCATACAGGGGTTGTATAAAAACATATTTTCAACAATGATATTAAGGGTGAATGTATGATTAAAATCTAAAATATAATAATAATAATAATAACAATATTGAATATTTAGGTGCACTAAAAACAATAAGTACAATAGCGCTTACAAAATATATGTCAGAGTTGCCAATTTGTGTTTGATTGATTGCACCTTTGAAAATTCATAACAAATCTTATTTTCAATTGTCTTTTCCTCAAACTTTCCCTGACCAGTTTCTTTCATTTTGTGCTTCTATACAATTTAAAACCAACTTATTATCAGGGTGGACTTTCCTCTACACTCTGTTGGTATCTTTGTGAGAAGGGACGGAGAGGCCATCTTAGAAAACATTACATAAAATGCCATCGTCAAGCAAATGACATTTTTACATACCCCTACTCAAGAAGCAAGCCGACATGTTAAAATTCCTCTGATGGGCATTGAATACAACATTGTGATATTTGACTAAGAGATTACTGTTGTTTGCTTTACAGCTTTTGCAAAGTCATGTACTGCAGAGTATTTTCGTCCCTACATGCTCCTAGTCTGAAGGTACAACATAAAAAAAGTGCTTGGAAAGCAGATCGTTTTAATGAGAGAGTACAGCCAAACTAAAAAATATTTGCATAAATTGAAGTCTGTAAAAACATTCTAATTGAGATTTAAGATTTGCCTATACTAATAGATTATATGCAAGTGTGAACAATATCTACTCCAGGTATCAACAGATAATTGTTAACAGCTAGTCACACAAGCATTCCCAGTCAGGAGAGTCCCAAATAGACCAATCAAATTGGTTCCCTGCAGCTCAGATGATAATATGGTTAACTAATCTATCAAAAAACAAAAAACAACTAAACATTTTTCTTATTTTAAATTTTAAAAAAATCAGCAAAACAAGATCAAAATTTTATCTGACTTTGACAATGAGATTACACAACTGGGGTCCATTTTTCAAAAGTGGAAACCATTGTACATGTAAGTCTTATTTCTTAGCCATTCCATTGAAACGTGCATTATAGAATTAACACACGTTTCTATGGGATGTCCGCAAACTTAGACTTATGACGGTTTCGAGAAACTGGCCCCTGAATACCTACCATTTCCATAGAGGAAGACCATAGATGTTACCATTAGCACCGGATGAAGATTGAACTCTTGGCTAGATCCATCCCAAGCAAACCCACCAAGATATTTCCCCATCCACAGTCCAATCAGGATACAGGACGCTAGGCCAAGAGCCTCGGCCAGGAGCACCAGAGGAACAAAGAGCTTCGACATCTTGCCGCAAGAAGACTTCTGATTTCTAAGGAAATAGACAGAGAGGAATTGAAAGAAGATTGAAGACAATTTTAATTCAGTCTGCTTTGCCTACAATCTTATGTTTAAAACATTAGCATTATGCACTGCACAGTCTGCACTGAACTCTTGATCACAGCAGTAGCGTGTAGTGAACGATCGCTTGATCAATAATAATTGATAAATTAATTAGTCTGAATATGGTATATATATATATATATATATATATATATATATATGTCTATGGCATTTGCGGTGTGAATTGTAACCAGTGCAGTGCTAAACTTGATCACCAGTCACGCACATAGAATATTTTACTGAAATGGCTAGGCTGTTGTGTAAATAGCCTCAATATTCCAGTCACATCTATGAGATGAACACCAAACCGACAATAGTAATTTATAAATGTTGCTGAAATGACACGATTTTCAATGATTTTTCCTCACTTTTTTGTAAATTATACTCTTTTTTTGTGTTTTTTGGACAATGAAAAATTCCATAATTTTCAGTTAGGCAAAACAGTATGCTTATGTAGAAGCCTACATGTCACTGTGAGGGGCACGCAGAACGGCGGGGCTCAGGGGGCTTGAGCTCTTGTCTCCCCACTTTTTTTTGGAAAAAGGATGTTAAAGAGAAATATTAAAAAGAAAGAAAGAATAGTTACCTGCCAGTGTCACAAAATGAGGTATCAAAATATGCTCATCTGACCTTAATTAAAGACCTGAAACCCCTGAGCTTGCGAAGGCTCTGCCCCCTGGACCCCACCAGGGGCCCTAAGGCAGCCCCTGGATGCTCATCTGACCGTAATTTAATGCCGAAAGCCCTGAGCTTCATGGGGCTCAGCCCCCTGGATCCCACACCATGACCGGCCAGTTTCACAAATAAGGTGTCAAAATATGCTCATCCGACCGTAATTAAATGCTAAAAAAAACCCCGAGCTTCCAGGGGCTCCGCCTTTGACCCCCACCGGGGCTTTGCCCCAGACCCCACAGAAATTTACGCTATGCTGTACCTATGCTATGCTGTAATCTTAAATACTTTAGCCCCCCCGCCCCCTCCCAAATTTGAAAAACGTTCCGCGGGGCCTGCATGACACACGTAAGACTGGTGTTGATGCAGATTTTTTTTTCAGCACCCCCCAAAATGTTTATACGCCACTGCCCTGGTGATACGAAAGGAATGCCGATTTTCCCTCGCATTCGTCCCCCCCCCCCCCCCTGGCCCTAGGGGTCGTTGCTGTCCTAGAGGGTGGTTATCTGGGGATGGTTGTCCAGGGGGTGGTTGTCCAGGGGGTGGTTGTCCAGGGGGTGGCTGTCCAGGGGGTAGATGTCCGGATACGTACACTCACATCGACAGTCGTAGACAAACAACAAATCGCGTCACTCACCATGCTCACGTCACTCGACACAAAAATCAAATATTCACAAAATGAAATAATATTCATTAACAAGCCGTAGGCCTACGTACACTAAATATCTGACATTTCAAATACCTAAGTCTGATCTAGAATATATTTAAATCATTCATGAAACCAGGAAACCAATTAGAATATCTAAAAACGGAGTAAAATGCGTTAAAAATATTAAAGCACACTCACCAAAATTACTCAGAATCAATCGGACTGACAGGATCAGTTATTGTGCAATAATTCTTCTTCTTTTTAGCGGCTAGCTTCAGCTTCTTCGGAGATTACATTTCGTCCAAAATCAAATTAAGTACATGGATAGTGTTACTCGGTATCAGACTCATACAAGGTCGGTACCAGATCTAACTGTGTTACCTGTTGTCGATGTTTTTGGTGTCATCCAAAATTTATCCATGATCCATAAAATCATAACTTGGGAGAAAACAGCCGAAGTCAAGGTTTATTTTACAATCAAGGGTTTATACTGCAATAGAGCTGTATATAACAACAACTCTATGCTTTACCCTCATCTAGATGCTGAACAGGCGTTGATGAGTACATAGAAGTAGAAGTATAAGCGATTATACAGGGACATAGGCGCCGAAAGTGGGGTGGCAGGGGGGGGGGGGGCAGTTGCCCCCCAAACAAAAAAAGGAGGGGGGCAAAACGCATTTTTGCCCCCCAAACAAAAACAAAAAAAACGCCCCCCCCCCCTCCAAAAAAAAAAAGCAGTAAAGGAGTAAAGATGGTTGTATTTTTAACCCAAAAGAACATAACAATAATAAAGACTTGAATTAAATCACATATAAAATTCCATTCAAAGAAAAGGAAATACAGGAATAAAATTTCCTAAACATTGCGCATACCACCTATATTTATCAATGGAGTTTTTATAATGGCGATACGCGCATATCGTGGGCATATTGTGAGAGAATGGGAAAGCGTGTCTATTTTTTATTATAGGGGTGAGAAGACATGAGCCCCTGAACAGTGGCGTACTGATGGGGGGGGGGGGGGGTTATTTCTTATTCGATACCAGTGATTTACAAATGTTGCTGAAATGTCATGATTTTCCAGTATTTGTTCTCAATTTTGTTAAGTCATACCTTTTTATGCGTTTGTTGGAAAATTAGAATTTCCCAATTTTAGAGTCGGGCGAAAAATATGCTTATTTAGAAGCCTTGGACATGTCATGGTCTGAGCCCCCCTCACTTTTTGAAAAAGTATGTTACAGAGAAAAAGAAATGAAAAGAGAGAGAAAAAATAATTGACCTGCCAATGTCACAAAAGTATCAAAATATGCTTATCTGACCGTAATTAAATGCCTAAAACCCCCGAGCTTCCGGGGGCTCTGCGCCCTGGACCCCACCAAGGGCCCTGAGACGGCCCCTGGATGCTCATCTGACCGTAGTTACATATTTAAACCTCTGAGCTTCCGGGGGCTTTGCCCCCTGGACCACATCAATGGCCTTAAAGAGGGCCCCTGGATGCTCATCTATAACCGTATTTAAGTAACCGAAACCCCTGAGCTTTCGGGGGCTCTGCCCCCTCGACCCCACCAAGGGCCCTAATGCGGCCCCTGGATGCTCATCTGACCGTAGTTAAATATTTAAACCTCTGCATGAGCTTCTGGGGGCTTTGCCCCCTGGACCACATCAATGGCCTTAAAGAGGGCCCCTGGATGCTCATCTAACCATAATTATGTATCCGAAACCCCTGAGCTAACCCCACCAAGGGCCCTAAGGTGGCCCTGGATGCTCATATGACCGTAATTAAATACCTAAAACCCCCGAGCTTCCGTGGGCTTTGCCCCCTGGATCACATCAATGGCCTTAAAGAGGGCCTCTGGATGCTCATATAACCGTAATTTAATGCCTAAAACCCCTGAGCTTCCGGGGGCTCAGGCACTTGACCCCTGCCGAGGCTCAGGCCCTGGACACCAAGCCAATTTACGCTTTACCTGATCGTTAATACTCCACTTTGAAAAACGTTCCGCGAGGCCTGCATGTAACATGTAAAAGTGGTGGTGATGCAGATTTTTCTTCTGCCTCCCCCCTTCCAAACGTTTTTGCTCATTACGTCACTGCCCCTGGAAGGTGAGCCCCCTGGAATGTTTGTCCCCCCCCCCAATCCCAAACTGCTTCCGGCGCGCCTTGGGACAGGGTATATAGAGCTTATTGATAAAGATTAAATTTGATAAGTATTTGGTAAAGTTGAATAGAAGAGGTGCAATCACTTTGTGTCGATTCCGATTAGGTCACACCGCTTACCAATAATTAATAATGGAAGGTTTGAAAGTAATCCCGAAGAAAGTCAAATTGAATGTCCTTGTTGTGATTTAAAGATTTTTGGAGATGAATTTCATTATATTTTAGTCTATCTTTTTTCATTAAGAAAGAAAGGCAGTTAATATTTAGATCGACAGTTTGTTGTGAGTTACTCTAGTACATTTTACATGGTCAAATAGATCTAGTGTTAAACAATTAAGAAAACTCGTAAGATTCATAATAGTAATTATACAATGCTTTTCGTTTGATCCCAAAGCTGAAAGACATAATAGTCCTATTTTTGTTAATAAAAGTGTAGTTACTCGAAGAGGTAGACAAACCAAACCATGTGATATTTAAGACTTATACTTAGTCTTTTGCTCATGTTTATTGTGTTTTAGAAATATAAAAATGTATATAATGGGTTCTTGTATAGCGCTCATGTCAGTCAGGATTTGACCCTCTTGACGCTCCTGATTTATGTAATGTATTATTATATCTTACTTTGTTTTATATATCTTTCCGTATTGTATTGTAAGTATATGTTTGTGCTCTCATGTGCTATACAACATAAAGTGTTTATTATTTACAATTTCATCACTTTAGACTCGATTTCAACCGCGACAACGATCATTGAATATTGTAAAATCGCATATGCTTCCAATATGTTCATTAACTAAATTCATGACCTCATACCAAAACTTTGTAGAAAGTAAATTATGAATTTGTCAGTTTAAATAGCATAAAGCAATGGTCGAGCCATCTCGAGTGAGAATCAGAATATAAAGGACTAAAATAGTAAATTCGATTTCATATCACTACATGTATATTGATAGTTTCCAGGCATAACACTCGCTAATAGAATGAACTATTAAAATGTTTGGTAGCATAGGCCCTATATTACTAGACAGGGAGCTATGCCTAATTTTGTACTGATTTTAAAGGTAATACAAAGTTTTAGGAAATTTCGAAAATTGGCTGGATAGTGATTCTTTACAATTTTGATATATTTGGATGCCCCTGTGGATGTCCTATAAGCACTAAAAAAATTAGCCGCCAAAACACTTTTGCTTTCGAGAAACATTGAATATTAAAATTTACCGGTGCTCCCGGTAAATTTTGATATTCTTCAAATATTGCCTACGGCCATACAATAGTAGCTGCGACCATGAAAATCTCAGAGTATGTAATTATGATGTATACTTTCCAAACGGGAATAGCCAATCGGTTGATTTTAGTCAAGAAACATTGTTTTATTGCTAAATTAATATCTTGACCTTGAGATTGAGCTATACAACATAAAGAGTTTATTATTTACAATTTTATCCCTTTAGACTCGATTTAAACCGCGACAATGATCACTGAGTATTGTAGGATCGCATATGCTTCCAATATATTCATTTGAACCAAATTCATGACCCCATACCAAAACTTTGTAATACCTTTAAAAACCGTCCGACCATGCAAATAGACGGCATCCTTGGTTTTGGAAATAAAGAATATAAAGAGACAAACAAAGATTGAACAATATATAAATGCTAATTAAATTAAAAGCACCGAGTTGGGGAAGGTAACAACCCCAAAAGCAAGGACGTCTATCCCGGGGGCGGGGGCAGCTATGGGGGGGGGGGGGGCACGTCGATCCCTCCGTGATTTAGGGGGGGGGGGATTGATTGATTGATTGATTTTTTGATTTTTATTCGACCAGCTTCCAACATACAACAATATACAATAATAACAGATCAAAAATAAGTCAGCTTGAACAGGATAACCCACGAAAGCTCGAGAGCTTATTTCCAGTGGGCATCATATCAAATGTCCCCCATGTTTTGATGTTTTGTCAGAAAAGAAGAGTGATTTTGTACATTGCCAAGGAGATGACAGTTAAATTCACGTTTAAAAAAAAGTGCTCATTACCCCTCCCCCCCCCCCGCTTATTCGCCGGGTTGCTTATTCGCCGCTAAATATTGTCACACGAATTGGCCAAAAAAGAAAAAAAATCAGTGCCCCCCCCCCCCCCCCCCCCCCCCCCCCCCCCCCCCCCCCCTCCCACCCGCTTTTTTACTGGCTGACTGATTCGCCGCCAAATATTTCCTCACGAATTCGCCAAACAAAAAGAAAAGTGTGCTCTCCCCCGCGCTTTTGATTGCACTGGCTGGCTGATTCGCCGCTAAATATTTCCTCACAAATTGGGCAACAACAACAAATAAATTATTGTGTCCCTCCCATGCTCAAGCGCGGATTGGCGCCCTTGCCCAGTAGCACTTTAAAGATACTACACTGTCGCTCATAAAGTTGGAATATTTTTGTTTTACCCCAATTTATGGAATTATTTTAAAAATAATTTAAAAATAATAAATCTAGATAATAGTATACATTCTCAGATTTTATTGAATAATAATTGGACAATGTGTGTTTTGCGTGACTGCTAAAGCATGTGTATGCTACTATGCTGATCAACTAGGAGACCTACGCCCTTAAGTCATAAATGACAGTAATGAGGATTAATGCCCCCACAAAAGGGCACTAATATAGCACATCGACACGGTTTTTATCCTGGGTCCTCACAGTTACGAGGCCATTGCTTTGTCACTGAACCATAACTGTTCGCAGCGGGGGCTAGGCCAGGGTAGGGGGCAGTTTCCATAAATTAAAAAAAACACAGAAAATGCGATAAATTTTCAATAATTTATTGCATTTTACCCCGGTCCCCAATATAAAAAAATCCTTTGGAAGGCCATGCATTATGGCTCATAAATTCATAAGAGGACACTTATTTGGGGGGGGGGGGGGGGGGGGGGGGTCTCGAAATTTGAAAATTTGAAAATTTTATTCGTTGGGGGGGGGCGCCTTTTTTAGGTCAGCCGTTGGTATAATTGTATTTTTGTATTTTTGTATTTTTAAATAATTATTACTAAAAATACACACGTACAAAATTCCACCCCCCCCCTGAGCTGCGTATGCGCCTGCAGCCAGACCACCGTATACATTTTTCGTTTAAAGATGGGGAGAAGGAAGTTTATTCAAATTTGTATAAATTCATAACTTTCCAGACATTGCAAGCTTTCTTGAAGGCGGTCCCGATACGGGGCCCCATTTGCAAGTTTGCTTACATCCTAACTGAAAATATTTTTCAGTTCTGTGGTTTTTCCCCGTAGTCATGATTTGTCTTCTCAACAACACCATACAATTTGCGCAATTAATTTACAGCTGGTAGGTGCATGCACGTGAAACAAAACCGAGAATGGCAGATTTTGAAGTAGAAAAAGGGAAGAGGTTGTCCTTTTCGGGCCTTGGACTTCATGATTGGCTTGTCAGACAGTGTGAAGCAGTTGGAATCAAACAACCAACGCCCATTCAACACAACTGTATTCCACCAATTTTGAAGGGTATGTATGTCATGTGAAATAGAGTCGGCGAGTATTCCGTCGCTACATCCTAGGCCTAGTCAAAGTCAGAGTCGGATCAACACCAGCGGAGCTTCGCCACACGCCCCCGGCCTCCGTCCGCGGCGGTGAAGCTCCGTTAAGCCTAAATTAAGAACTGGGCTGCAGCTGTTCCATAACTTCTAGAGGTTTTTAATTAATGAAGGAGTCTGAGGGCGGGGTTGGGGGGGGGGAGCAATAACGGTTAGATTTCTCAACCTCCAAATGTGATAGTTAGCCATGCATTATACAAAATAATTGATTTAGACTAGAGACTAGAGTAAGACCGCCAAACTTCGGACACTTAAGTAGGGAGGCCAATGCCCGGGCGTAAGGCTTCTACACTTACGATTTGTGCGCTCGTCGCCCACTTCAAAAAATTAGCGAAGGGAAAAAAATGATGTAAAAATAAAAATTGAAGAAAATAAGAAAAGAAAATACAATTATACATTTCACAACATACCTATAATCACGGATCTGTAACAGTCTTTCACCATTTGTTGACAATCTTGCAGATTTTGACGTTTTTTAATCCAATAATTGTGGTTGCAGACGACCTTGACGCACTCGCACCACCGACTAAGAAAATCCTAGAGGGCGTAGAGGTTTGCTCACTAAAAACCTTCTCATTGGCAGAAGGTAGACCCTAAAAATATGGGATCCGTTTTGAGTAAAGAACTTTTGATAGAGATCAACATTTCAGATGTTCACAATTGCCACTTCTAACAACTAGAAAATATAAAGAAAAAAGATTATATCTTTTTAAATACAGATTTTTACAAACTGAACATTCGAAAGTAGATAGAGTACGATGTTTCTGTCAATCGTGCATTGGTTTGAGCCCTATAGCTACATCCATCTCAAAATGAGAAGGAAAACAGTGAACAGTGACGTCATTGTTCGCGCCAAAAATAAAGGGTATTGCGACATAATCTGAGCTCCGGTCAGATCGTGCGCAAAGCGTAGTCTTATTTATAGACCCTAGTACGTTATTCTCACAGCACTAGATACGAGTGTCGTGCAGTAATGTATGAGAAGTGTTAAAAAAGATATTTCAGTAAAAAAAAAAGTCTACGTGAGCAGTCTATACTCCAATTGAGAATTGAAATGAAAGCCATGATTTGAAGGTGTGTGTTGTATGATACATGGTTAGTGAGTGTGTATGTTACGTATAGCGAAAGGGAGAGAGAGAGAGAGAGAGAGTGAGAGAAATATTAGTACACGTACGTTGCATGCATGGATGTGCGCTATGATTGTGTTCGCTGCAAGATGGATGTTAATTGGACCTCGTAACTTCTCGATCGTTGATAATAAGGAATACTCATGAGGAAATCAAATCATTGGAATGCACATCTAAGGTAAATATCAATGAATTATATATATTTCTATTCTTCATTTTTGAACCATCGTCTTCGGCTCGTAGTAGTAGAAGATGTAATCGTTCGCACATTGATGGCTGGACTTCAGCCTGCATCGGGGCTTGCCTGTGTCGGTGGTGGGATCAACTAAGAAGAAGAAGGTGTGTACGTGTGCGACCGATTCAAGGCTAGCCGCTGTTGAGTGATTGCACTTTCGCGCGAAGTTTTAAACTTCATCATGAACTTTGCCCCTCGGGCCTGTCTAATTATGAACGTAACTTTGCGACATGAAATATAATTGTTTCAAGGCTCTTACGTACGGAAAGGCGTAGAAGGAACCTCATAGGAACTAGCTGGATATCTCCTATTTGATGGAACTTCTGGAGTCGGCAGATGGGTGGATTTTCTTAGTGAAAGTAAATGCTTTCTTTTAATCTTAGTTTTAGTATAAACAAATTAGTAATTAAAAAGTTAGATTTGGGCATTGGCCTCCCTAACTTAAGAATAAGACAAAACGGGGGAAAACATTAAATTCTTTTTTAATTATTGAAAGACCAAATATACTATTATTGTGCAAATACTGTCTATATATGTCATGTAAAAGAAAATTAGTAAAGGAAATGAAAATCTAGAATTATTTACTTACCCGCCGAACCTTTTTTCATTCCAAGCTTCGGAAGCACTTGCCAAGCTTCAGACTTTCATGTGTAGCGCACGCACAGCCCACGTATAGCGCATAGCGCACGTACAGTGCACGTATAGCGTGTGCGCCACATACGCATTCATCGGATGTTTGGAAACCAGATCAAAAATCGTAAGACTGGGGTAAGTTTGACTGCGTTGATTTCATGAAAAAAGTATTATTTTCTCGTTTTGGGTAGTTTTAAGTTACGTAGAACTATAAGAAAGGTGTTTTTCACAACACTCACATGTTTTGGTGCTAAAATCTTACGAAAGCACTATTTTTTTTGTAGTCTAAATGACACTCAATGTTGCCTGTCCGAAGCTTGGAAGAGCGCCATCTTCCGGTAGTAGGGCACGAAGCAATATTCCTTACATTTAGCGCTTGCGCAGTTACGTTTAATCGGTCTCCGCCTCATTTGAATTACCCGCCCGCGCCCCGCCCACGAATCAACGTTCTTGTTCCTTCTGATTGGATGTAAAAGACCCGCCATTCGCTTAACGTTACAAATTTGAGTGCGACGAGAGAGCATACTATTTTCCGTTTTTTTCAATACCAAAATTGTGATATTTCAGTCAAACCCTCTATTTTTAATGATTTTTTCACTTAAGTATTTCACTTAAGTATTTCACTTAAGTATAAGTCTTACTTAACTAAGAAAAATTATCAAAAAAGTCATATTTAAGGTACAAACTTGATTCTTTTCCTGAAATGTCCGTTCACGTTTCGTTTGCATGTGTATGGAACGCCATGTGTGCGTCACCTATGTGTAAAGTGCGTCACCTGTTTAAAGCCTGAAATTTCAGTGTTTTTGGTATCCATTTTTGTATGATTGACAGCTAGGGCGTCAGAGCCGAAGTTTGCTTCCTTTGTTCGGTAATAATTCCGAACCATACAGCTGAGTGTCGTATGAAATCGTTCGCCGTGTTTACGTCTGATTGTGACTGCGTATATGTTGTACTTTGAACTGGTTGTGGTCAGCGTTCGTAGTATTTCCATGGTTACACTGTACGCGTTTGCGCGGCCTGGCTTGGGGGAAACTGCCTGGCCTGGGGGAAATTGCCTGGCCTGGGGGAAACGGCAATATGATTTCGGCGTTTTGTAAAAACACACCAGGAACTAACTAAGCTCCGAAGGGTGCTCAACCGAGATTTGGTGGTCTCCATTCCTACATTAATTTCTTTGTCAAATAATAAGCACTTTGTCAAATAATTAAAGCACTCTGTCAAATAATTAAAGCACTCTGTCAAATAATTAAAGCACTCTGTCAAATAATTAAATGCAAATACAAGTCCGAAATGGAAAGTTGAAAATATGACAATAAAATAACATATCAGTAATAGTTTCATAAATGAGAGGCAGGTTAGTATACTTGCTAACAAAACTGACAAATTTGATAAAAATGGTTAAATCTTGAGAGGATTTTGATCGTTTGACAGTATTATATAATTGAGTTTCCCAAATTATTTTCAGTAACAATGTTGCATTTTTTTTTTTTTTTTGGGGGGGGGGGGGGTAAAAAAAAATTAGTGGGGTTGGGGGCAGCTTTTTTTTTTGGTAATTATTTTTTTAATATTTCTTTTTTGTATGTGTAGTATCATATTAGTATCAATGTTATGCTTTCAGTCATCGCTTATTATATTCATAAATGTATATATATATCTCTCTCTCTCTTTCCGTCTCACTCTTTCGTCCCCCCTTCTCTCTCTCTCTCTTTTTCTCTCTTCCTCTCTTCCTCTCTTTCTCTCTCTTTATCATCACTCCAACTCTCCCTCCTCTACACCTCTCTCTTTCTCTGTCTTTTATTTAACAAAAATTTGAATTTGATCAATGACTTTTTAAATGCCTATCGGGGGTCTATGTTTGATTTTTGATTTATGTCATATTTTGTGTTATTTCAATTTAAATTGCAATTGTATGTTTGTGAAATGGATCGCAATTCAGCCATTGGCTGCGATGATCTTTCTAATAAGAACCATTTCTATTCTATTCTACTCTATGTATTCAAATATGTTATTCAGAGATGTCGGAGGGTATCATTAAATGTATAACTTATGTAAGTGCATACATCTTTGATGCGGTCATTCTTTTCCTGTTCAGTCCAATTTCATATTAGATCAGAGTGAGATGTGATGGAAAGGGGGTATGACATTGAGATAAATAATTAGAGAGAAAGAGAGAAGGAGAGAGAAAGAGAGAGAGCGGGGGGGGGGGGGCCTTGTGTTGGATGTCAATTTTCAAAGCTCAAAAAAAAAACTATGCTCATTTTAAGAGGAAATTAAAGGAAAACCTAATACTTGACAGTCGGAGAAGTGAATGACATGTGATTGAAATTTGTATTCTTCTGCCGGTTCATACTTTTTCATTTTGTATATATTTATGTTTTCGTACGTTATAGAAATTCTACTAATTCATCATTATTTTCTTCTTCTTCCTCCTCCTCTTTTTCTTCTTCTCCTTCTTCCTTTTCTTCTTGTACTTATTATCATTTCTATCATCAGTTTAATGTTATTATTATTATCTTTAAAAGGTAATTCTTTTATTTTTCTTATCTGTCTGTAAATATGACTATTTTTACTTATTAATTTTATATATGTCTGTAAGGGACCCCACTGGAAATAAGCTCTCGTGGGTTATCCTGTTCAAGCTGACTTGTTGATTTGTTATTATTGTATAATGTTGTATGTTCGAAGCTTGTCGAATAAAACTCAATCAATCAATACATACATATACCTCCACACTCAGGCGCGGATCCAGAATTTCTTAGGGGGGGGGGGGGATTTGAAATTATGCAAGCCAAATATTGGTACGTAATGGTGACCCAGCAGTGGCGAAATGAGCAAAAACGTGTTATTGTTGATGTTGTTGTTGGTGTTTTTTTTGTTTTTGTTTTTTTGAGGGGGGGGGGGGTAGAAGAAACGATCAACGTAACGTAAATTAGCGTGGGGTCTAGGGTCAAAGCCCCGGCGGGGGTCAAGGGGAGGAGCACACAGAAGCTCAGGGAATATAGGCTTTTAATTACGGTCAGATGAGCACATTTTGACTCCTCATTATTTTGTGACAAAGGCAGGTCACTATTCTTTTTTCCTTATTTAGGAATTTGCCATTTCCCAACACTCATAAAAAAATCTAGGAAAATCATGTCATTTTAGTAATATTTGTAAATCACCGGTATCGAATTAGAAATAAACCACGTTTGAATTATATTTTGGGGGCATCTGTCACCCCCTTCCCCAAGCCCAACCCCCCCCCCCATCAGTGCGACAGTGCCCCCCCCCAATCTACACCTTAACTATCTTCTTTCTCTTTTTTTCTTTCCCTTTATCTCCTCTTTTTCCTTTCCCTCCTCTTTTTCCTTTCCCTTTCCTTCCTTCTCTCTTATTTTGTGATGGGGGGGGGGGGGGGGGGGAGGGGGAGGTAACAGCTGGGAGGCAAGGCCCTTTTGCCGCCCGATCTCCTTTCCCCTTTTTCTTTTCTTCTTCCTCTTCTTTCTTTCCCTTTCTCTCCTCTTTCCCTTCTTTCTCTCTCTCTCTCTCTCTTTTTGCGGGAGGGGGGGGGGCGGCAAAGTCCGTTCGCCCTGGATCCGCGCCTGTCCGCACTCATTGAGTCATCTCTTTTGCTTTGTACAACTAATACATTTCCTAATTATGAGCAGCACAGCTCATTACGACAATCGTGTCTAATGTTTATGAACTTGTTTTCCATTTTAATTGGTAAATTGATATTTAAATGTATTAATACATGTATGTATTTACATACATGTAGGAGCATCAGCTATCATGGCTTCAAGAAATCATGACACCCAGGTTGCGGGACGTGGACCCTGCTCCTGTGCAACCCACAAAATATGATAAAAATAACATATAATTATAGAATGTTGTACTGTAAAACATCATCATAAGAGAAAAGAGGTGGAGAGGAGGAGGGAGGGACAGAAAGTGTGAGAGAGAAACAGAGGGGATGAAGGAGAGACGAAGGGAGAAAGAGGAAGAGGCAGAGAGAACAAAGAGAGAGAGAGAGAGAGAGAGAGAGATACAGACAGAGAGACAGGGGGTGGGAGTGAAATAGAAATAGAGAGGAAAGACCAGAACTGAAGAAGAAAAGGAAAATTTGAAAGTAGCAAGTTCAGATAGAGAAAAGGGATGAGAGAGTGAGAGGAAGGATAAAAGTACATGCAACATCAAAATATGAATGAATGGAAGAACCTGCTGTGCCAATCATCATGACAATTAATATTGCACATAATTAATCTCCTCCATTAGATTATGATTTTCATTTCGCCAATGCTAATTATAACACCAATGACTAGACTGCATTCCTTGAGCTGGCGAGGCACGCGCAGTTGAACTTTCCATGAACTCAAATCATGCCGCAATGCGCATAACTTGGCTCGCTTTCCCACGGTCATTAAACTTGCCGGTATTATCCGAGACCCGAAAAACCTAACCGAGGAATCGTTCGGAAAACCGAGGAGTCGATCGGACGCCCGAACGGAAGAGCAAAGTAGCCGCCCAAGTCAAACTAAGGTCAAGCTGATTTACGCATCAATTTTCTGATTGGATCAGCGCCCGGGGGCGTTACTTGGGATTTTTTTTGCTAGATTGATCACCCAATGGGTGCTCGTAAACTCATTGTACATGGATAAACGATATATTTGCTTCGTGTAGGGGAGTCTATACCCCTAGCCCCATGGTAACGGCCGCCATTAAAAAAATTCCGCCATAGAGTGAAAAAGTATCTCATAAGCTCCCATATTTTTGGCAGAAACCACCTGAAACATGCCAAAGATTAGTTTGTAATCGATATATTGGAGGCTCTACACCTTAATGGACTGTAAAAATCTAGGTAACCAGAAATCTGTCTCTGAATTTGATGTTTGTTGGGAGTTTTGCAGACAGCAACCTGCCCAAACTTTCTGTACTAACGATACAGGTTAGTAGTAGTATCAAATGCATGCAAGTTACCCACCTGAGCTAGGCTCATATTTTGCGTTCTAGCCGTTGAAGTTATTTTTGTCCGAAGTTTGGCAACGTCCAAAGTTTGACGGTTTTACTCTACAACCATGAAAACACTTTTCACAAAAATATTTTAGATCTAGGACCTAGACCTCTAGATCTAATAACTTACCCATTTTCTGGCTAACGTGAGATCATAAATTAAAAGATCATGGTCTGGTACTTCACATTGGAATACTTGATCTTTATTCACTTTAGCCTTCACATTAATATTGTAAAACAGAATAAAATAAATAAAAGTGTAAATTGAAAAATTGTTGGACATGGTCTACAAGTGTAGACTATGATGAATATTTTTTTATCTGCAGAGTGCAGGAACAATGCACACCATTTTCATTTTAATAATAATAATACATTTATACTTATAGAGCGAAGAAACTATCCAACTAGGCGTTGTGGCGTGCGCCTGTAATCCAGCTAACAATCCTGGAAGTTACAAACTGATTCAGCCGAGGACGCAGGTTCGAAACTGAGTCACGTATTTTGGATGGTGACGTTAAAAGTCAGTCCCCGGACGAAATAATCATATCTGATTGATACACGTCTGTTAAAACCCAAGTACACACACACACCAACATTAAGCATATATTTTCCTTATTCATGAGAGAGAAAACGATGGAAGGGGTCTGTATATTATGATTAAGTTGTGTCAGAGCCTTTTTCAGTTTTTGTTCTTATTCTGTCAATTTGATTCAACCTGTTTTAATAGTTTAATTCAATTTTTGTTTAAACAATACAATTTGATTATCAACTTTGATGTGAAGACACCAAGGAATTACATTGCAGATAGGTAATAAAGTGCCTTTTTATCAGCATATGCACAATTTGTTTCTCTTGTTGAATCCAAATTCCACAATATAACCCAAAATGAAAACAGGACAATAACTGAACCTTCCCAAATATGTGATAAAATTATTTGATTAAATCAGCAAATACCTTGAATAATTGAATTTTTTATTCTGATTAATATCATGATTCTCTTTCTTCTTTCCCCATCAGGTAGTGACTGCATTGGCTGTGCTAAGACAGGGAGTGGTAAGACAGCTGCCTTTGCTTTACCCATTCTTCAGAAACTCAGTGAAGATCCCTATGGAGTTTTTGGTCTTGTTGTCACTCCTACAAGGTGAGATAAAGAGTATCTATAGAAATAATGTCTTGAAACTATAAAAACAGTTCATATCCATCTTTATTAAATGTACATAAAATCTTGCACAAAAGTATTTAATTTACTTACATGTAGATTAAAGATACATTAAACCCTTGCAATCTTTGTCGGGGAAACCATACATTTATGATATTTATCTGATCTTAGAAGTTAAAAGTTTTTGACATTACCTATTCATGGAATTGTGTGAACCACTTCACGCTTTTTATTTCCCTCATTACTCCTCTCACTATTTTGTATGGTATAAAGACAAAATTTAGTGTCATTTTTTTTTGCAGCCATAATTTTAATCACTCATGCAAGTGTTGAGTTACAAGACCATGAAAACGTTTGTTTCTAACCCCCTTTATTGCAGAGAACTAGGAATTCAGATTGCAGAGCAGTTCAGAGTCCTAGGAAAGCCGATTGGATTGAGAGTTACAGTCGTTATCGGAGGAATAGGTAGGTCTAAAAATAATTTGACTTTTACTAAGTTAAACCTGGTATAGAGGTTTTTATGTTCAATTAAAAAAGGAATGTGAGAAATCTGATTAATTTCAGTAGATTTAGAGGTATTAATGCACAGTACTTGAATGAGAAATATAAGTTCTGGTTAAATTTCCATTAAATTAGCACCAATTTTCATGCAAATGACCTCTTTTGCATTGAAACATGTAGGGGTCCATTATAAAGAAGTCATCAAACCTTTTTTTAAATAAATATGATGGTAATAAAATTGTGTAATTTTATTACCACCATTCAGAATTGTAAAGTTTTTCAATTGTTTTAATTGGCTTATCTTGCAGAGGTTTGTTAGTTTTTACTTTATTTCTGTATTTATCTGTCCAGATATGGTTGAGCAAGGGCGGGAACTGTCTAAGAAACCTCATATTGTCATAGCAACCCCAGGCCGTCTAGCTGACCACATCAAGAGCACTTCAACCTTTGACCTTCACGCTATCAAGTTTCTGGTGAGTTGATTGATACTGAATCATTGTTTGTTGTCACCATTTTCTAAATTGCCAATTCAAAAGTTAGAATATTGTCACACATCAGTCCCATTTATTTTATCTACTTTAACCATTCCAGTAGCCACAAGAATTACTTGCACTTTAATTAATTTGCACATCTGTAAAATTTTAGAAAAAGGTCGACCAGTTGTTTGAAGTACTTGTGTATTAAATGTTTGAAATACTTGTAGAACATTAGTTTTATATGGTGCCAATTTAAAATGTATGATGCAAAGCCTTGTACAGTCTAAACTGTTTGAGATGGTACCTCTCTATAAAGGCTACACATCTGTAGTTAAGACTTGTCTAGAAAGGCTTCTAGAAAGGCTTCTAGAAAGGCTACCTGCCTTTAGTGGCCACTTTTCATTTGGCAACCTGTTTACAGTGGCTACATTTGTTTGTTTTCTTTAGTTGGTCATTGTACCGGTAGTTAGGTTAAACTCTATTAACTACTACAGCTATTTGCGCCCTCTATATAGCAAACAATGCCTAATCGGTGCCTGTTGATCCCCTTTTTCTTATGTTAATTGAGAGCTGATTTGATGAGATAACCACCTGTCAGTGACCTTGCAGGGATGACTAATCCCATGGCCAAACTGGTGCAGACTGCCTTTAACAATTCTTTCTTTTCTTGTTTTGCAGGTGTTAGATGAAGCAGATCGTTTATTAGAGGGAAACTTTGGACCAGACTTGGAGGTCATCTTTGACTTCTTGCCAGCTAAGAGACAGACTTTGCTTTTCAGTGCTACCATCACAGACACCATGAAAGAACTACAGAAGATGTCCATGGATAAACCCTTCTCCTGGCATTCCAAAGCACCGTAAGAACACTTTCTGCTCATGAACAGCCATAATCGTGTGTGTTTAGGCTGGATTAGAATATGAAACGCCCTATTCAATTTTTGAAGCAATTAAATTCTGCAGAGATAGATGTATTTCAAATATTGACCCTTAAGCTCTTATGACTCATATTCTGTGAGGGGGCTCTGGGAACCAAACCCCGTTGTCATTGGGAGGCTGACAAACTATACTTTTGTTGATGACATATTAAGTGATCTATTAAGTCTTTGTTAAATTAGCTCAAATAAGATGACTACCAAAAGCTCTTGGTCTACTAATAACCTTTACAGATGTTTTGATCTAGTAAGATGATTAGATATCATCCACCACTTAACATGCCTCTCAAAAATCATTTCAGAACATTCATTCATGAATAATGAAAATTAGTAATCATATCAATAATCTAGTTAGAATTTTTTTTTTTTTTAATGTCCTCAGAGTAGCCACAGTGAAATAGCTAGACCAGCACTATGTTTTGATGCCCGCTCAGGTCTAATATACGTCATCACATTCCCCATATCACTTCTGAATTGTCATGGATGAATGATATACAGTCAAACCTGTCTATAGCGACCATCCAAGGGAAACACAAAGAGTGGCCTTTGTAGACAGGTTCCTTTAGTACATGATTCAATGAGAAGCCATTTTCTAGGAAAACAACAAATGTGGCCTTTGTAGACAGGTGGTCTTTGTGACAGGTGGTCACTAAAGCAGGTTTGACTGTATATCTAATATCTATATTACTAATTGTAATACTTTGATCGCCTTCCGTCCTCAGAGTAGCCACAGTGGAGCAGCTTGACCAGCGCTATGTGTTGATGCCCGCTCAGGTCAAAGATGCTTATCTCATGTACATCATCTCAGAGTTCACAGAGAAAAACAGGGATCATTCTCTTATCATCTTCACAAGTACATGCAAGTAAGTTCTGGGGCCTGTTTCACAAAGCCTTTTTTCAATGACAAATTACAAAAATCAGTGACAAATCTGCTTATGACCAATCAGAAGCAAGGATTTCGATAGCTTATAACAAAAACTGTTTTGTGAAACGCCCCCTGGTAGAAATAGTGAGGAATGGATACTTAACTCATTAAATGCTAAGCTCCAGCCTAATTTGGCTTTAATCTTATTTAAAAAGAAAGTTAAATGAATATAAAATTGTCACTAACATAAGCAAACGTTGTTGTGCTTTTATTCCATGTATAAATCTTTCTTATGTAACTATAAGAATTTTGCTCAAATATCCATATCAATATTGTTTCTGATATGATGACAAGTTTTGAAAAAAGGAAAAAAGAATCAAATTAGGATATGAATAGAGCAAAAGTTCACTTATAGAAGGAATTAATGTAGATTTAAGTTAAGGTGGATATTTGACAATTTTGAAAAAAATATGACAAATTGTGACAACTTATGACTGAGCAGAAGATTTTATTGGAATATTAAATTTCACTTGCTTCTACCCGGAGTATGTATATTTCCGTTAATGCACACATTTTGAAGAGAGTTTTTATGGTTTCTTTTATTTTACAGATATTGTCATGTATTATCAATAATGCTGAGAAATCTTGGTATGCAGTGTGCTACTCTACACTCACTTGTGAAGCAGGTAAGAAATGAAATGTGTTTCTTCATTTGAATTATAAAGAGGTATAAACCTCTGGAGTACTACAGTAGCCCCAGATAGCTTGGTTGGAGTATGAGCAAAATGCATGTTTGGCTTTGTATACACATTTAAATTGAACATGATTTATCTGCAGAGAACCAGAAGGCTTCAACTAATATCACTGTATATTGAGCCTTAAACTTATGACTCTTATGCAGACAATATCTAGTGCACAGGAATGTATCGGTGTATGCATACAAATGATGTCATTCTATGAAGTGTTTGTGATTATTTAACATTTGTTGGATAAGCCTCGGTCACAAATGCCCTTACAAACGCCGTACGAATGATCGACTATGGAAAAACAGAGATTCATACGAACTAATCGTTCATAAGAACTTTCGTGACCATAGCAATAGGCTGTTAGTCATAGCAATAAATGTTCCACTTCAAGTTTTTTTTTTCATTTGCTTTTAATGAAATGTAACTTTTTTTATCAATTTTCTTTCCCCCCTTTCTAACAGAAAACAAGAATAGCATCGTTAGCCATGTTCAAATCCAATCATGTGAGGATACTCGTAGCGACAGACCTTGCCAGTAGAGGGCTGGACATACCCATGGTTCAGATGATCATCAATCATAATGTACCTACGTCTCCTAAAGATTACATCCACAGAGTGGGAAGGACTGCTAGGGCAGGTTAGTGCAGTAATAAACAGTGGTTGTGTAAGGATTAAAAACACAAAATAGATTCCACATTCCCAATGGAGCAACAAAAGAAACTATGTTTACATAGTTTTAGAAGAAGGGATTTCAAGTCAATGATTTGTTTTTAAAGATAAAATGTTTTCTAGGGTATAAAATAAACCATTAGTTGACCTGTTAAAGCTATTCATCTAGCAAGCAGGTGTGCAAGATCTTTAGACTTTATTTTCTGTACATTATATTTGATTTGAAATCTTTAATTTAAAAAAAAAAAAAATTCTTGTGTGAAATCTACTCTTATAATTATATACGCCTGTATAAACAAAACAAAATATATAAACTGTTTTTCTATGTAAAATATGGAATAAATAAAACTTCGAAATGTCACGATCATGGCCGACTTCTCTACTAAGAAAGTGAAGATCATGAGAATATTTCATTAAAAAGGAAAATTATTTAAATTTAAAACATTCACTTATCAGCAAACAAATACATTATCCTGTAAAATATTGTTGTATCTCAGTATTCACAATGCAAATGGCATACATGAGTTGCTGGTTGGTTGGACAAACATGGTTTGCCCTACCTTACAACTCATAATGTATACAATTTACATTCAGACTATGAAATACAAATATTTTTAGCAGATGAATGAAATAATTAAGATGTATGCATTTGTAATGTTAATTTGAAAATATTATGAAAATGGCCCATTAAGCGATTCCTTGAATGTGTCAACCTGTAGTTGTTTCTTTCTCTTATGTCACAGGTCGTGGAGGTATGTCCATCACCATGGTAACACAATTTGATGTCAAGCTGGTTCAAGCCATTGAAAAGACAATCAGTAAGTACTACTGAATATAGCATTGCCTATATGTATGTTAATCAACTAGTACAGAATCATTAACAGAAGGTGGGGTAGCGATTACTTGAATCTTGTTCTGTATTCTATCATTGTATTGTTAGAAGGCAATTCTTCATGTGATGAATTGATTCAATACCAGTTTTAGGCACATGCCAGTTTACTGAGCTGTTAAAGGAAACCAAAACCTTCATACTAAGTTACTTTTATTGTAAAGTTTAAGATGTTTGAAAAATATCAGTGAAAATTTGAACAAAATCGGGCAAGGATTAAGGAAGTAAGAGCTTTTTTAAGTTACTAGTCACTAGAGGGCGGTATTCAATTTGATGACATCATCTGTAAACAACTCTCCATGCCTTTTGTACATCAAATTTCATGTTTTTCCTTCTTTCTTGTGATTGAGATAATGTACTCCCCTGAAAGCAAGATATAGAATGCAAAATGATATTCTACTTCACATGTTATGAAGTCGGATCAAGAACACAAATAAATATGAAGAAAACAAAAAAATTGTGAAATTTTATGTACAAAAGGCATGGAGAGTTGTTCAGAGATGATGTCATCAAATTGAATACTGCCCTCTAGTGACTAGTAATTTAAAAAAGCTCTTACTTCCTTATTCCTTGCCCGATTTTGTTCAAATTTTCACTGATATTTGTCAAATATCTTAAACTTTACAATAAAAGTAACTTAGTATGAAGGTTTTGGTTTCCTTTAAGTCTGTTAAGCTGTATGTCTGATGCCATTCATTTTTCTCTCATGTGGATTTATTTGACTTTATTATATACAGTCACACAGTAGTGTACGCAGGATTTTTTCAAGGGGGGGTTTAAACATTTTTAAATCGGGCCGAATTTTTTTGCAATGACTCTGCCAGCCGTTGAATAAGCGGAGGGGGGGGGGAGTCCCGAAAATTTGCCAGATCGACCTTTCGTTTCGTTGGGGGGGGGGGGGGGGGGGGGGGGGTCTTCAAAGACTACCTTTTTTGTGTTTTCCTTGGGCGGTCGCTATATACAGGTTTGACTGTATACATATATATATATAATTGGCCAAATAAGGATATCATTTTGTACACTGCCTGTTTGTGAGCTCTGGATATATTTATGTTGGTTGCTTCCTCTGAGATAATTACATGAAAACAGTTTATATTACCCTGAGTTACATATAACCATTATGAATCATTTTTTCTCCGCTCATTGCAGATACCAAGATGACAGAGTACAAAGTCCCAGAAAAGAATGTTCTTCCCATCCTCAATGAAGTTGCACTTGCAAAGAGTAAAGCTGAAATGGTACTTAAACTGTTTTATCCGAGAATGTTTTGTCCCGCCTTATGTTGTTGTTGTTATGGTTGTTAAATGATGGATATAAAAAGTAATTGTTATTTGAAAGAGAATTCGTAGGATATAGAGAGGAATTTGAATTGAAGTTTAAAAAAATGTCTACCTTTATGTGATACTGGCCAAAGGTGAACTTTACATGCAAATAAAATCAACATGATCTAACTTGATATTTGCTGTCTCTTTCTTTCCCATAGAAACTGGAAGAGTTGGACTTTGGAGAGAGGAGAGCCATCCACAAGAGAAAACAACTCATTCTGGAAGGAAAGGTAAACACATTTTGCTAAATATTTCTTTTACAAGGTTCTCAATTTGCTAGTTGATTGAGGAATACTTTATTTAATATTTAAGTCCATGCTTGCATATATATGGAGCCATTTGTGCAATTTCCATGAAAAAAGAGCATTGAAATTTATAACTTTCCTAGTAAAAATAACTTAAGCAAGTCACTGAAATGTCAAAAAAGTTTGGTGCGTATGTAAATGCCTCATAAAAAAGAAAAACACTTTCTCAATACTTAGACATGGTCTGTAAAATTAAGGTGAACACCAGAGTTTATGTACATTATGAAAAACTAATTTTTGTTTCAATGCAATGAATTACAATATATTCAAACTGTAGTCTGATTATATACCGACATACTATAGGATAGTATGTTACTTCATTGTGCACTCTACATATTTTGTGCTGGAGTGTTTACAATGCAAAACTTTTTTTTTTTTAAAGATGTAATTATTATCATATTTGCTATCATTTTGATATCATTTCTTCAGGATCCTGATGAAGCAGATGAGGAAATAAAGAGAGCCGGACCAAGTCAAAAGAAGAAGAAGAGTCATCAGCAAGAATCAAACCAATCATCAAGTGAATCCCACGGGAAACATAAATCAAAAGGAAAACAATCAAAAGGAAAGAGGTCAAGATAGTACTCAGTGAATTGTGTTCTGCTGAACTTTGAACTCTAGAGGACATTTTTAATAGGAGTATGGGATATCTTTCATGTACCCGAGTGCATGAAGCGGCTGACTGATTGAAATCCCCTGATTGTTGTAGATTGAAATGATGCTGCAGGCATATTTGTTCATGAACTTGATGGGGACAGAGTTTTGCAGAAAATACGAGTCCGGAAGCTGCATATGTGTGTCGGAGATCATGTCTATGAATTGCATAGTTCAGATTCTTCAATCCTCTTTGTCCTCCTCCCTTACACACATCCCACACAATGTCTCCACTAAATCATGCAATCCCCCCCAAATTAAAGGACCGTCTTCATTTTAGCATGTAATAATATCTGTAAAGCACTTAGAGCCCATATTTCATATTAAGCGCTTTATAAATCCAGATTATTATTGTTATTAGTGTTGAGGATGTGCCATTTTCTCAGCTGCTAGGGCGTGCGACACAGATACAGTCCAGGCAGTGCACTATGAATTGAAATATTCACCTTATATGCAGAATTATGTTTTGACAGGTTGAAATAAACAAGTAAATCTTCCTGGTACAAATGTCATTCAAGTAGATCCTCCCTTGCATAAATTTCAGCTCAAGATGATTAGTGAGGAAAGAAGTGGAGATTTTACTGAGCAGGGTAAATGTATGAATGTTTCATTACATTCAAAGAATAAAACATGTATGCCAATTGTCAAATGCACACATTTCACACTTTCTCTGTAATTTGTAACTTCTTGTATAATATATGTACATGTACATTATTGGAATATAAAAAGTCACTCAAATTCACATGTTTCTTTTGATTATTTATTGTTGTAATGTACTTCATAGATAACCATGCTTTTGTAAAAATATACATTACACATGAACATATGTTACATACAGTGATACAAGAAATATGCACTTCATAATCAGATATTTATAGTATCATGGTACCAAACATTGGAGCAAAATGCAGTGGCACATAAAACCGTAGTTTATTTGTAAAGGACCACATCTAGCAAAATTATCTTTCAGCACCTTGATGGATCTTGTGGGCAACCACAAGCAAGTGCTGAAAACTGTAAGGCAGATTGTAGTATATGCCTGCTCTGATACAAAAAATCTTACTTGGGGGAAATGACAAGTGACAATCGGTCAGATGCGTTCCCTTGCCATAAAGCTGCAATATTCTGTGCCACTACAGAAGATTTCATGAAGCTATGTAACAAGATGATACACCATCCTTATGCAGCAAACAGCATGCTAATGAAGTGAAAAACATTATCTGTTTGGCCTGTTGAACATTTATACAACAGTACTAAAACATACTATAAATTCCTTTAGATCATTAAAATCTATATAATCACACAGCCATCAAATGTGGTGGATCTATGAGCTATGCAGTGAAAGGGCCACATCAACATGATTATCTTTCTTCCTCTTTCTACATAAAAAATGTCATACAAATACATGTGTGTGATTCTTCAGAAAAGTTGGCGTTCTTGAACAAGTTCTCAAAAATTAAGTTTATTTTATAATTTGTGTTCAGACGATTTTATGACATAAAAACCTTTATGACCTCTTCAGTAGTTGATTAATGAATCAACTAATGATAAAATACATAACAGTAATGAAAAGAAAGTGCTTCATTTTACAAACAAAAATGTGAAGCAAAATCATGCATAAGTACTGATATAAACAACAAATTGTCTTTCTTAATACAGTTCACTACTATGATTACATTTATTTTAAAAAAAACTTACAAAGATTTCAAAGATTTCAATACTAGATGAAAAGCATGGGAAATATAAAGAATATGATACCTGTATCAAGCTATTAACCAGCATAGCATTATTCCTGCTTTTACATACATTTCTACAAAGTTCCTTCCTTGACAGTGAAAAGAGTTGATATTTAAATTAATTCTTTTCTACAATCCAAAAATTCACACTTTGAAACAAGCACTAAAACTCCAATGATTTTGTTTTCTTCTTCACAATGAACAACTATTACAACTAAAATCTTGATGAATTACATAAACATGTACTGTTATATCTTTTTCAACTGTACCGGTATCTCTAATTCATTGAAACAGTAGTTAAATGCTCTACATTATTAATATCAAAGATGATCTAACTGCTTCTCGACTGTTTAAGATTGTACATAGTACGTCTACTAGAATACATCTCTTCTTCTATGTACAGTATTCCATAATTGCACTTAAAGCCTCCAAACCTCTGATTCACACAATTCAAGACTACCAAGAGACATTAAACCATCTCACAAATAATGAAGCAAATTCCACTTGACTAACTGAATTAAAACATTCAGACTCAAAGGAGCAATGAGCACTGCATGTAGACAAAAATCCCATCTGGTGGGGGGAATTCTTTAATTAAACTGGGGGGATTAGCTAGCCGATTTTCGTCATAATCTGGCGAATAGTTTTCCCTGTTTTTCTTTATCTAGACATCAGTAGAATTTAGCAGTGCAATGCACCATGGTGCATACGCATAAAACATGGATAAGCACAAGGCAATTTGGGAAATACATCTTTTTTTACTTGAAAATTATCAATAAAGATGTAGCTTAGTAATACATTTATTTGTATCCATGATAATTTATAAATTTTAAGAAATGTGAATATCTGAAAGAGGCACCTGTCTTTAACAAATTTAAATATTGTAAATATTGGTGAGATGTTGATTTTCAAGTGTATTTCATAACGGTCAATTTGACTGGTCAATAGATGTAGTGAGATCCATCCGAAGGTGTGATGTAGCCAACCGCGATGAGTAAGACATCGATCAGCGTCCAGACCCCTGCCCCACCAAAGCTGAATAGCTTACCCAGACCCGATTGCCAGTAGCCCAGTTGTATTTCATAACAGTCAATTTGATTGGTCAATAGATGTAGTGAGATCCATCAGAGGGTGTGATGTAGCCAACTGCAATGAGTAAGACATCGATCAGTGTCCAGACCCCAGCCCCTCCAAAGCTGAATAGCTTACCCAGACCTGACTGCCAGTAGCCCAGGTAAAACCTGTCTGCTCCGAAGCCTCCAAGTGTGATACTGTAGAATAGAATATACTCAAATCAATAAAAGGGTCGTACAAAACTTTATTTTTAGCCAGTTGTACATATAATTGATTAATCAAATAAGAGATGATAAAATGACTGATTATTATACACACTATATTGTGATACCGGAAAGATACTTCTATTCAATGGTCGTACAAAGCAATTTTTCATTTTTTTAGATAGCATATAAGGTGACACAAATCTTTCACACAGGGCCTATTTGTAAATGATACTAATAAATTAAATAATCAGTCTCCAAACATTCTATAAAATTCATCTCTAGTCAATTTGCTTCTCTTTCGAATCTCTTCATAGTCAGCCTTAATTCATCCACAAGAACAAAATAGATGTAATTTCTGCTACCCTTATATAGGTTTGCAGCAGAATGAATCGTATATCTGGAATAATTAAGATGTTAATTGTGGCACTTTATTTAATAAGATAGGGGAAGTTATGTTACCTTAATATGAGAGCTGTAGACCACTTTGATCCAGAAGTCCAGTTGCAGGGTTTTCTTCGATGAAAATTTCTGGAACCTGAAAAGAATGGAATACAAATAGAGTCAAATACACGATTGTGTTGAGAAGAATACATATCACAAGCACCCCATCTAACAATTATTGACAAAGAACAACTTTATAGCAAGCATAATGTTGAAGAACATGTCAGGTTGCCCACATAGATCTTTAATTATGAAGAGAAGACAGAGTCAAGTAGATAATTGCATTTAAAACCATTATGGGTGCACGTCAATTGTACAAACAGAGCATTAATCTTTTGAAAGTTTTGGAGAGAAAATAGTGTGGACGGCCCCAAAATCTTTGTGTTGAATGTACTAGACCTTTGAAGACAGAGAAAGGTACCTTCATGTTAATGGACTTTATTCCCTTGAAAGATATGATGTTCTTAAATTCTGTCATGAAATAAATTGTTTGGGTCAAATTTTATGCTTGTAAATTTCACTTTGATAACTGTACAAAACTATTGATGATTTCTATTTCCAATTGGCAAATGCAGGGAGCAATGCAATCAGGGGGGCGTTTCACAGAACTTGTCATCAGTGACAAATGACAGTTTTTGTTATAAGCTACTGAATTCCTCGCTTCCGATTGGTTATCTTAGTTATCAGCAGATTTGTCACTGATGTTTGCAATTTTTCATTGAAAAAAGGCTGTGTGAAACGGGTTCCAGAACTTACCCAAACAGAATACATCCTCATCCACTGTACAGTTGACTTTAATGTATTGCTTCGGGCAAGCATAAACATGACAATTATTGGCAGGTGTACACGACTGCTGCCAGGTCTCAGTCTGATAGCAGTATCTACACTGGTATGACCTTTCCACAGGTAAAGAACCCTGTAGGGGGAAGAAAAATCAATGAAGAGTTCATAATAACTAAGTTATATTTGAATAAGATATTCATAAAACTTCTAGATATATTGTATGTTATTTTAAATGAAGATAATTCATGTTTAAAAGATTCCATACACGCAAGGACATGATAGAGCATTCAAAACTAAACAGTGAGTTACTGAGCTGTAAGAATATGAATATTTATGACAGTGAGAGACAGAGAGACATACAGAGAGAGAAAGAGAGAGGGGGTAGATAGGGAGAGAAAGAGAGGGAGAGAAAGTGGGAGAGATTGAGAGAGAGAGAGGGGGGGGGGGGGGGGAGAGAGAGATCAACAAGGAACAGATGTACAAATATAGCATGGGAATGCAAATGTATGCAATGTTAAATTTTCATATTCTTATACTCATACTCTAATAAAACAATGACAATACAACAAATTATACAATCCATTTTTACAAGATTTTGTTCATCAAGAAATACAAGTCCAATGAATCATAAGGAAGACTTACATATTATGGCATATGTTAGAAACAATTCAAATTGAAGAACACCTATATCATTAAATCATTCAACATTGAATACATTGAATACATAGAGAGGGCAGGTGTTTTACAGATCAATAAGAAAGCTTACCACACAGTCTAGTCCTTGGTTAGGGTAACATGTTGTGTTATACTCCCTCCCGTACACACAAGAGGTATCCATACTGCAGTTGAGGCACTGTGCTCCTAGCATCTCACAAGGTAAACCAGAAGGACAGAGCTCATAGTATGCTGGTACTGAGGGCTTGGTTGGTTGTGCAGTAGTGGTGATTGAATCATCATCAAGACCGACCGTAGCTGTGGGATCATCGGTTACTGTATCTTCTGTAGGGAGCTCCTCATCAGGCTCCCCATTGGCCTGCGGAGGATATGCAATTCTTATTAAATGCATACCATCAAATTTTTTTTTTTATCGGAAATGAAAATAAGAGAAGATGGAAGGTTGTTTGATAGTTTCAGTAATGAGGCAGACACAAATTGGACAAAAATAGATCTTTTTGTGTCTAATAGATATTTTGAGTTTCCTTTAGAGTTTACCTGTTTGAAACATTGGAAATGTAATGAATAGAAGGTAAATGAGTTCAATGTTATGAAACAGTAATTTAGTGCTTAAAGGCAAATTCTTGGCATGAATATCAATTCAATTTACCAGCTCTCCCAATCCTGACTAAAAGATCAAGCGTGTTTGTTTCAATTCTTAGACAAACCAGGAAATGTTCACTAGTTAATGTTCTAAGTTTGTATAGATCTCATTTTCAAAGCCATAAACTTCATACCAATGTTGTGACTGGTGAAGTTTCATTTTTTGTGGGTCCTGAAGTTGATGTAGATGCATTAGCTGATCCTGGTGCCTGAGTGGCTGGGCTTGATGTACGATTAGTGTCAGGTTTAGGTGTGGTGGTAGTCTTTGTGACATTTTCCTGCACTACTGCTGCCATGGTTTGCGCTGGTGTTGCAGGATCCTGACCACCTGTTCCCAGACTTGTTCCATCTTCGAGATAAAATGAAATATAAGACAAATATAAATAAAAGGAAGTTTAATCCATTGCCTATAGGAAGGAACTTCGTGGTCCCCACATTGAATGAGAGAACAGCATCAAAAGGGTTAAAAGGTGTATAAATAATGCTGCTGCTGCTGCAAAATATGATGAGGATGATGATGATGATGATGATAATGATAATGATAATGATGATGATGATGATGATGATGATGATGATGATGATGATAAAATGAAGTACATCTAGTACATGTACATGTTTTAGCACCTATAACAAAATAGAATTTGCATTAGGCTTGAGTCGGTACGGTCGATCACACCGGGACCCGACCGTTGCCGTCGGGTCCCGGTTTCGTTTTTTGAGAACCGACGCTCCGAAAAAAAATAATGAAATATGTAAGAAATTGCAGTTTTGCACACCACTAAAATCAATCCACCTTAAAACTTAAGTATTTAATTGTTACCAATCATATTCTAGCTCATCCTGAATCAATCCGAACTGCTGATATAAATATATGGGTTGCAAGGCAGTTCGCCCCATGGGGTTGTTGTTGCCAGCTGCTAGCTAGCTAGCTACTGTACTGGCCGGGTCTCTCGGCAGGATTAATAAATCAGGTTGAAAGAAACATTAATGTTTGAATAATAAAACGGCTTTCTAAAAAGTACTTCTTTACAACATACCGATCGAATAATTTTTAAAAGACAAAATAGATATTTTTTCTTTGATTTTGAACACCGCATGCTTCTTTTAAAAGCTGAAAATTACTTGGTAATCACAAGAAGTTTCGATACGGATAGCTGTTGCAAGGCAAGTTCAGACTAGTCTCGGAAAAATGCGCAGTGTTCCTCGTTAGCTGTAATGCGTGCCAGAACGAACCCAAACAAAGACGTGATCGTAACGAGAAAAAAATCATTAAAAACTACGAGAGCACAATTGGAAAGAAAACTACTCAAAATTATCGTAATCAGATACATAACTTGGAGGAAAAAAACAATAGTTGTCCAAGGAAAGCCACATAAATAGTGATATTTAAGGAGTTACTATAGGTACAATCATTATCGGAAGGGCCTGCTGCAATATCCGAATTACACATGTTTAAATTGAACACGAGGCTATACGAGGCAAATAACGCCCTCTACGGTAAAAAGCAGTATAACAAAGGATTCGAGTATTTGCAGCAGGCCCCTTGCGATAAAAATGTACCCAGTTACCCCTCGATTATCACAATTTCTGTGGCATTTCTTGGGCGATTATTGAATTCATTGTCCAAGTTATCTATCTGATTATGGTAATTTTGAGCAGTAGTTGTCTTTCCAATTGTGCTCTCGTAGTTTTTAATGATTTTTTTCTCGTTACGGTCACGTCTTTGTTTGGGTTCGTTCTGGCACGCATTACAGCTAATTACGAGGAGCACTGCGCATTTTCCCGATACTAGTCTGAACTTGCCTTGCAACCGCTATCCGTATCGAAACTCTTGATTACCAAGTAATTTTCAGCTTTCAAAAAAAAGCATGCGATGTTTAAAATAAGAGATAAATATTTATTTTGTCTTTAAAATATTATATGATCGGTATATTGTACAGAAGAAATTTTTAGAAAGCCGTTTTATTATTCTAACTTTCATATTTTTTGACCAGATTTATTCAACCTGCATGAATCAAAATGGCGGCTCGAATGTTGTCTTTCTATTTCTGCCCCAGTTTTTTTACTTTTAGAGGCACGAAAATGGCACTAAACATCGCCAATCATGGATGAAAATAATGTCAAATGGAAGAATATACCGATCTGAGCCGAGGTATGCATGTGTTGATTTATTTAATTGATAAAAAAGGTCACTTTTAAGGGACATACTGATGATATGCGCTTTTTATAGAGGCAAGTGGCAAATCCTGCGAGCTGATTTCGGGACACCGGGTCCCGATCGGTACAAGGCCGTCGGGACCCGGTTTATGAAAATCCCGACATGACTCAGGCCTAATTTGCATATAGTCTACAAATATTACATCTATTTGAATTTGATACCTGCAACTAAGTGGAATTTCATATTTCCTCTGTCCAATATCAGATTCATGACCCTTATACATTTTTAATCAAAGTTTAAACTCTTTGCATGACAACTAGATAATTAAAATAAAATACTATAAATAATGGCAACTTGCACTTTGGGGTCAAAATAATAACAATATTCATGTGAGCCATACATGCACTTTTACAAATATCGTTTTATCATCATCTAGTCTAGTCAACTTTCCTTGAAATTTCATTTTAAATTTGTTCGTTTTGTCATTCTGTGCATTCACATCAACAAGTTTCGATCGCTCTAGACTTCTAGACCTATATCGGATATCCATCCTCACTTTCATTTTTACTAGAGTTGATCTTTGTTGTATACGTGTAGAAGCTAAGTAGACATGTAAAAATATATGTTAATAGAGATTGGATAGGGTCTCCTCACTCACAGCTCGCTAACTACTTCAAATACAAAAAATAATATGTACTACATGAAAAGCTATATCTGGGACCGAAGTATATTTCCATCTCTATTTCATATTACAAAGTAGCAGATATTTAGATCTTAAACTCTCTCTCAAAATAGAAAAGTAACATGATTACCCTGGCAGTGTATACAAAATGGTAAAATGATTAAGATCACGATGCAAAGGCTTTTACAATCCATTTCCGTGCTATTTTCGCTGCTGAATTCGGCGGAATTCAGCGATCACAACTAGTAGTAGACTAGTAGTAGTAAGAAGAATGAGATCAACGGACAAATAAAAAAAGAAAATTATTGACTAGTCTACGCGAAAATAAAATGCTCGAAAATTTGTGAATTTCTGAATAGGTGAAATAATCAAAATGCAGTTAATCATGGTAAACCTATAAGGTACCTTAACCGTGACAGTGAGTGTGTTAACTGCACAATGCTCCTAATGTTCTTTGGTAATACATGACTGTGTGTGGAAATCTATCTGAATTTAACCCCCTCAACCGAACATAAAAAATCATGCTTCTCTTCATTTGTGTTGCACATTGATCGTATAGGAATCGCTACTCTTTACTAATAAAATAAAGTTTCTCCAAGTTTTGGCAATAACTTTATTCGCTTTGTCCTTTTCAGAATAGATTACATATAACTTACTAGTGATGAGAGAACACACTTAATAGATGGATTACCAATAAGTACGAATGTATAACACAAATTACACATTGCCCTTACGTAGTGTGTGCTTGTGTTATTTCGCACGTCAGTATGATGGCAGTCCTTTCATTTGGAATTTCTTCTTATCTCTAACCAAACCAAAACTGCTATAATCTATTTATACATGTATGGTGTTCTGAAAATTTCGAAACGATAGCAATAGGTGCATCGTCATACATTGCCGCAAGTGAATTAAGTGAATATTTTAAAATCACAATCTGCGATTTCAACCCACTTCATTTACATGTTATATTCTCTACTATTATATTTCTGATATAATAATTTTAAAAAGACTGAAGCGACGATTGAATGTCCTGATCGGAGAGCGGGCGGGGGGGGGGGGGGGGCATTCAATGAAGATTAGCAACCAAACTTCTATGAAGGATCATCTCGCCTCGCCGATTAAGCCACGCCCCGCCCCGCTCCCGAATAGGAATAATTTTGCGTTTTGCTTTCTATTGTTATCCTGGGGATATTAAACCTATCAACTTGTTAGTTCGTGTAGCCCCCAAAATGGCACTTTGTAATTTAGTACTTTGCATTTACAGCACTTTTCATCATAATAAGTTTCCCCTTTCTTTTCAATGGATATAGGTAGCTCTAAATCATCATATTGACAACATATAATTTGTATTACTTTTATTTTATTATTATCAATATTACTATTTAACGTTATCATTACTATCTTCTTTTTTTTTTGGGGGGGGGGGGAGGGACGACATCTGATCAATTGATGTGAGAAGCGCCCCGTCTCTCGATCTCTTACATCACCGACCCTGCATTGTTGGAGTATGCATTATCAACCATTTTAAGGGGATGAAGTGAATGAATATATATATATATATATATATATATATATATATATATATACAAAATGATCTCTACCAATAAAATAAGATCTTCTGTATACAGTCATATTTACCATAATTAAAACCATAATATTTCATAAAGGAGATCAAGGCAAGGGGGAGGAGGGGAGACGAAAGAGATGGGATCGTTGAGCGCACATCATTAGGGACTTTTAGATTTGCACAACGACAACGTGGATTGCTACGACCGACGTCCTTTTAATGCACTGCCTTGAATGGACGTCAGACGTATCTAAAAGTCCCTATTGTGACGTGTGGACAACGTGGTTACGTATATACACCCCTGCTCTAATGATTGGGCAGAAGTTTATTGTTACGTCACGAACAAGCCAAAAGTTGCTTCCTACGCTACGCATGCGCACGAGTGTATACGCGCTCTCATTGGACAGACGTTTATTGTTACGTCATGATCCAGTCGAAAGTGAGTCTCGTAACACGCATGCGCATGTGTGTATACGCGCTTTCATTGGTCCAAAGTTTTTGTTACGTCACGATCAAACCGAAATTCTACCCGTGTTACGAATCTGTCTTAGCAACCAATCTTCACAATGATTAATGCAGCATACTAGCGAACACGTTTAGTTATTGCCTTATCGAAACTTCGAGTGATATTAACGTTTAAAACGTTAATTCTTGGAAATCATTGAACGGAAAAGCAAACTTCGTGACATTGCAGGTAATATGACATTTTTTGTTTAATTTTCTATGCTTTTCAAGTGAAAATATAAAGGCCCTAAGTGCCGCGAATTGTCCATTTTCGTTAATGCGTACTTTGCATAGCAAACTTTGAAATAGATGTTTTATTTTTCTTTAAATATTGATGCGACTTTTTGTTCTACAGTGTTTTCACGAACCGGCACAGCCCAACGCGCAACGAAATAAGTACATTCTGAGAAAAACGCGTTTTACGTTTAGCCCGTTTTGAATTCGCCAGAAACATGCCTTATGTCAAATTTTATATCACAAAATACATATCAATGAAAGGAAAATATTCTGTATTTTCTATACATTCCATTTGTTAAGCATAATGACAATTACTATTAATATTACGAAGCTTTGGACTCTCGTGCCGGTTCGTGAAAATATTATTTTGCTGTTTACGGAGCAAAAATATTTTCACGAACCGGCACAAGCCACTGTGTCGTTTTTCCTATGTAACTTTACGCGCAAAACAAAAGCGCTCGCGCTGTCTTAGCGCGTATTTTATTTTCACGAACCGGCACAACCGCCTGTGTCGCGTCGTCTAGGTCTTGTAAGCGCAAAGATATTTTCACGAACCGGCACAGCCCATTGACTTATAACGGCGCGTGCCGGTTCGTGAAAATATGAATCGTGCTTTTTGGCTCGTGTGTCGTTTTTGTCATTTGTGTAACCATGGATATCTCAAAAACTAAAGCGTTTTGGATGCTGAAATTTGGTGAAATGAAAGATTGTTGATAACTTATGCTAAAAATGCAAAAAAAATAAAAACTACATTTTGAAGGGATTTCGGTGGCTTGTGCCGGTTCGTGAAAACGGCGACGAGTGATAAGTGTGAAATTGAGCTTTCTTGTTTTGGAGTATAATATATACATATAAAACACTGTTCGATGGAGATGATGATGATGATGATGATGATGATGGTGATGCCATGGTGATGATGATGAGGATGATGGTGGTGGTGATCATTATGAAGAGGATGATGATGACGAAAATTATGTTTTCAACGATGATGATGATGATAATAATAATGATGATGACGGCATTGTTGGTGGTGGTAATAATATTAATATATAAGTTAGTAATATAGTATCCCGGTGTGCTGCTGCTGCTGGTGCTACTAGTACTACTACTACTTCTGCTACTTTTGTTCGTTTCAGAATGAGTGTCACAGTGAAGCAGAAGAAAAACCTTCCTCTTCTACCAAGTAGACTGAGGAAGATGGGCGATACCATCTTGCCCCACACGAAGGGACAGCTGAGTGCACGACCTGCGGATTCATTTAAATCACAGAAAATCCGTGGCGAAGTAAGAAAAAGAAACCATATAGAAGAACTATGATGCAAATTACATGTAAAAAGATACAGGTTGAGAGAAAATAGATAGACAGATAGATACTGAGATAGAGAGAGGGGGACGGGGATGACGATGTATACAGGGCCTTAAATAAATAACAAAACACAGAAAAAACGAACTCATTAAAAATGAATGACTATATAAGGGCTATCATGTCATCTATTTGTGTAATCCGAAATCAGATACGTGATAGAAACTAAACAAATATGTTATCTTACATTCCTCTGGCAGCACGTGACACTACTGCTGACATTCCTTCAAGAATCTTTTGATCTTGCGCCTACCACCACCCCGGCAGACATGGTCTGTAAACTGAGACTAAAGATGTCCTCTACAGACAACAAGATCAAGAGAATGGCAGAGCAACTTAAGGTAACTACAATTAGCTTGAGATATGAAAGGTTGAAATCAGAAGTCAACAATTATATCCTCTGTAATAAATACAGTGAAAAAATTACATTTCATAACTTTCACCGCACGTTTAACAAAATCATGGATGAATATTAGGTGATGATTTTTCTTTTCACCCATCTTTTGGATAAGGTGCAGATTATGTGAAAGCTCGTATCACCCTCGGGTTCATTTCCCTCTTAATTTGCGTCTCACTCCTTGCACTCTTATTTGTTTCTTTTCTCTCTACATCATTTCAAATCTATCTCTCTCTTTAAGGACCATGATGTTCTCTTGTTTGACGTACAAGAGGAGCTCAACCTTGGTTCCGAGGTCAATTCTGTCAGGACTGCACGAGCCTTCAAGAAGTACATTAGATCCTCAAAAGAGCATACCGCTTACCTTGAGAAAACCATCAAGGTAAATTGGAGTTAGAATTACAATATGGTCTTTAATTTATCCTTTGTGTAGTCATCAATCAGGTTGGCCTAAATTGAGACTTAATAAATTGAATATTATTCCCATATCCAGTTTCTTGTTTTGAAGCAATGTCCATATTAAAAATGCCTAAATTAAATCAAAATCTCAGGTAGATGCTAACTTATTCACAAAAAGCATTCTATAATCGCTGTAGAAGGTAAAACCGATTGATGTTTCCAAGCTGAATTCTCTGGTAGGCTTGGGATGCGATTCACAATATCTTCATTCGTTAAAAAAAAATAAAATTAGATGCTATTTTAGTAGGTTTAAAAAAATAGCATAGGCCTATACATGTAGGTAAGTCATGTGTCTTCTATTCTAATAAGAATATGCACAAATTATTTGCAAATAACAGATATCTTTGAAGTTCTCATTTCCACCAAACTTTCATTAAATTTCAAAGTTGCTTTAATCTTTTTCCATCTTTGAATATAGGGTAATGAGGCACTCTTGAAGACCTGCAAAGAGATCGCTGGAGTATCCGGTCACCATGCTCCTGCTGGCCTAGCTAACTATTTCAGCTCCACATGGAGCCGACAGCGCCACGTCATCTCAAAGCTCAACAACACCATCCAGGTAAAATTCATGATTAGAACAGAAATTTATTTGTCTGAGATTTAGATGTGTGCTATTGATGTCCATCACCTTTTATGCTTTTAAGCCCTACTGTAGTTGATTTCGGGAAATTAGATAATATGAAAGAAAACCAAGTGCTAAAATGCTGATAGATGTTTGAAAAAAGAAAGAAAAAAAGATCAAATATTAAAATGAAGCAAAAAGAAAGTCCTATTCTGTTAATACCAAATGGAATTCTGAAGAAAAAAACAATAAAATTCAGTCAGGTGAACAATTTTACCTTTAAGCCTTAATCCACAAAGAAATTTTACCCTGGTAATATTAATTTTGTTGTTTCTGTTTTGTTTTTAAATATTTTGTATCAATTGTCATAATGATATTTAATGTAACAGTCATCTTGAGCATCATTTTTATTTATTTATTTTAGGACTTCAAAGACTCCAAAGCTGACTTAGAAGAGTCTATCCTGGTGAGATACAATAATTAAAATGGACTTATATAAACATTAAAAAACTCATGCAGTTTATCAGCACTAAAGTTTATTTCAACTCTAATTCACAATCGTAAATTAGCATGGTTGTTCGTGAATAATGTCAAGCCGGAATATGATTGAAAGTAATCAAACGTTAAAAAAAAAATTTTTTTTTTTAAATTGACCAAAGTAAATGTTGAATAGGAATATATGTAAAAAATCTTTATTTTTGTTAGCAGATTATCAAATTCATGGGATACTTGTCTTAAGGACGTAGACTAAAATGTAACAACAAAATCATTAAATCTTTTCAATAGCAGTGATTTAAGGTTTGCGTGCATATGAGGTAATTTTATTTGCCAAACATGCAATATCTCTTTTAAAGATGGATTATTATAGAAAGTAACTTTCAGGACTTAATTTTCTTTTGATAGAACGCCCAAGATCTTGAGAGGATGAAGACCAATCGCATCGTCGAACTCGAGAACGAACTGGACCATCTCAAGACCAGGAACAACTATATGGCCCTTGACCTGAAGGTAGCATATCATTTCTAAAGTTAAATGATATAGGAGGTATCAACAAACAAACAAACAATAGTGGAGGTATCAACAAACTAAACAGAAATAGCAATATGAAATACTTGATTTAAAGCAGTTGTCATTTTATAGGATTCTAGCAGATTTGTGTCAGTACCTTCTGTGCTTAGTGGCTTTACTTCCTTTCATTCTAAATTAACGTGATTGATAAGATTATATCTTCTACTTCATAGCAAACCCAAGAAGAGCGCAAATCAGACACCAAACTTGTCAGTGACCTAGAGCACAAGATCCGTGATCTTCAAATTGGCAATGACAGGAAGGTGCTTCAGACTGAGGTAGGTTAATCATATCAGGGAAGGGGGAAAGCATCAACAGCAGAGGCATCTTAAAAGGGGAGGTAACAGGGTGAATATTATGATGATCATCATAATAGGGGCAATGAAAACAACGACCTATTAGACAACATCATTCCATATGCAAAACCAATCGAAGAAAACCCTATAAAAATATACACTGAGGTAGTTTTATCCACATAGAAAAGATGCTACATTTAATAAAAAATAAACTGTAGAGGATAAGAATTCATCTATTAACACTTTAAATTACTTCTCGTGAAACGTATCAAAATGAATCAGTACCAACATATTTAGACTATGTGTTGACTTATGAAATTGAAGCTAGATGATTGAATGAAGCCAACTTATGTATGATTACATCAATTAAATTATGCTAAATTAACTTATCTTAATCGTACTTTTTTCCTTCAGGGTTTGCTTCAGCGCTACGAGGAAGCCGGAGAGGTTGTATTGAACCTTCAATCAGAGCTGGATGATACCAAACAACTCAACCAGTTTCTCAATCTACAGATCAAGGTATGAAAACTTATTAAAATACCTAGCTCAACCATATCCTTAGCCTACAGATCAAGGTACGAAAACTATGTCATGAACAAATTATAAGCAATCAAAATACGTCATCAAGGCAATACTGCCATGATCAATTTTTTCCTTTGAAATTGGAACATTACTGATGACCAAAATAACGTGTTATTCAGAATAGTTATAATATAACATTAATTCCAATTGAAACTGAATTTAATCCCGTTTGCAAAGTATGCGTGTAATTATTTTGTTTGCAGTAAACATGCTTGCCGAGATGTGCGTCCATGCAATTTAGACAAAATTGACAGCACATATCTTTATATTCTAACCCGCAGGCCTTAGATAATGCTAAGGTCGACGATGATGCCAATTGGGAGCAACAGAAGAAGGAACTGGACTCAAAGATTGAGGTAAACAAACGCAAATTAATAAAACACCTTCATATATTTTTTCTTTTGAGTCAATCTTGGGAATCAGTATCTCATTTCATACACACAAATCCTTACCTGCAATAATTCTAAAGATGACTTTTTATTCCTTTTCAGAGCCTCCGAACAGCTGAATTTCAGGCAAACGCTCAAGCTTTGTCTCTGAGACTGGAACTTGGAGAAATGAAAGTTCAGAAGGATGACGCGATTGTAGAATTAAAGGTATTACTATATTTTTTGAATTAACGTTTCCCCTTTTCAAGAAATAAGTACAAATTAAAAATTGATTTCAAAAGAAAAAACAACGCGAAGTATTATTGCTTAAATTTAATTTACCGACATTTTATTCATTTGTTTAATAGAATCTACAAACCAGCGAGCCCAAGAAAGACAACCAGATCTTGGAGCTTGAGAAAGAAATTGCCACCTTGCAGACACAGAAACAAGAACTGGAGACAAACCTTGAGGTACCATTTACATCAACCAATCTAGTCGTTCCAGGATGATATATAAAAAATAAAAAACTCTGTGAAGGGAACTTGTTTGAAAGAGAGAGAATGAGAGGGGGGGGGGTTGAATGATAGATAGAGCGAGAAAGGAGTCGATAGAAACAATTACAACTGAAAATGAAATCGTGTGTGAAAAATAGTTGGGGGGGGGGGGGGGGGGAGGGGCTTTAGAAGGGAAAGGCTTGATTGATATCATCTCGATATATGTGAAATGGATACAAATCTTGAATGCCTTTTTTTGTTAATTAACTCTAGACACATCACAATACTGCAGAGTTCTCTCGGAAGAGCGGCTATAGCTTCACAAAGGTAATATTTTCATATACTGATTTATTTATTTTTGATTTTTATATGATAACGTTTTTATGATTTCAAAGTAGTCCATCCTTCATTGAGTATTCTTAATCATGTAAGATAAACATAATATTCTTTAACTATTATCTATATAGCCGCATGATCGAACAGAGCGCAAGGGCGACAGCCTTGTTCTGACCTTGCAAAGGAAATTCTCCGACTTGGAGCAGGAGAAGAAAGATCTGACTTCCCAACTCCAGGTAAAATAGAGTTTTATTTAGGTTATTAAGAGCTGGAATATAATATGATGTTCCTGAGTACCATAAGCACAACCAAAGGTACACTATCGCAACATTTTCGTAAAAGATCGTTTCTCTCATCATGATCATTAATTTGAGGGATAAGCAGCTCTTTTCCGTGAGCTATATTTTATTTTCCCATAAAACAGCTTTGTTCCTCTTTGTGTGTTCATTTAGTCATGCCCCTCAAAATTTCTGAGAAAACAGAATCATAATTTCCAAGAATATAGTATTTCGGAATATCAATTTCCGTGTTATGATTATGTTTCAGTTTTGTGCTTATCAAAGTAGAATGGTCAATCAAAAGTTAGTTTAAGTCCATTTTTACTACACCAACGAGTGATTAATCAGGGCGTTATCCCTTAAGATGTATTTGTTTTCTTGCAGCGCATGCGCCAAGAGAAAGATGATCTCATCTCACAGCATGAAGCAGCTATAACTCGGGTTAAGAAGGAGAAAGATGATCTGATCTCACAGCATAAAGTAGCTATAACTCGGGTTAAGAAGGAGAAAGGAAACCTAGCCATACTACATCAGGTAGATACATATTTTGTTTCCATATTAACTTAAATCAATACATTCCAACATGGAGTATGTGGTACAGAAGAAAAAGGTACAAATTATCTCTTATTTTCTTTTGGCATGTACATGTATATATGGGTAATGAGAAGAAAAAGAGGAGAAAAAAAAACATACCGCCAAAAATATTTGAATCTAAACGTTTGATGTTTCCAACGTGTTACGATGCAGATCAACGAAGTTTATATATATATATATATATATATATATATAAATATATATATATATATATCTTTTTAAAGTGTCATCTCGTAAGTATGCATTTAGAGTAAAAGCAAAGTTGACCAAAACATATCGGAAATAGACGAAAACTGTCATTAACATGTAACCTTATTTCATCTTTTCTTTAGCCTTGCGGTGAAAGAATTGTCATAATATATGCAGTTGCCAACAGCACCTTTATCTACTGGCTTGCAAAAAGTGTTTTATATGTTTTGTTATTTTCTTTGTCGTTACAGGGTTTGATAGATGAACGTCAGGAATCCATCACTCTGATCCAGCGATGTTCTGATGAGCATGAGTGCTCGGATCTTCTTTTAAGAAGAACTACAGAAAGATTGCAGGTAGGAACAAAATCAATCATTGTGGTCATTTTCTTATTTTATTTAATCTATCTCATTGAAGTCTTGTTAGAACATCTTTGGCTTAAGAAAGAATCCGCTTGATTTTAAAGACAAGTACAAGCTGAAAGATTACGGAGAATGACAAGAGGAACATAAGAAAAAGAAGAAAAGAAGAAAAGAACAAGAGACGAGAAAAAATAAAGAAGAAGAAACAAGAAATTTATATAAATGAAGAAAAAATAAAAAGGAGAAAGGAAGAAGAACAAAATTATAGAAGAAAAAAAAAGAGAAAAAGACATAAAAAGGGAGAAATATGTTTTGTTTTTTTAAAGGTAGAAGAAGATGGTTTATCGCTTAGCACGCCTTGGGGGGGGGGGGGGGTACATGTAGTTCTTTTCACTAGCAAAATGTAAATCCTTATCCTAATCAACATTGTTGCCATTGCTTTGCTACAGTCCGCACTGCGAGAGAAAGAGATCCTTCTGACAGAAAACATCGGTCATGCCAATGAGGTTTCTCACCTGAAGTCAAAGCTAAAACATCTAAAGTCCAAACTAAAGGTAAAAAGACACAACAGAGATATTAAGGAATATTATCCACCATAGACACTCACTCATTTTCAATACTTCTTTAAATCGTAAGCAATTTATATTGGGATATCGAAATATCATTAATAGTTTTCAATCATCATAATTTCTGACAGAATCATCATGATCCTTCAAAGTTAAAATCGTCAATAAAATGTACATATGCATGTATTACGGTTGATTGTTTGATAGAATGTATACTCTTCACTATTGATATTTTCAACATTTTATTTCAGGAAAAAAAGGAGAAACACCGCGTGAAGACCCAACATACCTCTCGCAAGGAGAAGGTGGTCAACGTAGTCGTGGTCCAAGAAGTAAATTTTAGTTTTAGAGATTATTTATACCGCTTGTTTATTAATTTAAAACTTTAAACAATCGTTTCTTTAAAAAATAGTCGGATATAAATGATTTTACAATAATTAATGACAAGAAAAATAAATGAAATTACAATAAAATGGAAATATAATCATGAGCTTTTTCCACTGACAATACATGTAAACGCAACTCTTAAAAAAAAAATTAAGCCTGCATTCGCAAATCTTTAATTAACGTTTTCCATAACAAAAATTCAAAGTCTGTATATCTTTTCTCAAAGGTTCGTGCATTTCCCCCGGACACAATGACACTTTCCCGAATTCAATTTAGTAAAAACTATTAAGGAATACAACGTTTTGCATTCAAGTTTGGGCAAATATGATTTTACATATAATTCTGTTTACTATACCCTATACAATTTGGTTGTTCTGGGCTCGCGGGTTTTAAGTGGACAATCAGCACACTGATGTTAACTATAATCTTTCACAGGACAATGAGGAAAAGATTGAAGCCATGACTCAAGATGCTGAGAAGATGCGAGGAAAGATCACTCACTTGAAAACCAAAATTGCGGACATCTCCTCAGAACTAGAGCAGAGTCAACAAGATTGTCAGGTAGCTTGGCCAACACGAGAATATTGTCAAGAATTAGATTACTTGTAGGATTCTTTTGAGAGCACAGAGAACATTGTTACATTCTGAACTTCGCTTCCGATTTATTCTAAACTCATCAAAAACATCATGTTCATTAGAATTAAAACAAGTACTACCACCCTCATTAATGGGATTCATCAGAATAACCTCATTTGTTATGAAAGTGAGAATTATAAAGATAGCTGTGTATCAAATACAATAACAAAATGTACTGCTAACCCATTTCCCCTAGCCTAAAAGCTTTATAGAGAAAAGGGTAAATATGAATCTTGTCAATACCTAGAAATAAGCAAAACGGGGTGATTTCTTGTAGGTTTCTTCTAAGGAGAGAGATGTACTTGGGCTTCCTGTATGTTATCCTCTGCAGATGTTATTGATTTTGGGGGATGGGCAGACGTCGCCTCCTTCCTTTGCAGGCTACGCCATCGGAAATTATCATCAGAAATTGAGTATTTCATGATGTTTATTGCGCGATGTCTTTTTTTCTTCTCTTGTGATCAACAGGGGGCGGAGGAAAGGTTTTCCAAAGCTACCCAGCAACTCAAGGAGTTCGAAAGTCGGATGGAAGTGAGAAAGAAAGAAAAGGACAAACTTTCTTCTAAAATTAAAAACATCCAGAAGGATAAGAAGGTAAGTTAAATTTTATGTTTAAAAAAAAAAAAATCTGTTCCTTCTTTCATTTGCAGTATTGGTATACTTATTTGTTAGGATTTAGCAATATGATTTTGAAACAATGTTCATCTATATGAATTTATGAAATTATTGTAAGTGTATTGTTCGCAGGTTCTTCGATTGTCAATCTCCATCTGTTTCTTTCACACAAATATCAATCCAGTATTTATTCTTATTTGATGTAGGAACTGGACAATCAATTAACAGCTGTGAATGAAGAGAAAGAACATTTCCAATCTCGCGCTGACAGAATGGAAGAGGGGAGAGATGATTTGTCGGCTCAGCTTAGTAAGACTCGCAAACAATACCAGGTATAAACACTCATGATGATTACTTGGTTTATTTAATACCTGTTTAATGTAATGACAATATCTTCGAAAGGTTAAGATGAGTTAAACCTAAAATGATATTGAAAATAAATGTATAGACTATCTTGTGCCTTCAGGTGAATAAAGAAATTCCATGGTTTTCGTTTTCTCTCCAGCTCCTTATCTGTTTAATGTAGATTTACTGTGCAAATTGAATTCATTTTGATAGGAATTGGACGAGGGATTCGCGGCTGTGTATGCGGAGAAACAAGAACTGCAAGTTCGTACTATCAGCTTGGAGAATGAGAAAGACGAACTTTCAGCTCAGCTCAGTAAAAGTCTCCAGCAATATCAGGTATACAAAATACAAAACCACAAGTCAAAATGTGCTTTTTATTTAAAGCCTGCATTAAACACAACCTAAAATAATGGAAAATAATAATACTAATAACAGAAGGACAAGAAGGTAAGTTAATCTTTATGTTTAATAAATAATCATTCTGTTTCTTCCTTCCTTCATTTGCAACTTATTGGGATACTTATATGTTAGGATTTAGCAATATGATTTTGAATCAATGTTCACCTATGATAAAATATAATGAATTCATGAAATTATTTTAAGTGTATAGTTCGCCGGTTCTCCGCCTCCTAATCTCCATCGGTTTCTTTGACACAAATATCAATCCAGTATTTATTCTTATTTGATGTAGGAACTGGACAATCAATTAACAGCTGTGAATGAAGAGAAAGAACATCTTCAATCTCGCGCTGACAGAATGGAAGAGGGGAGAGATGATTTGTCGGCTCAGCTCAGTGAGACTCGCAAACAATACCAGGTATAAACACTCAATGATGATTATTAGGTTTATTAATATCTGTTTAATGTAATCACCATATCTTCGAAAGATTAAGAAGAGTTAAACCTAAAATGATATTGAAAATAAATGCTTAGACAATCTTGTATCTTCAGTTGAATAAAGAAGTTCCATGGCTTTCGTTTTCTCTCCAGCTCCTTATGTGTTTAATGTAGATTTACTGTGCAAATTGAATTCATTTTGATAGGAATTGGACGAGGGATTCGCGGCTGTGTATGCGGAGAAACAAGAACTGCAAGTTCGTACTATCAGCTTGGAGCAAGAAAAAGACGAACTTTCAGCTCAGCACAGTAAAGGTCTCCAGCAATATCAGGTATACAAGATACAAACCACAAGTCAAAATGTGCTTTTTTTAAAGCCTGCATTAAACACAACCTAGAAAAATGGAAAATAATAATAGTAATGACAGAAGGACAAGAGGGTAAGTTAATTTGTATGTTTTTTTTTTTAAATATTTCTGTTCCTTCTTTCATTTGCAGTATTGGTATACTTATTTGTTAGGATTTAGCAACATGATTTTGAATCAATGTTCACCTATGATAAAATATCATGAATTCATGAAATTAGTGTAAGTGTATAGTTCGCCGGTTCTCCACCTCCTAATCTCCATCTGTTTCTTTGACACAAATATCAATCCAGTATTTATTCTTATTTGATGTAGGAACTGGACAATCAATTAACAGCTGTGAATGAAGAGAAAGAACATTTCCAATCTCGCGCTGACAGAATGGAAGAGGGGAGAGATGATTTGTCGGCTCAGCTTAGTGAGACTCGCAAACAATACCAGGTATAAACTCTCAATGATGATTGAAAATACTCTAATACTCTATGTTTCGATAGGTTTATTTTATATCCATTGTGTAATAACAATATCTTCGAAAGATTAAGATGAGTTAAACTTAAAATGATATCGAAAATAGATGTATAGACAATCTTATACCTTCAGTTACAATTTTTTCTATGACTTTCGTTTTTTCTCCAGCTCCATATTTGCTTAATGTAGATTTACTGTGCAAATTGAATTCATTTTGATAGGAATTGGACGAGGGATTCGCGGCTGTGTATGCGGAGAAACAAGAACTGCAAGTTCGTACAATCAGCTTGGAGAAAGAGAAAGACGAACTTTCAGCTCAGCTCAGTAAACGTCGCCTGCAATATCAGGTATACAAAATACAAAATCACAATTCAAAATGTTTGTTTTTTAAACCTACATTAAACACAACCTAGACAAATGGAAAATATGGCATTCTAGAAACGGACAACGGACAAAGTTAGTGTTTTCTCAAGTAAACATAAATCAAAAATCCATAATTTAGTTACAATCTTTCATAATAATCCTGCCTTGTAGTGCATTTATTATACCAGAGATTATTATTCATTTTTCATAGGAACCAGAAGAGAGTTTCACTGCTGAGGACCAAGAGAATGATTTTGAATGGGATGACGACATGGAACCACTGCCAGAAGATAGAGAACCACTGCCAGAGGAGAGAGAATCATTCCAGCCTCGCTCTGATAGTTTTAAAGAGGAGGGACATGAACAGAAATTTCAACTCAAGAAGACCCCCAAACAACGTCAGGTACAATTTCTTATAAGTTTGTTTTCTGAATGAGTTTGTTTTACATGTAGCAAGATAGATTGAAAATGTAACAAGTTCATCACAAATGTTAGGACAGGAAGGAAAATCAAGAACATTCTAGAAACTGGAAACGGACAAAGTTAGTGTTTTCTTAAGTAAACATAAATCCTGGATTCCATAGTTTGGTTACACTTTTCTTAATTATCCTGCCTTGAAGTGTATTTATTATACAGAGATTATTATTGATTTTCCTAGGAACCAGAAGAGAGTTTTACTGTTGAGGACCAAGAGGGCGGTCTAGAATGGGATGACGAGATAAAACCACTGGAGGAGGAGAGAGAACCATTGGAGGAGGAAAGAGATTCATTCAAGCCTCGCTCTGATAGTTTTAAAGAGGAGAGACATGAACAGAAATTTCAACTTAGAACTGCACCCAAACAGCGTCAGGTAAGATTTCTTGGGTTTTTCTTCTGAGTAAGTTTGTTTTAACAAGATAGATTGAAAAATTAACAAGTTCACCACAAAGATTAGGACAGGAAAGAAAATAAGTTTACAAAGTATAATCAAATGCTATCTAAAGCAATGAAAATTATATAGAAATATTGATTGACTCAATATTAATAACTTGTATAGCTTGAGTTGCACAGGATAAAGTACAGACCCAAACCCTTGGAATAAAACACCACGTAATGTAAACGGGTTTGGAAATGAGAATAAAAAAACACATCATATGTACAAACTAGACTATTACAATTGTTCTATGTAAGAGGTATCATTATACCAGTGGCTTAATACAAATTGTATATATTTTATATGTATCCCCCCCCCCTCGATATTTTGAAGTACATTGTATTATACAACATAATATTCAATTTATTCATTTAGGTAATGGGGGAGAAAATCCAGGTTATTAGGAAGAAAACAGATCCTGAAAAGAGACAACCTGATTGTCAGGCAGAGAAACAAGACGATCTCTCAACTCAGCTTGAGGAGGCCAATCAGAAATATCAGGTAACTTTGATTAAATTAGAAATATAAAGAATCACTTTGAAAAATATCTCAATATTACAGTTGCACAATACTTTCATAACGAAATAACATTATTCTATTGAACAATGATATAATTACTTAACTTTCTCTCTCTCTCTCTCTCTCTCTCTCTCTCTCATAGGACCTGGATAAAGAATTCGACATTTTACTTGAGGAGAAGCTAGAGTTTCAATCTCTCGCTGACAACTTGGCTGACGATAATTATAGGCTATCAACTGAGTTAGGGCAGGCTTACACAGAGAGGCATGTAAGTCAAGTTATTTGATGGATTTTAACAGCTCTGATTTTCACATGATAAAAGATAATCATTGAAATATAAGATTCACTCCGAACGATGATTCATTATACATACATGTTTAGATAATTATGTAATACATTATTTCTTCCATTTCTCGTTAAAAATCCTCATTGCTTTCATACTTTACAAACGTACACGGACTCTGTACAAAAAACACACCAAAGTCTGATACTTGAATCGCAAGTACCAGTTACCTCGAATCCACTAACCAATAACTTTTCAAACATTAATCAGTCTTTGATCTTGATCTTTTGATTGGCTAATTAGTGTCAGAGTAGTTACTTAATTAATTGTAACTAAACAAAATATACACCACACCGTGTACTGAAAAAGGACTTATGTGCATTGGCTGATATACCGTTTGAAAAGACACTGTGAAATCATCAATTCTCTTCTCTTGAATTTGAAAAGAAAACTGTATATGAAACAAGTTTCATCTCTTCCTAACAGGTTTTGGAAGATAAACTGGATTCTTTAGAAGCCGAAGGCGAGAAACAAGAACTTGCTACCAAACTGAAGGAGGAAAATAAACTCCTTTCTACTTCACTCGGATCCATGCGTAATCTAATCAAGGTATGTACAGTATAGCAACCATGGAATAGATGTTATTATAACATCATGTTTTCTGACACATTTAATGTTTTGAAATATAAAAATTTTAGCCGCAATTTTGAAACATATTATATTTTGGTAATACACACTGTATTGTAATAGTTAAAATTCTATGCAGTAAGAATTAGTTCTTCCCTATCAAAATTCTTTGCCGAATTAAGTTTTCAAGTTAATTATGTTAATGGTTAAGTGTTTTCGTTTTTGCTACAGACATACTTTAAACAAAAATCACATGTTTTTTTTAACATATTCATATCTATTTGAAATTTTCTCACGACCAGCATCTCCAGGAAGAGGTTGAAATTCTGAGTGAAAGCAATGAGAAACTCCGCCAGGAAACTACATCGGTTGAGACTCAATTAGAGGATGGACTATTCGAGGAGCTTGAGAAAAATACGGCGCTATGTCAGGTAATACATTTCAAAGACACTTTACAATGGATTATTTTCCAGTGCAATTCAAAAAGGGACATGTATTCTAAAAAAAATGGACAAAATTACAGTCTCCTGATTATAATTACAAATGAGAAAATGTCTCATCAATTTACAGATTTGTCGATGTCTTTCAATTATTGGCTCATTTTCAACAGAATAAACAATTTATCCTTATATAATATGACTCTTTCCTCAATATCAAATGAAATATGATTCTCTTTACGCTTATATTGTTATGACTTCACGTCGTAGCTTCAAGCATTCTATAGACGAGTGACGAGTTACTTAATTATATCATGAATCTCTTTTATTCTTCTAACCTCTAAATATATACATTTGCCTATTTTCTACAGATCTTAGAACAGAAAGTCGCCGCTGCAGAAGGCGAGAAAGCGGAATTTGAAGTAGAAACTTTGAAATGGGAGAAAGAAAGGACCGATCTTTTGACACAACTTCGAAGCAATCAGACACAATATCAGGTATTTACACGCTCATTCTTCCTCTTAGAATTGAAATGTTTTCATTTATATATATGAATTTGTTGACATTCTGTTCATTCGAGAAGTAATCTTGTTAACGACAATTTTGTGAAATTTGGAGATTCTCATAAATTTCGATACCATGCTTTTGGTGAAAATACATTTTTTTCTGGAATATTTCTTTATCAAATTTGTTGTATGTTTTGAATAATAACCCTATAATTGACTTGACTTGAAACAAAATGCTAAATATATTATTGTACCAAACTATAAATTATATTAGTTTACATTATTTTTTTCAAATACACGTTCTATCATGCACTATTAAAAAGAGTTAGTTACCCATTTCATGATACATGTATATATTGAACCAATCCTTAATAATTTTGATTTAAATTGTTATGATAGATACTGAAAGATCAGTTCGAGTCTGTTAGTCGAGATGGCGAAAATCGACATGTACTTGCTTCAAAGTTGATCGAGGAAAAGGAAGAACTTTGCGTTCAACTTGAAGACAGCCGCAAGGAATGCCAGGTAGAAAAAAAAAACTAGTTGATGATTATAAACACAATAAAATGAGGATGTCACAATCTAAAGCTATATATAGTAATGTGTGGTTCAATGGGGTCTGATTTAATAGTCGCAATTTGCAAAGGTTTCACAAGTTCCAAGGCTCTCTAAGATGAGATATCCGGTTTCCGTGAACCTTCCGACTTGGGCTGAAGGGATATTTAAGACACCTAATGTATTCCAAGTAACTCTATATTACTTCTTGATTTAGTTGCAGATTACAAAGTAATTAATTCATAGTTATTATAGCCATTGCATTATGTTATTGGTTAAAATTTCAGTTTGTTTCACATAATAAATAAAATCTTCACCTTTATTAGAATTATTATCATCATCATCGTCTTCAATACGACATACAAAATAATAAATTCATATTTAAATTGTTAATGTTTATTTAGGAATCCGATGTAAGACTGGATGTTATCCCCAAAGCGACTGAAAAACTCGACCAGAAGATTGCATACTTACAGACAGACAGGAAAGAACTTCGGAGAAAGTTAGAGACTGCTGAGAAAGAACGCCTGGTGAGAATATGATATTGCATGACTATCTCAACATTATAGACACAACAAAACAAATAAAGAAAATGATACAAAAATTAACACAGATATAAAAGAGAATGGCAGTGCCTAAGTATTAAATTATTAATTATTTTATACCGTTGATTGTGTTTTTACAAATATTCTTTTCATCATTCCAGGATTTCTCCGAGCAAAACAAGGTAGCCATGGAAAAGTTCAAAGAAGCCGAAGAACTAAGATTGAATATTGAAGAGAAGAATACGATACTCGAGTATGAAATCAAGGTAAAAACTTTATTGTACCAGTTTATGTCAATAAAGATATAGATTGTGTTTTTTTTTCTTTCTAAAGAAGAAAGAAAACATTATATTGCCTCGAATTTTTGTGTCAGGTAATAAAATATTATTGGAATTCTACCGGCTTTGGCATTCTTTTTCTTTTCTTTTCATTGAAATTCTAGTACTCATGAGTCCTAAATAACTTACATAGTCATTATTGAATTGTCACATTATTCTATTTGTCACTAATAAATCTAAACTTTACTGTATTATGCCATCCCTACAGCTTGCCAAGAATAAGGTTGCTGATTACAAAGCTGATAACAAAGATCTTAACGTTCATAACAGAGGTCTCAAACACCAAATAGAGTTCCAGAAGAAAAGCAATGAGGTAAGTAAAACATTAATTAACATTTTTTTTTCTTCATTTATTTATTTATTTATTATCATTATAATTATTTTTATTTTATTTTATTTATCTTCTTCTTTTTTTTTGGGGGGGGGGAATTGAAATGATATCTCGGAAAACTCTTAGAATCCGCGTGCAAATTTAAATAATCACATCGATGCCCTTATGTTTTACCATTCAACCAGACTTTTAATAACCAAAAGCTACATTAGTAAAAATAAATGATTTAGTCGACATTTTTCGAAATTTCCAATACAACTCCTAATACATTCAAAGCTACATTTGCTTTCCAATCTACATGTACAGGCGCATATGCTAGACATACTTGTTCTCCTCAGGAATATGAACTTTTGACAACAAATTAATGGTTAGTTACTGAAAAATACCAGTAATGATAATAGCGGAGATGGTAAATGAACATAATGTAAACCTTTATCTCTTATATAGGAGCTTGAAGGGAGAGCATTCACTTTGGTAGAAATGCTCGATCTACTGGAGAAGAAAGTATTTCTAGCTGAGAATAGACAGAAGCAACTAGAGGGTGAGCTTCAGGTAAGAAACATCCCATCTCAGTATGGCTATTATAATTTTCTATTCTTACACTTTAAAAAAAAAAAAAAAAAAAAAAAAAAAAAATCACAACAAATGGACAAAAGCTCTAGAACAGAGACAAGGCTAAGTACAAATAAATGGCCAATGGGAAGAAGAACAAAAAGAAGCAACGAATAAGTTTCCTGGATAGAGCAAAGGTCTTGAAAACAGGACCGTCTGGGTTCGAAACCAAGAAATATTTGCAGTGTACTATTCGAAAGGCATCAATTTACAATTTAGCTCTGCTAGACGGTCTATAAACGGTTATATTTTATTTCTGTGTACCTGCACCCAGAACTAAAGTAAAAGATACAGTAAAGTTCACTATAATGGGACGAAAACAAAGTATGATGAATTCAAATGGACAAAATCCCCAACCTAATTAGATATAAAACGCGCATTTCGTTGAGAATTCCTTGTTTATTTTCCTCTTTCTTTTCCCCTTCTTCTCCATGCAGAGTATGAAAGCTTCTATGGCTGCTGCCGCCATTCAGTATGGTGTTGTAGAAACGGTTGGGGATTCAATCTGCATCACTGATCTGTTCAAGGCTCTCGAAGATATGAAACAACTCAATGCAAATATGAAACTCGAGATTGTCAATTTGAAGAAGACCAAAGAGACCTTCGAAGAAATGGTACGTCACACCATTAAATTTGATTTAGTGTAGTGTATATCGCATTTATCCTAAATTTATTTTCCTGGAGTTTGTCATTAAATTTGGCGACATTGGTAACAGTTTCACTCGCTTTTGTGTTTAAAATAGAATTTATTTTGTGTACATGTAATGTAATTGTTAATTGATTAGATGAAAAATAGAAGACTCATATTTATATATTGAGTAGGAATGACTGTAAATCTCCGCATTTTGAGATAAACGAATACAATTTCCGTATTCTGATTTTGTTTCCTCTCTTAGATCAGTATTCCTGGTATCGGAGATCCCCTTCTTGAATGCGGAGATTCGGCTGCAGAGAAAAGGTAAAGCAATTCATATATTATCAGATGAAAGCTAAATATGATTACATTTATGAATTGAATAAGAATGAAATATTTGTAATAAAAAAAAATATGTTTGACTACTTCTTTATCAAACAATTCCACACCTTGATGGAAACTTGAAGCTTATTGATAAAAGAATCATTGAGCGTAATCTAAACAAAAAACTTTACTCAAAATGTTGTGTCTTCTTTCTTTCAGTCCTAGAGAGCGAGAGAGATGTGAACTGAAGGAGATGATAAAAGATTTTCAATACAAGACTTGCAGACAAGGAAGCTTGATCAAGAAGCTCAGATACGAACTATCTGTGTAAGTATAATCAATAATTAACACTCATCATGATGAGATAGAATTGAAATGGCAATGTAAGATTTCCTCGGCTGATATGGCACCCCTTTGAAAACCCGTTTATGTTGTTTTTGTTTTTTGGGGTGGGGGATATATTCACAGGTCCTCTGCATGGTCTAAGTTATTGTCGATAATGGATGAGATTTCACCAATCGGTAAAAATTAAGTTAAAAACAAATAAATCATGAAACATGTAAACATTTTGTAAATTGATTCACTCACGTACAGCTTCCACAAGGACATGCTCCATGAAGAGGACTCGGTGTATGATAACATGAACTACATAGACCGAGCTGTGATCGATAGGATTCTTACAGATGTGAAGGTGCCCGTCATCAAGTCTGAAGACCTTTCATTCCTGGTCGGAGCCGACGTCGATGCGGATGATGATCTCGTCGGAAAGGGTTCATTCGGGAAAGTATTTTTGAGGCAGTACCAAGGTGAGGCTGTGGCCGTCAAAGTGCCTTACATCAGCGAGGGAGTCAGGGATGAAGATGATGAAAAGAGGATGGTTCGAATCAAAGCTGATCACGCTCGTACCACCATGGAAGCCCTAGTCAATCTCGCCTTCGCTGACCACCCCTCATTCCCGAAGACAGTCGGCATCGTTGACATCGGAGGTGCTCCATCTCTCGTCCTCGAGTTCCTTGGTGATAAGAACACCGGTACAATCTACACGCTCAGTCAGGCTATCAAGTTCCAAATTCCAGCTCTCTCCAAAGAAAACTGGTTCGTGATCATCATGGACATCATCCACGGATTGAAAGCCATGCATGAGGAAGGTCTCTTACATAACGACCTGAAAGCTAACAACATCCTCTTACAATGGAACCTTGAAGATCAACGATGGCATGCTTTCATCATTGACATGGGCAAAGTCTCTACTCAGATCATACCACTCAGGCACAAACAGCTACCCAAAGAGGAGTTAGAAGGGTACAAGAAGGGTACCCTCTTCCCGCATCTGGCACCAGAGTTCATCCTAGATCTACAACCCATGACTATTCAAACTGACATATATTCCTTAGGCAAGGTCCTGGCTCGGATTGAGAAGGTGATAAGGAGTCGACCTCTGCGTGACCTAGCAGATGAGATGACCCATGTTAAAGCTCGTCTACGACCCTCATGGAAACACATTGAGAAGGTCATCACCAAAGCACAGAGGAAATCTCTCTCATAATCTTGCCATGATATGATATTTGATATTTGATATTAGTTAAAGATATTTGAGCAGTATAGCTTTCGGTGTAACTGCATCCTGGGAGCCTCAAATCAAATAAGGAAAGAAAATATGAATTATGGGCCTTTAATTCTCAACCAAAGAAAATCGGCAAAAAAATACGATGCATAGGCAGGCTCAAAGAAAAGGTTCGAATGATGATATTGATGATAGCTGATGGATTTAAAACTCCAATCAGGATAAACTAAGGCTCTTTATATCTACATAAGAGCAATCAAACCAGAATAGACAGAAGAGCTACAGTTACGCTCGAACTATTTTCAAACCTGATAGTCAAGAATGACTATGGTGAGAACAGATACAGGGAGAATAGGAAAGAAAGCGCATCTGGTCACTATAATGAATTAAAGTGACTTATCGGTTTCTTTAGTACTGCGGATATTCTCCTCTCAAGCTGGCAGGTTTTCGGTGTTTCCCCTAGAGCTATTACAACCTCAGCGAACCACCCGAAACCTTTAACACATCGAATTCAATACCCTCGATGAGCTAGAAGGTTTCGGGAGATTCGCAAACATGCGCGCGCCCGTTGAGTGGGAAAGACTGGAGATCTGTATGCTTGGGATCGGGAATCAACCTGCGGGAAGGGAATCGGAAGGTCACGACCAGATGGCTCCGTATACGATCAAAGAACCCAAATGGAGTTCGACAGTCGTTTCGGAGCACGAACAGGGTCTATGCCAAGTACGAAATATCAACAGTTTTAAGATTGACAGAAAAGGCTAGACCATTAGGAAGGCGTCTCCCTAAACATAGATGGCATTTGAACATCAATATGGCACTTGTAGTACATGGCCAGCAAAGTACAAGTAGATGGAAAATGTTGTTGCATTAGATAATATGCATTCGTAAATATTTGAATATATTTTTACGCTCCCCATGATTTCTGTCTTTGAAGATAGAAATGACTTGAAAATGTTACGACAGTTTTATGACCCAATAGAATGTCTTAAGTATATATATTTATATGATTTGTTTATGATATATGGCATATGGTATTATACTGGAAAGACCATAGAAAGCGTATAGAGCAGAGAAATGGCCAATGAAAATGAATGCTAAGGACAAGGAAAGTTAAGAGAAAAGTTTGAAAAGCGTCTTATCACAATAATGATTAAGTGATTTGTTCAGTTCCTTTAGTACTGCGAGCATTCGTAGCTCAAGCAACCTGTCTTTCATGTCCTTACTGACATTCAGAAACACTCCTTAAGTTTTCCCGACTGAAGAGAATTTTAAATCCTTCTCTGTCTTGACAACTAACAAATTTTGGAGTGTCGATTTATGTTGGTTTGTGATGATGAAAGCAGGTTATCTTGGGTTGGGGATGTACAGCGGGAAGGGAGCTGGCGAATCACGTGATACAGACGGTTTTGAACACAAAATGGCAACCATGACGAAATCGATTCGATTTCCTCATCATTTTGTTTCAGAACACAATCGAAATGGAGAAAGTAAAGTTGGCTAGTGCTGACAAGATTGAAAAGAAAGAAGTAAAGTTTGCAATGTGCAAAAGAAAAACAATGAATTATGAATTGATGTGAAATAAAATAAAAATTATAAAAATAAAATGTTTAAAAAAACTAATAGGATCGTTTGATCAAGTCTCCTTTTTGGTAATTTGTTTATCACGTATTTCATCGATGCTGTAAAATATAGAATTAGAAGAGAGTTGTACGAAAAACAGACAAGAGAGAGAGAGAGAGAAAGAGAGAGAGAGAGAGAGTAAGAGAGAGAGAGAGAGAGAGAGAGAGAGAGTAGAGAGAGAGAGAGAAAGAGAGAGAGAGAGAGAGAGAGAGAGAGAGAGAGTAGACCACCCCCATGTGCCATTCCCCCTCGACAGCTTGATCCGCAAAGGGCCACTGATTATACATAAGCCACCATGTGAAGGGCCAGTAGGGCCCCCATCTCCCCAATACCTCCCCCTCTCTCTCTCTCTATTTTTTTCTCCCCCTCTATCTCTCTTTCTCTGGTAAATAGCTTGGTAAAATGTTGCCAATTAAATGCCCTGCTTGTCCGTATAACAAAAACAACAAAATTAATGTTCCATATCAATTGCTTTACCCTAGATTAAATGCAGAGAATCGAATTTCCTCTGAATCACATTTATTTGTATAGCAAAATAACTGATGAAACCCATTTGGGAACACACGGAAGTCTTTGCGATTGTGATCATACATGCAGGGGCGTCTCCAAAGGGGGGGGGGGGGTGGGGTCAGGGGCGTCGCTAGACCTTTTTCACTTGGGGGGGGGGGGGTGTAGAGGCCAACGATTACCGACAAAACTAGCCACCAATTACCGACAAAAGTAAATGTCCCAATATCTACAAATTTAACCCTATAAACCCGGGGCCGAAGGCTAAATTGTTTTTCCTATGGAAAGGGTCATTTTCCTCGACGACAAAAATATGCGAATTATTCGTCAACTTAGTCACGGGCTTAGTCAGCATCATAGTAGCTAGGATAT